ATTTTAGGATACCCTTTTATGTGTGCAAGCAAGTTAAACCTAAATATGGATCGACAAATGGGTTATTTTACATTTAAACCTGAAGATGAAATTAAGTTAATTCCAAGTACAAACCTGAGTGAATTAAGCTTAAGTAGTATTAAAGTAGGAGATGTTGAAATGTGTGAAGAAGCTGAGAAGTTAATTAAGAATTTTCCTACTGTTTTTACGGATAAGATAGGATCAGCACTTGATTTGGAAATTGAGCTTAAAGTGACGGATGATAAACCTGTTAGTATACGCCCTTATTTTTTAAGTCCACCCAAAGTAGAGAAGATGAAAGCTATAATTGATGACTGGATAAAACAAGATGTCGCGGAAGTTTCCACTAGTCCGTATAGCGCCCCTGCATTTTTGACTCAAGATGACAGACTTGTAATTAACTACTCTGAACTCAATAAGAAGTTAATCAATGTAGATTACCCGCTAGGAGATATGCAGAATATGTATCAGCATCTAAAAGGAGCTAGATATTTTACAGTCATAGATTTAAACAAAGCATTTTTACAATGTCCCATAGCTTTAGAATCCAGAGATTTAACATCTTTTAGTACAATTTTTGGTAAATTTCGTATGAAGAGAATTCCATTTGGATTGAAAATAGGCAGTAGCGTACTATCACATTATTTGGACAAAATATTTAATGACATCAAATTTCAGTATATGATTAACTTTTGTGATGATATTGTTGTATATAGCCCTGATAAGAGAAACCATATTGAGCATGTTACAGAAGTGATTAAGAGATTAGCACAACACGGACTTACAGTAAATCCACAAAAAGTCAAATTCTTTTGTAAGGAAATAAGTTTTTTAGGACATATTATTAAACAAGATAGCATTACTATAGATCCCGAGCGAACTAGTTCATTAATGAAATTTCCTGCTCCAAAAACTGTGAGGCGAGTGCGACAGTTTATAGGAATGTGTGGTTATTGGTCTCGATATATTCCAAAGTATGCTGAGATATGTTTACCTCTGTTTGCGCTGAAAAAGAAAGGTGTAAAATTTAAGTGGAATGAGGAGTGTCAAAATGCATTTGAAACCTTAAAGAGTAAGATAGCAAATCCGCCTATACTACAAATGGCCGATTTTTCTAAAGAATTCGAGTTGCATACCGACGCAAGCGACCTTGCAGCTGCTGGTGTTTTATTGCAAAGAAATGAGGAGGGGAATAAAATGCCTATTGCTTACTATTCGAAGAAATTCACACCTACTGAGATGCGTTATAGCACTTACGAAAAGGAAGCTTATAGTGTAATATTGTGTGTAGAGAAATGGCATCAATTCTTGGAAGTAAGAAGTTTTAAATTAGTTACTGATTGTCAAGGTCTTAGTTTCATGCTCAAATCTCGAAAAAGCCGTGGAAGATTGTCTAGATGGTTTGAAAGGTTGTTTAGTCTTCCATTTACAGTTGAACATGTAAAAGGTTCGGAGAATATAATAGCTGATGCGTTATCACGTATGTTTAGTGGAGAGAAAGAGAGTGAGACGGAAATTCACGAAACTAATCTGTTAAGCAATATCAACAATGAAGTCTATTTTTGTAATGTGTTAAATGAAATACCATTGGATCTTAAGGACATTAAAGTACATCAAGAGAGCGATGAAGAGTATAAGAAAATCATTGAAAGCATCAAGAATAAGACTAATAATGAAAATTATACCCTGAAAAATGAAGTTTTATTGTTTAAAAAGAAGATTTATTTGCCCAAGAAACTGTTTAGTGTAATATTCGCATTCTATCACAACTCATTAATTGGTGGTCATATGGGAATTTTTAGGACTCAAAGTAAAGTAAATGAAAGTTTTCACCACCCTGAATTAAATGAATTCGTAAAAGGTAAAGTCCGTGAATGTAAGATCTGTCTGATGTCTAAGTCGGAACAACGTAAGTTTGAAGGTCGACTGATATCTGTTCCTGTAACTCAAGCTCTAAACACTGTGTTTATTGACCTAGCTGGACCATTTCCCCGATCAAATAAACTCAATCAGTACATTTTAATTGTGGTCGATGCATTTACCCGTTTTGTATGGTTGTACCCTCTGAAGGATTGCAAGACAAAATTCATCATAGAAAAACTGAAGATAATTTTTGATAGTTTCTCAGGACCCCGAATACTTGTGTCTGATAATGCCAGTTATTTTACATCCAAGGAATTTAAGAAATTCATGTTCAATAACTATGTGGAACACAGAAAACTAGCTGCGTACAGAGCAAACGGAAATTTGTCGGAACGATATTTGAGGGAGACTAATAATGCTTTACGGAGTTTTTATGGTAACCAACATGATAAATGGGATTCAAATCTGGGACTGATTGCCACAAGTTTGAATACTGCTGTAAATAGTTCGACTAAATCAACTGCTTTTGGTTTAATGTTTGCCCATCCTTGTAACAATGCACTGACAAACTTATGGAATGTTAATGACATTATTTCGGAGAAGTTAACTCCTGATCAAAGGAGGGAAAATTTGGAGAAAGCCATAAATAACGTCAGAAGGAGCATTGCCAGAAATCAAAGAAGGGAGAGATATAGGTATCCTCGGAGAAACCATCCATTTAAGTTGAATATGGAAGTGTACATCAAGACACATTATTTAAGTAATGCAGCGAATAAATTCAGCAAGAAGTTAGCACCTAGATACGTTGGACCTTACGTAATACGCTATTTTCTGAGTGATTCAACAGTACTAGTACAAAATCCTAGCAAGTTAGAAGACGTGAAGAAAATTCATATAATTGATTTAAAGAAGAGTTAAGTAGTGAAGAGGACCAAAAGTAACCAATGTATTGATGGAAGAGGAAATGTGAAAAATGGAATTAAATGGAAGATTACGGAAGACTGAAGCTAAATTGGTCTTTATGAAATGTCTGTAAAGTAGAAGTTAGATTTGTTTAGTTGAAATATTAATTAGTTAAGGGATTTTAGCAAGCTAAGAGGGAATTTGAAATTTTGTAAATTAGTACTGTGGGAGTTGTTTTAGGTTCTTAAGAAAGTTTTCAAAGTTTTAAAGTGTTTTTAGTAAGAGAGTGTATAAATGTGTATGTATTGGTGAATGTGTGAGTATTTGTGGCAGCAAAAGGTAGTATGAATCTGTATGAATCTAAAATGGAGTCTGAACGTAGTGTATGAGTGGGATTTTACTAAAGGACGCACAATAACATTTTGATTAAATTTGCACTTGTAAACAGGGAAAATAACACAGAACACAAAACACTTCACACGAAACACACGAGGGAACATAAAAACAGGGAATATAACACACTGGGATAAATAAATTAAGGGAAAACTAAAGAAAAACACAGCACACGCAAACGACATAACTAAACTAAACTGGAGAAGTGAAAGTTATTTGTCTTGTCTGGAGTTGATGTTGGGAGGGGTCAGTGAACTGTGAGCGGATGTGAAGAGTTCAAAAGAGATTTAAATAGGCTTGTTTAAGATCGCTTAAGTAATTGGGGGTTTTAAAGAAAGGTTTTATTTTAAGGTATAAATTTTGTAAATAAGATTGATAATATTTGAATTGTCATAGGAAAATGAAATGGTTCAAAATGAAAAATTGTGTAAATAGAAGTTGTTGTTTTGACTAGAAGGTTCTGTAAGGTGCTGTAAACGTGTGGAGGCTATTTGAACTAGGAGTTAGTGTTTGTAGAATTTGTTGATAGGTAGCGCTAGTTGAAATGTCAAACGGAGTTAGAGTTTTATTATTTGTTTTAAAAGGTTTGTTTATTTTCTTTTGTAGAGTGTTGTTTTAAAAGGAAATGTAAATATTAATTTTGAGAAAGAGTGTATAATTTTGTTTATGTAATTTCAAGTTAAGGAGGGGAAATTCTGTACCGATGGTAGTTAGTTTTTATTTGAAATAACAAAACAAAATCAATATTATTTAATCATTGGCTAGAAAGATTAAGAAAGAGTGACCAGCAGTTTAGAAGTTTTAGTTTTGTAGGGTTGGTAGTGGTTAGTGATAACTAGGTTCAACTTTGTCAGTTTTAAGTTCACTGGAAATATGGTCATCTAAGTTGTGGTTGCTGTAGAAAATTGTAAGTAGTTTTAATATTGTTTAGTAATAAGATTTTAGCTGATTTATTGTATATAGCTTTGTAGAAATCACTTTTGGAAAAAGATGAAAAGGAATGAATAGTTTTCAAATCAATTTTAATGCATTTCACAAGAAAAGAAAACAAGTAAAGTTTATACAGACCTGTTGAGTTTTGTTCTAGGAGAAGCACATTTTCACAAGAAGTTGTAAAGATCTTAAATCTACTTTTAATTATTAGAATTTATAGAGAATAGTTTTTATTGGGTTTGTGTGATGTTTTCAGACAGAAATCAACCACTTCTTGGTACTACCACTTCTTGTTCACCTTCTTATGATTGGTCCAGTAGCTTTTTGCACCACTTCTAGTTTGCATGGTATCTGCTAGTGCCTGTTCTGACCATTAAACCAGTGTCTCTGTTTAAAGTAAGATCTTTCCACTATTTTATTATTTAGTATAATTTTTGGAAGTAACAACTGGATATTTAATTTCATTTGGAAAGTGTATTTTGAGAAATTTGACATCCGTAAAATAAATGCATCTTTGGCCTACTTTGTCTTTTAATTTATCTCACTTCTACTACCAGCTTAAATTAGATTCATCCTAAATTAAAGTATACTACCTAATTGGCTACAAGGTAGGGGTACAACGTTAAATTTGGTACCGTACCTTAGTTCGTTATCACTGAATAGGTCTATCAAAATAAAAAATAACAACATTATTATTAATAACATTAATGTTATTACTTGTTCAATACAATTATTGAACTCCAATTTTTCGGCCCCACTCTTCACACAGGCCTCTCTGCTCGCCGTTTCCCGCTTCGCAGGCCCCTTGCCTCCCGGGCCTCCCCGCATTGCGGGCCCTTCTGTTACACCACTGATTCTACAATGTGCAAGTGTGGCGTGTGTTTCAGACCTGGAGTTGAGTGGAGGGGTGGGGGGTTGTGTGAGTGTGTGCTACCCCGTACCCGGCTTGCCTCCCCTCACGACCTGCTCTGTATCTCCTCCCAAACTGCCTCCCTGCCAGAGCCGAACTAAAAAGATTCTATATTCGGCAGCGGAGAGGGAGGACTTTGACCGTGAGGAGGTCGCTACCTACGAGGAAGTCGCCAAGCTGTATCCGCGGCCAGGCCTGGCGCGACCGATCGTGCTGATCGGAGCGTCGGGCGTCGGCCGCAACGAGCTGCGCCGGAGACTCATAGCCACTGACCCGGAGAAGTATAGGACACCTGTACCTTGTAAGTGTCCTATGAAATATTGGTATTGATAATACTGGAGTATTGGTAATCCTGATATTGAGTATTGACTATTGATTATGCAATTTGACTTCATATCTCACTGTGTTTGAATTATATTTCAATGTGTGTCCTGAAAAGTCCAGAGTGCATTTATTGACTAAATTTTCTTTTCCTATGGTAAATTTTATAGGGTGTATTTTTACTTTTTCCAGCCATACGATGGTTGTCTGTAAATTAAGGTATCCAACAGACAGAGCGAGTCAATTCAAATCCAACACATGCCCTTTACTCTTGAATTCTTTCACATCTATTCTAATCAGACCCATCTATTTGTGACACTTAGTAGGCCTATCATTATAATAGCAGAATGGCATGACAAATTGACACTATACAAAATATAAATTGTGTTATCTGATTATTTTTTTAAGTTTAAGTGTTCAAACTCTAAATTGGTGTATTGAATTGATGTGATTAAATAAGCATATTGATCATTTAATGTGGCCGCAAAATTTTAGAATTAGTAAAATAGTAAGAAATAAATAGTAAACATCAAGAAGCAGTGTTCATGAAACATTCCTTAAAGTTTGCCCTCATCTGACCCATAAGAATTATAATTCCTTAAAGGCAAGGGAAGTGTGTTCAATCTTTAATATTGAGTAATTGTTGCATTTTTCTACTATAAAAAATATTTCAGAGTTAGGGTATCCACCCTACACTTTTTTCATACAAAAATATTTAAAATCACTTGCCCTGGAATGTTTACACAAATTATATTATTATACATATGTAATATTTGACAGACACGTCGCGACCCCCAAGACCCGGGGAGGTGAACGGGAAGGAATACTTCTTTGTGACCAGGGACCAACTAGAGGACGACATCAACGCAGGAAAACTGCTGGAGTATGGCGAGTACAAGGGTAACCTGTACGGTACGTCTGGTGAGAGTGTACAGTCTATAGTCAACGCTGGATACGTCTGCATACTCAACCCTCATTATCAGGTAACTCAGGATATGCAAAATAGAAGCACTAGATACCTCTCTAATTTAAATTAGGCTATTCATAAAATATCAATGAAAAATAAACATAAGAAAAGTAAAAAACTTTCTAAAGCCCCATTAATCCTGGAGTGGATGTTTTTGCTATACTATGATAAGAAGTTTTTGTAAAAAGAAGTTTTCTGGGTATATTCGTTGGGGTCGGGGTGTGTTGAGGGGAGTTTTTGGGAAGCAGGGTGTCCACCGACTGGGAAAACCGGGAATTATGCGTGATTTTGTTATTTTACCGGGAATTTTCAATTTGCCGCGATCGCGCATGAAGATGACTACGGGAGACGATGATGATGTCCAAATGGCCGTGGGATTTGTTGGTGATTTTGCCGCGAGATGACGATGACGATTTCGTGACCGTGGGAGACGACGATGACGTTTCCGTGACCGCGGGTGATGTGATGACGTTCCCGTGTCCGCGGGAGACGCCGATGACGTTTCCGTGACCGCGGGTGACGATGATGATGTTCCCGTGTCCGCGGGAGACGCCGATGACGTTTCCGTGACCGCGGGAGACGCCGATGATGATCGCGGGGGATGACGATGACGTTTTCGTGACCGCGGGAGACGACGATGACGTTTTCGTGACCGTGGGTGATGATGATGACGTTCCCGTGTCCGCGGGAGACGCCGATGACGTTTCCGTGACCGCGGGTGACGATAACGACGTTCCCGTGACCGCGTCGGACGACGATAACGTTTCCGTGTAACCACGGGAGATGAAGATGACGTTTCCATGACCGCGGGTGACGACGATGATGTTTCCGTGACTGCGGGAGACGACGATGACGCTTCCGTGACCGTGGAAGATGATGATGACGTTTCCGTATCCGCGGGAGACGCCAATGATGTTTCCGTGACCGCGGGAGATGACGATGACGTTTCCGTAACCGCGGGTGACGTGATGACGTTCCCGTGACCGCGGGAGACGCCGATGACGTTTCCGTGACCGCGGGTGACGATGATGACGTTTTTGTGACCGTGGGAGATGACGATGACGTTTCCGTGACCGTGGGTGACGTGATGACGTTCCCGTGTCCGCGGGAGACGCCGATGTCGTTTTCGTGACCGTGGGAGACGACGATGTCGTTTCCCTGACCGCGGGTGATGATGATGACGTCCCCGTGTCCGCGGGAGACGCCAATGACGTTCCGTGACCGCGGGTGACGATGATGACGTTCCCGTGACCGCGGGGGACGACGATGACGTTTCCGTGTAACCGCGGGAGATGAAGATGACGTTTCCATGACCGCGAGAGACGACGATGACGTTTCCGTGACCGTGGGAGATGACGTTTTCATGACCACGGGTGACGACTATGACATTTCCGGGACTGCGGGAAACGACGACGACGCTTCCGTGACCGTGGGAGATGACGATGACGTTTCCGTATCCGCGGGAGACGCCAATGATGTTTTCGTGACCGCGGGAGATGATGATGACGTTTTCGTGACCGTGGGAGACGACGATGACGTTTCCCTGACCGCGGGTGACGTGATGACGTTCCCGTGTCCGCGGGAGACGCCGATGACGTTTCCGTGACCGCGGGTGACGATGATGACGTTTTTGTGACCGTGGGAGATGACGATGACGTTTTTGTGACCGCGGGAGACGACGATGACATTTCCGTGACCGCGGGAGACGCCGATGACGTTTCCGTGACCGCGGGTGACGATGACGATGTTTCCGTGACCGTGGGAGTTGACGAAGACGTTTCTTTGACCGCTGGAGATGACAATGACGTTTCTGTGACCACGGGAGACGACAATGACGTTTCCATGACAGCGATATAACCTCACGATATAACCTTGAGTCTGGCTTGACACGAAATTTCTAAATGACACACTTCTAGAAAGTTTTATTTTAATTTTTTGTTTGTAATATCTTCAATTACCTTTAAAAAGGTATTTATTTAATGTGTTTGGAAGGGTTTAAAACTTAAATTGGCTACATAAAATTGTTGTAATTTCTGCATTAATTATTTCTGTAGGTCACTTGAAAAACAACCCATAACTCCAAAATTACATACTATATGAAAGTACGTAAAGACCGGGGTTGGTGTAGTGATCCTTACAGAAAATTTAGTAAAATTGAAATGATCAGTTTTAAGAATCTATTTTTCATTGTCTGTTCAGAGATTCGATAAATTTTGGCATCAACATATCACAATTTTAAAGTAGTTATTGATAAATTGCAGGTTTAAAGATTAGTTTTTAATTTTCGGATTATTTAATCAGTAATATATAAAAATTGAATACTTGTGTCAGGTAATATTACAGTAATCATAAATTTTGTTTCTTTAACTGAGAATGCTCATTCCGATAACTAAAATAGCAAGCTTTATTAGCGCTAAAACATCATTGCGGTAGTTGGCGTGCAAAAAAAATTGGAAATTTTAGTATGAAAAGTATGTTTTTTACTCATGAATTTTTACTGGTCGGCCTGGTGGACACCCTGGGGAAGCCACCTTTGCTAAAGCAACCTACAATAGTTCATAACTTGTATCGAAAGTAATTTTAATTTTCTGGAGCTCCAATTATTCCTGTCCTCAGCTTCGCCTTGCATGTGAAATTCGGTGTTCCTGTGTTTGGCTTTGCCTCATACGAAACTTGAGCGTGCTGTGCATAGGAAAATGCCACTTTCAGTACTAATACCGTAATGAAATATACTATTTACTTTTAGCCATTATAAATATTTAGATAATCTCTTTTCTTAGTTACAATTTGCTTTCAGGCATTGAGAATGTTGAGAACGCCTCAACTGAAGCCATTTATTATATTCATCAAACCTCCTGCATTTGAGTTCTTTAAAGAAACCCGGAATTCTGCGCATGCAAGATCCACGTTTGATGAAAACAATTCACGTGGCTTTACGGTGAGCAAATACAAGAGAGTTTTGTATTTTATCATTTAATTCTCAAAGGTATATTAAAAATATAAATAGATATTGATATTAGTCATAGTGTTCGCTTTTCAATTTATTGGTTGCTGGCTCAATTCTTGGACCAAGATGTCATTTAGGGTGAATATTTAATGAAAGGTTGAAGTTACATAGCAACAAGACCTAGGTTCTGACCATCCCCCTACAAAATGTAAAAATAGTACAAATAGCGTTGAATCCCACATACAATATTACTTGTATAAAAGTTAAACATTCTTGACATTTATTTTTTATACACTGTATGTGATTTGATAAAAAATATACTTACTTTTTATACCCAATTCTTAAAGACATTAATGATTACGTGGATTAAACTTAAAATTGTTAAAAATATTGTTACATTGTTTTTAACGTCTATATACTTATAATTTTTGTATAATACGAAAACTCATAGTATTGTAATACAAATTTTGAATTTTGGTTGAATTTTAAAGCCTTTTGGAAAAGATATATCATTTTCCCCATACATATATCATTTTTATATATTTTTAATGAAACTTGTAACACAGGCCTACTGGGATCTTTACTCTTTTTTAAATGAAAAAATATAGTTTTAGAGGTTATAATAGTTTCTTTTATAATTTGTTTATTGTCATGTTTCTTTTGGAGAACATTTAATAATTTCCTTATTTATGAAACTCTAGATTGTGAATCTTCTCTAATCCAACTAATTACTCTGTCGTAGGACGAGGAGTTTGCCGAGATAATCCACAGCAGTGATCGTATAGAGTTCATGTACAGCCATCTGTTTGACGAGACAATCATCAATGCAGACCTCTCAGCTGCGTTTGAGCGGCTCGTGTCGGCCGTCATTAGAGTAGAGACGGATCCTTTGTGGGTGCCTACCTCGTGGGTTCAGTGATCCAGGTATCGTATCCATCATAGTTTGCATATTCTCCCTCATATGATAACTACTATTCATACCCAATAGCTGTATTATTTTATTCCTTGCGTTTTTCTGAAAAGAATTATACCTAGTATTATTTGTTATAGTAATTAGATTATTAATGCTGGATTTACAAGATGCCAATTGGTGTGACAGTTGTCTTCACCAATTGTTATGACGTTGTTGCGGGATTGTCGGAGACCAGTTGTCCTCTGTCTACGCCCGGTTACAACTGAATTTCAGGACAATTGGAATAAAATTTGCAGATTTTAACTACAATAATCTATTTACAGAGGCGACTCAGTGTTGAATGTTGCAAAACACTTAATTGTTTGGCATAACCTCCTTATGTTTGTTCCAGAGCTACCTTCATTATCAACAATTCAAGAGTCTCCCACTGCCATCTCATCTATTCATCTTGTTTGTTGTTAAGCCTTCGTTTTATTTACATGTTTGTTAACGTTGTGTTGTTACTCGTTCATAGAACCTACCAAAGAGAACTTGGCGTAGATCAGTCTCGGTTGATTGTTCATAGTACTTTATCATCGGATTGTGTGAATTAACATTTAGTCATAAGGCCGATTAAAAGAATTTAGGAGTATTTACCCGTAGAATATGTTTCTGATGGACTGCCTCGATTACTCGAATCAAAGACAAGTGGAACGGTGTCGGTAGCCTTAGGAACCATGTTTCTGTGATGCCGATTGTCTAATTAGCTCTCAAACTTGTCATCTTGCATCACACTGTTGACTTAATTCCTTCTATTTTTAAATTACCGCTTGAGAACATGGGCTTGTAAAAACTTGTATTTAGGACGCTTTCATTCCAATTTAAACATTAGTTTTGTCTTAGATCGAAACAGTTCATATAGTTTTCTGCAGTGTCATCAGTTAGTTTAATATTTCGATCAGATTTACATAATAAGCTTGTACACAGCAACCATCACAATAGTCGCCAAAGTGTAAGATAGGCATCTCTAATGTACCATATATTTTTATATAGAAATGTCTCTTAGAAATGAGAGTAGAAAATACAGTTTACTATCTTCCGCTGAATCTCTTTCGATGTTTCCAATATAAGACCTGTTGTCTTAAAAATTTTTAAGCATTGAAAACTATAAATATTGAATTTTAAAGCTTTAGAAAATTCATCATAATTTAAACGGATACGAACAGTAAACACTTAATGTATTTTGTATATTTTAGAGTTGCTCTTACTCTGAAAAATGTTATTATGTTTATTAGCAATTATCAAAGTCTTGGTACGAGTAAGTGGGGTGATACAAATGTTGTCCACTTAGAAAATTTAATTGCGGTCTGTATAGCTCTCTATTTTACTGATAGTTTTAGAAGTTTTAACTATTTAAGTATTTATTGATGATTTTGTTGTTATTTATTAGCCATGACGATGTGTACAAATGTTTTGTGCTCTATTTATTTGATTGTGTGCTGCTGACTCATGATGACTTAGACTCCCAGTATTATTATAGCTTTCAATCATATTTAGCTCCTAGTCTTCCAAATGCATCAGCAAGATTTTATCATAATTTGAGAGTCAGTCATTATTGCAGTGTTGGTTACAAGTTACAACACTAGGAACTGCCCTGCTTCTAGTCCTACGTTTATCTATACAAGATACTAGTTGTATTTGTATTTATTTATTCTTGCTATGCAAGTCAAATTGTTATTTTAATGTGTTGCCTAATAAATGAAATGTATTTTCAACGGGAATCTTTGACTAACAGTACCTTAATGTCTGTAAGACATTTATACATATGTATGGTGACAGTATTCTATTAGCTTGGTGTCATCACCAATTTTTGGTGTTGTGATGGTACACACAAAGTTTAATACAACTGAATTGAGATTATTCTTGAGTCTCCAAAGTCTTATGGTCATTTTAGTGTGATATTTTTCAAAATAATTGAGAAAAAATTCTATATTTTAATGTAACAATTTTTAAGATCGTGTGTGGGGTCCGTGGGTATTTGAGGCATAAGATGATCTCATGAAACCCTGTTTGAGTTTCATACTTCTGAACAAATTTTGTATTAGGTGTTTATTTGCTAGTCATGTTGAATTTGTATTCGTTAGGGTGAACACTTGTGTTTTATTTTTAGTATGAACAAGGATATTTTATAATTATGAACATCTTTGCTTATCAGTGAAAATTATTACTTGATTTTATGACTGGTTTGGTAAGATGGCCCTTTATAGCTTAAGAACAATATTTTGAGTCATATATTTTTCTTCTCAACTTACGAAGCACCAAAAAAAAATCCTTATTGTCTTCTGATATGTTTTGGTCATACAGAAGAAGTTTAGTCAAGATTTCTAGTCGATTGCCTTTTTTGGTTTTTTAACCTTTCACTATTAAGTCTTAGGTTATATAATAGTTATGAGTGTTTTTTCACTTGTTTTTAAAATTATATTCTTACCTACGGACCTTGTGTTGTATGGGCCCACTTGATGCTTATTGTGCTTAACTACAATACATCCCCTGATAATAGCAATATAAGCTTTTTAAACCCATAGATGATTTCCTCAGCACGTTGTCAATCTTATATTTATTAATTTGTTGTTAGTATGTATTATTTGTTAATAAAAAAAATACTCTTTCAATCTTTCATGTATTAAGTTAACAATCCAGTTTAACAATATTCTACAGTGTAATGAAATTGTTATCAAAAATTCCGTGGAGTGAGTATTGATTGCAATAATTTGATCAGAGACTTGTGTTTTTTATCTTGTTTACCAAACCCTATTTTTCAAAGAATTAAATAATTTTCTTATTTTATTCTATTTTTGTATGGTTTGGGCCTTACTCTACTTGCTACTTTATATTTTACTAAATTATCAAAGTGTATTATGTGGCACTTCCCTATTCCATTCCTTTATAACCTCGAAACTTAATCCTCAACAATTACCCTCAAAACTTATTTTTCTGAAGTAGAACAGCTATGATAAAAACAGTATGGTAAAAATTAAAAGTTATTTCAGACAATAAATGAAAACATATGAATTAAGTGTACATATATCACAAAGTAAATAAAACACGTCACTGGAAGAACTAGAAAACTGCTAAGATAACACATTTCTACATTATGCAACGTATATTTTTATTTGATGTTCTATTGTCTACAGTTGATAAAAAGGTTTTTTGTATGAATGTTTAAAAAATCTGTTGTTTTCCCTTTTGGCATGTGTTATTGATGGGCAATGAAAGCAACAGTTACCCAAAGGCATTAATAGCTCCACACTAAAGTAAAACTCCCTATTTATTTAAACTTTCAAATAAAGATAAAGATGTTTCACCCATTACCAATAGAGTTGCAATTTGTTAAAGACAATTTTCCTAAAATTATTTTGAACTTGTTTCATGGTCAAATTAGTCTCAGATGTTGTTAAACTGGATGTACCAAGAATTGTTTCTGCGACAATAATTTCGATAGTAATGACTTGTACATAACGGCCGGTCGAGCAGTCACCCTGAGCTGATGCAATATCCTCTGGGGTCTCTCACCCTACGCCTCAATATTATATATTTGCATTGTTGAGTATGTAAATTTAACTGTTACTGTAGTCGAATGTTTTAAAAATGACTTATTTTGTAATTAGATTGTTGGAACATGAATGAATAGTATAAATTATTTCAAAATACCTTTGTCCATGCCAATTGATTGCTGTGCATTTTGTATCCTAACATTAGTTAAATAAACAGCATTATTATTATTATGATAGTGTTTGATTAACCTGGGATTTTATCTTATGTAGACTTTCTTATCCTATTTAATTTATTTATGTGCCAGAGTTTTAGTCTTTAAATTGCAGTGATACATTGACCAGTTCTCATAGATTTCATAGATCAGCATAGCAAGAGCTTTGCTAAATATCTTGTGTGGGAACTGGTCCATTGCCGCGATTGTTAGAGGTGATTACGGATATTGCCTGAATCACTTTCCCAATGTTACAATTTTATATCAGTAAATAAACAATATTTACCGCCTCAGTGGTCGTTCTCGGTTGCCTTGATCGATGTGGCAGTGCTTAGCTATCATCAGGAACTAAGATTCCATTAGAATGCCCTGTTAGCACTGGAGTTCCGGTACCAACATTTGAATGTCCTTTATTGTTACCAGTTTTTTTCCAACAACCCGGGAACAGAGATCAGCCTTCAGGTACCGACACATCACTGGTCCGAGAGCCTCCTTACTTTACACTTTTACAACTGAAACCAGAAATCCACTTAGAAAAATAAAATCCAAGATAGAATGAGTTGATAGTAACAGAAACAACACATTTCAATAGTAAAACATTGTTTCACCTATTTATTATTTTAAATAAAGGGCAAATATTCCCATCACAACTAAACTCTAATGAATATTGCCTGACACACTATACATCGCTAATAAATTATTAGATCGCATTTATGTTTAAACCAACTTCACTACCGTACGTTACACCATTTAATATTGTGCGTAATGTCATTTTGTGATCCTTGTAATGTAATACATTTAGAAAATATATTAAATTCTATGCTTACAGATTTAAAATGAATATAATTTAACCAGATGCAAAAAGTATTGCTTTTACTTGGAATTATAATAATACTGTTATATTTGGTTGGCAAGAGCCTACGATTTTTTTTCACATTACTTCAGGCTAGACTTAGGGGTTGCGGCATTATCGCTTAGATAAAATCCGTTGGCGATTTGTCAGGATTTGAACCCGGGACTGAAGTCCCGTGCTCTAACCACTACACCAGCTTGCTCTCCCATAGTAGTGATGTTCAAAACCAGAAAATCAAAATCTCAGAACCGAAAACAAAACTTAAAACTCAATTCCGGATACTTTAATGTGAATTTTTTGCATTTGTATTATTATCTTAAGGTTAAAAAAGGACATGCAATTAAAACAGTTTATAATAATAAAAACTGAAAGAAATTGGACTGCTGACCCCCCCATATATTAACATAAATATGTGACTTTAATCCTAAAAACGGCATTTCTTTTAAACATCAAATATTTAAAAAAAAAACTTCTGGCACTGACATAAAAAACATGAATGAGAAAGTATATCAACACCATTATTGATACAAATAAACATTTCCCAGTTTATTCAATCATTTATTTAATCACTGTAATGAATGTTTCAAGTTCAAAAAATATTATTTCACCCTCCCAAAAATTGATATCAAAATTCAATCTTTCACCAATTACTTATGAAGATCTGGATAACATTATAACTTCTTTTGATAATAAATTTTCCACTGGCTGGGATGAAATACCAATGCCAATAATTAAACAGGCTCGTCTATATATATTATTACCATTACTACATGTTATAAACTCTTCTTTTATCTCTGAAATTTTCCCCGAAAAATTAAAAAAATCCAAAATTAAACCTTGTTATAAAAATGGTAACCCAGAAGAAGTGTGTAATTACAGGCCTATCTCATTGTTATGCTCATTTTCACAAATTTTTGAGCGAGTTGTGCATATACAACTTTCAAAATACTTTATAATACTTTAAAATACTAGAGGAAAATAATTTATTAGATTAGGAACAATATGGTTTTATAGCAGGAAGATCTGTGATTGACGCAGGAGTCGATTTCTGTGAATCTATAATAATTCAATTGATTCAAAGGAAAAAGTATTGGGAATATTCTTGGATTTAACAAAAGCCTTTGATAGTGTCTCACATGATTTACTTCTTGAAAAACTTAAATATAACGGTGTAAAAGGGAGAGCTTGGCGTTGGTTTGAATCTTATCTTACAGGCAGGTTGCAGTATGTCACAATTGATCACATAAATAGCCATAACCAATTAATTACTTACACTTCCTCAACAAAAATTGTTAAGTATGGTGTCCCTCAAGGATCAATATTGGGGCCCTTATTATTCTTAATTTACTTAACTGACTTCCACTCATTGATAGAATCTCCCAATCGTGTTTGTTTATTTGCTGATGACATCAATATAAAAATATCCGGAAATTCAAATTCTGATGTGGAAGTTTCTTCTTTTGTTGAGCTTACCAAATGTAAACAATATTTAAATGATACAATTTATTACCGAATACAATAAAAACTAATTATATAAATTTTTCTTCAACGAGCAAAAATTCACCTGAGTTTAATATTTTTATGGATACAATTTTACTAAATGAAGTTAAATCAATAAAATTTCTTGGATTGCATATAGATAATACATTCAACTGGGACAGTCATGTTAAAAACGTTTGTAATAAAGTCAACTCAGGCATACATGCATTAAGACAGATGTCAAAATTTAGTAGCTTAAAAACCTTAAAAATAGTTCATTTCTTAATTGAATCACATATTTCTTTTGGGTTGTGTCTTTATGGGGGCACATAAAATTTTAACCTAAATAGCATTCTGGAACTTCAAAAAAAAAAGCAATTTGCATTATGTTAAAACTAAAGTCAAAAACATCCGCAAAAGAGCAGTTTAAAGAAATAGGAATTATGACTGTTTTTAGCTTATACATTTATCAAATAGCCCTTTATATTAAATCAAACCTTGAAAGATTGCCAAAATTGAACTCTTTTCATACATATTCAACCAGAAAAGGTAATGAATTGGCGTTCAACAGACATAATTTATCGGTTTATGAAAAAATCCCATCTTATAGTGGTGTTAAATATTTCAATAGCTTACCTGACAATATAAAAAATATAAGTAATTTTAATTCATTTAAAAAACGTTTGAAATTATTTCTCACCAACAGACCCTTGTATAAATTAGAAGATTTTTTCCAACTTCCTGAAATTTGATTTTATGATAATAACAATATTCTTTGTAAGTAGTCTTAAGTTTAATATTGTGTTTTTATAACTGACTCCATTCTGTACAAAATGTGCAATATGAATAAAGTTATTTTGATTGATTGATTGATTGATTGATTGAATTGAACTCCTCTTTGAATTTGCCAATCAAATACTGAAACTGAAACTTTTCCAAGTCTTGGTGATTTTGAGATTTGGTTATGACACATCACTGCTTTATACACATACAGTTGAAAAATAGACTGTGAACAGTAAAATAAATGAGCATATAATCGATGCATATTGACAAGATGTAGCCAGCCTTTACAAAAAGAAGAACATAGTCGAATGAGCCTATAACAAAGTGGGGACATAAAATGATGCTGCAGTTGAAAAAAATATTTTCAGTTTTCCATAGTTAAGAAGTTAAAACTATTCTACAGCATCAATATCAATTAAACAACGTTTTTTCCATTACTTTAAATTATTATTTCAAAACTAGCTAATACTTCAATATTTGCTATACAACCTGCTAGCAATGCCGACTGAAATGAAATCACAGTTGTCAAGTTGAATTTTATTCTAGTTTCAGCATATTGACATTAAAAGCAAGCACAATTTCTTTTGGTACTTTGGTATTATACGAAGGTCACCCTTATACAGCCCACTGCGGCGGTTATGTTGGATTGGGTTATCTTAAATATAAAGTATGACTCATCTGGTATCGTTCAATTCATAACGAAACAAGAAAAGTTCTACAAAAATATTTATGATAAATGATAACCCAACCTATCATAACCGCCGCAGAGCGCTGTAAAATATGTGGCCTCCGTATAATACCAAAGTACCTTTCTTTTATAGCGCAAGTTATATTGCATGATTGCATGGTATAAAAAATAGCTTTCTCAAGTTAATTAACAGTCTCAAAATGTTTCCTCAAATATTACTTCATGTGTATGTTACAAATCTGTGTCAAGTTAAAAAAACTGGCATAGTTTGAAGGAGGACTGAAGTTAATTCTTATATAATACATTTCAATTTTGACTAAAGAGAAATTTAATTAGATTGGAGTCACTTAAGACAAAACAAACTAAAGCAAAATATTACAAAGATATTTACACATGAGTGTCATTATTTTACTGACTCAAGCTCAAACTAAACCTAGCAGGAGCATAAACAAGTGACTTTTGTATATGTGATTTAATGGTATCAGGAAGGTGAAAACTTGTTTTAACCAAACAAAAATGGTGTGCTGGAAAACTATTTTATGAAATCTCTATGATTTTGATGAGAAGTAGTACAGGAGGAAACTATTATCTACTCTGTGGAGTTCATTAGTATTTAATTAAAAACCTCTTCGAAATAAACCCCATTGGGATAAACTATCATCTACATAATACATATTTAATCTAATATCTTTGCATGAATAACTATTTAGAGTAGTATGGCTAAATAACTGCCCATAAGAAAAAAAAATTAAAAAAAACATTAGAAAAATAAATCAATACAACAGTCTAAATAAAAGTATTACCGTTCATGCAACTAAGTTTGTAACTAGAGTAGGTGTATGTGTATGTCAATTTTCTGATTAATATCGGCTATTTCTTCACTTATTGCAGTACTAAACACTAACAGTATATTGTACTAATAATCTTATAGAATGTGTTAAAAAGTTATTTAATAATCTTGATAAATAATCAAATAAATAATCTACTAACAATATGTAGGCTTAATTTCTACAAAATTTCTACTGATAATTTTTAAGGATAAAAGGGAAAATAAAAAACGTTAAGAGGTGGGATGTAAATATTTGAATGTAGATACATTCAAACCAAGTTTGTCCAAGTTTTTTGATGTTCTCAAAGAAAATAACAGCGATTTCAGTTGTTAAAAAGTGGTGGCAACTTTTAGAAACTAAAAGTAAAATTGGACTACCATTTTTTAAGAAAAAATTTAGGATGTTTGTTATGAATATTAACATAAAACAATAATTGATAATTTGGTCTTGGACTAGAAATAAGATTCAAAAGAAATGTAGAAAGAAAATCAGGAAAATTTACTTGATAGCCAAAATACTTAAAATGGATAACGATCATTAAGTTCTGCGTTTGATTATTAATGAATTGAAATGGTTGTGTAAATAAATAAGTACAGCTGAGTCCCACAAACCCGTCATCCGATAACCTTGCAGTACGGATTCCTTGAAGAACCCTTAGTAGTATTATAAAAAAATGGGTGTTTATTGGACGAGTATGGTTAATAATACATTTGGACAAGTGACATAGTACATTTTTCACCATACTCCTCTAAACAAAACTAATTAAAACTGTCAAAATCTGTTACATTTTTCCATTGTCTTAAGGACTTAAAAATCACTTCTCATAACTTTTCTTTGAGGCTATGTTATTGTAACCACCAATAGTTTACAACCAATAGTTTACTAATAAACTAACCCAAATTTTTCTGAAAAATAGTTCTGACAGTCATGCATTTTCTTTTACAAGTTTAATGTATGTATTTTAATATCATGGTGTTGTAAATGTAGTACTGTATCTATATGAGATGTAAACAAATTCATGTTTTATTTCTCAGTTTTGATCTTTGGTCCATTTTCCAGAAAACCCAGCATTGCTCAAAATCAACATCTTTCCAGTCGGCATCACGTCAAGTTTGTGGGACTTTATTGTATAAAGAACTTATTCACTATTTGACTAACCAAGTAGACCTACTATGAGATAAATTGTAAACTATGCAAACTACAACTAAAATACTCTTAAAATCTTAGCCCTAAGTAGATCTAAAAGTTATTTGAAGTTATTCTACATAATTCTTTTAAAAATATATCATGTATTTCTATTTCTGACTAGATACTGAATTTTGTGAATTGTTTACGTAATACTGTAACCTATATGGTACTGGTAACTGTACTATCACAGTCTGGACTATAACTAGACTCACGATATATCTAAAGATCTACTTGATGTCACACAACAGCGCAACTCCCCGCAGTGTCCAGTGTCGAGGATTGTTCTCCGTTTCAAAGTCAATGCTGCCAACATACTTCTGGTCAGTCCTCTGCGGTTTACGATAGATAGGACATTCATACAACTTCGGATCTTTCCCTGCGGTTGTGTTGATGGCGTAGATGTAAATGACAGGCATCTGCTCATACAAAACCTGCAGAAAAATATAAATTGTTGGTTTTAGTTTTTGTTTTTAAGCGCTAACTCAACTATCAAAGTTATCATTATTATGGAGGAAATTGGTTTATGTAATACAGTGCCTTCCCAGTTAAAGGAAAATCTTAGCACTGTAGATAAAAGCTTACAATCCTGTCCCAATCTGGTCCGTTGTATACTTTTATACCCATGTTAAAGCTGTTGCCAGTTTTTAAATCAAAATGGACATAGAGTTGAATTGATCCACCGACCAAATACGCCAATGTCAAAAGCTCCAACTAGTTAACAGAGTCAAACTGAGCAACTTATTACAAGCTAAACCATAATTTATGTCAAATCAACTTGGTAACAGAAACTTATAGAAAATATAATCTTAGACTAGCGGTACTCTGTGAATGGCTCATTTAATTATGTTCTTTTTGCATGAAAAATAGGCTACAGCTGTTCTATATAGATGGGATTTCTAGTTCAGTATCCATAATCAATGGTGGCTGCTAACTGCTACTGACCTTGGGCTTGCTCTCCATTAGTTTGCCAGAGCGGTGGTCCAGAGACGCTCCTTCCAGGAACAGGCCGTGAACGTACACCCCTTCTGGTGGAGAGTCGTTGAGCTCCTCCTTGGTGTGACGGGTGATGAGGTTCTGAAGAACCACAGAGTCCAACGCCCATCCCTTGTGAGCTCTTGTCACCTCCTGTAGGCACAACAGTTGTGACTGTAGTCTTATTTGTCAGTTGAATAAAATGAAAATGATTCTAATTATTGAGGCAAATTTAGGACTTTGGGCAAATGTAACACTTACTGGTAACCTCTGAAAATTAATACCCATAGTCAGGGGAGCGAGCTGGTCTAGTGGTAAAGCTCTGGGCTTCGGAGCCTGAAGTTCCAGGTTCAAATCAACGACCCTCAAGGCCTAGCCTGAAGCAATGTGTAAAACATTCTTAGCTAGAACCTAGTGTCTTAGGATGTGAAGGTGGGGAAATATATCCATTGTAAACAAATACTAATGAAAAAAAATGGATAGACCTCCTATCATTCAGGTTCAACTCTACACAGCAACCAGGCCCATTGTACACTACCCTTTCATGTAACATCCATACAGGGGCGGACTGGGTACTCTATTAGGGCGTAAACCTTGACCAGCCCGAAGGCGCCAACCGGGGGGTCTAGGGGGTATGGAATACCCCCCTGTACAGAGGGGGGTCCGGGGGTCCTCCCCCGGGCCATTTTTTAAAAATTATACCTGTAAACTCGCATTTTTAGGCAATCTAGATATCTGATTAGCAATCTAGATCTGGCATTAACAGTGGAAAATCAGAAATCTGATAACTGACACTATTGGTTAATGTTTGGTTTACAAAATTTAGACTATTTACCCACACGACTTGGTGCTATTCTGACAGTAAATATCCTAAAAAAAATAAAAATACAAATGATTTTCTTGGGTTCTTTCGTATTATATTTGTGTATTTTCTTTGTTTTCCCTTGCATGGCTTGGCTGCATGCATACAATATAAATCATTTGCTTCCTGTTTACAGCATGAACTTGCAACTGTTGTATTTTTTGGCACTGTAAATAACAGAAGTTATATATTTTAGATTTCTATGAAATTATTTTAACACAAACAATATGCTTTCACTGTGAACAAAACCAATTTATTGACTTAAACTTTTTAGCATTACATTAAGTCAAAACTGTAACCCTAAAGTAGGCCTACCTAACCTATTTCTACAAACGAAATAGCCTAGAGAGAACTAAGAAGGTATTTTAGGCTGGCTATCTGTAAGTAAAATAGGAAAGTTGACAAAATTAGTGTCATAGTGCATATTGAAATAGTTAATTAATAGGCTGTAGCCACATATTAAAATACTGTTTACTGTTTAACCTTTACTGTGTAATGGTTAAGTTAACAAATAAATACACTGTCACTAAATATATTTAAATTTTGTAAAAGTAGTGATTCTACAATACTGCTTTCGTTCATGTTTCCTGTGTAGGTAAAGAATATAAAAATAAATTGAAGCTTTCGACACAGAGACACAAATCAGACACCCACTAAAGAGAGACACATTTTAATTGGCACTGGCAGCTCACACTCTTTATTTATTTATTACATGCACGGCAAACGCCATTTTACAAGAGAGTTGAGTTGATATTGATAAAATTAAATGTGACTTAAAGTGAAATAAGTGAAATAGTTATAGTGTAAGCAATAATTAAATATTATAACAAATATGAATAATATTAAATTATCTTCACTAGTTGTTTACCACAGACGACATCGTGACACCGACCAATGTCGGATGTAGTCGCAGTCACGAATACTAGAAAAATACCGGTATGGATCACACGTACATAAACAAATGACGTTGTTGGCCCGAATCCTATACTGAGCATTGAACATATGATTTGGCAGTTCCAAATAATGTTTATTTTCGGGCCAAAAATTTAATTTGTTTATGTTTATGATCCATACCGGCATTTTTCTAGTACTCGTGGTCGCAGTGCAGTTTTTTTCGGGATCGGCGTAAAATGACGCGGGAAGAGGACAGCCACAGACAATATAATACTATATTGTCTGTGGGACAGCTGTTTGCTCAGACCACAGAGTAAAGTAAGTGCCTTCCACTCGGAGTAGGCCTACACGTACGAGAGAGAAGAGCTGCTTTGCTCTCGCTTGTCGACAGTGTCTATTCAGGTCTCACACCCGACTTTATGTTTTGCTATTCACTGCTGAAACTTTAACTCTAAGTTTTTCCTCTTGCTTTCAAAAAAATACATCTCGTCTCATTTTTAAAATTTTTTTTATGAATTTTTCCTTTAACGAGGGCGCAAATATTGGAATGTTGAGAAGGCAATATAATTTATGAGTCACTAATGGCCTTGTGGACTGCTGTGTAGAGGACTCCGGCCGGTGGGCCGGCGGGCCAGTCCGCCCCTGCATCCATAACAGTATTCTGTCAGTTTACTATGGAGATGTTATCATGTATCAATACATGTCCTAACCATCTAATGTTGGAGCTGATTGACGGTTTGGTGGTTAATAAATCCTGAACTACAAATTAGTTGTTGTTACGAGACCAACTAAATGTTCCCTCTACAATTATCATGATGATGTTGGATTTTTAAACATAGTTTCTATCTGACCTGTCTCATAGCAGTCAAGAAGCCCTGAGGGTTGAAGAAACCAGTCATCCAGAATACATTGGGTCTCCCATGCTGCACCCAGCGGCGAAACTGAGCATCTCTCTCTAGCAGCTCTGTGTACCAGAAACCCAGCGTGGCAGACTCCCAGGACACCTGTCACAGAATAAATGCTGTATGTAGGCTACATCGACCATCAAAGTAAAATATTGCCCAGCAGCTTCTGGATTAACATGGTTAAAATTTTGGATGTGTACGAGACAGCATCACACTATGTTGAAGGCTCTTTACCATTGTGGAAGTTACTGTATAGCAGGCAGAAATTGAACAATTTATTGAAGAACACAACAAAAGAAATACTACACAAGTTTGAATCAAACCAAACACAATATTCACCTTTTGCCATCGTTCAGGGATGCGAGCGTCATACATTGCATCCAGAGAATCCCTCAAGCCTTGACTCATCACTATTGTCCCGTCTATAGCCAGCTTCAGATCTGTCAGCGTGGACTGCACCTGTAATATAGGCATGTACAGATCCACTTAGACCATCATATTTGACTTATAAAAGGTTATTTTAAAAACCCAAGTCCTGAAGGGGTTAATTTTTCATGGTCAAAGTAAAAGTATGCAGAAAAAAGCGTTGGAATAATGAAGTTAGGAAAGTCAAGACCAAGATGAGAATGACAGAAGAAGATGCAAAGGACAGATGACAGTAGATTCAGCCCGTTGGAGAGGCTGAGTACGATCTGTACGATCTGAAGCGGTCATGGCCTTTGGAGAAAGTACATAAGTAGAAAGAGTAAGTGAGATATACAGCTAGCTCACCTAAAAATAAAACACAAATAAACACATAAGGTTTTTAATATCTTTCATGAAGAATATCTCTAGGTTAAAAGACCGAAAGACTAATAGTTGGAGCCTGTCAGATGTGTGACTGCTTTTACAATGTCAAGATTTACCATTGTCTAGTCTCAGAGACCATTTATATCAATTTAGTAACCATTTGCGCAGTCACATACCAATCCGCAAGCGATTACTTTACTGTAACTTTTGTCACTGACAAAATAAATTATATAACTTTTTTTCAGTTAGACAAGAAATTTAACAACTTAAGACATTCTTACTGAACTAACTTGACCTTACCTCTTTGATGACTCGCTGGATCCTGTCTATCTCCTGACGTAAGAAGATGTTCATGGGCAGCAGAGCCCCCATACGGTGCAATGCCTCCTTCACCTCAAAGCTGTTGTACTGTTTAGGCAGCTTCTGCAGCATATCCTCGGCCAGTCTGTACACGATGGTCTCCCTCGTCTCTCCCCCCTGTGAGCCTCCCTCCTTTGGCTGCACACTCAGGATAGTGTCCAGGATACCCTTGGCTGTGTTGATCTGGTAGCTGGAATAATCCATAGTACAGGAGTAAATATTATGTAACACTAAGTAGCACTATTCAATTTTGGATACTAAAGTAGACCTATTGTACCAGTAGTAGCCAATTTTTATCCAACGTTAACATATTGAAATTGGTGTAAGGTTTAGATACAGTTACAAAAAGAACTTCCAATACACAGATATTCAGTTGATTAACAATTCTGTAGGATAGGTTATACAGTTACTTGAAAATGAAAATAAAATCAAAATACTATTCTTAATAAATAATGACCAAAGCAAACTATATACTTTCTAATTATATGCACTGGTAGGTGCCAAAAACGGTGGAATACAAGATCAAAACAAAACTGATCATTAAACCATAAATTGAGAATAAAGAAAAGTGTGATGTGCAGCTATTCCTTGAACAGTGTTTCTGTTCTATCAACACTCACGTAATGTCTGCATTAGCATGTAGCCCAAACACTTCAGGGGTGTCAGTAGCTGGCAAGCTGTTTACATAGTCTATGTAGCCCTGAAAGATTAGCAGTGAACCACCATCAGTCCCTAATACACACTGAGTAAATACTGTTACAACATTAGGACTCAAGGTTGATTTTGCATTCCTTCCATTACCGTTACAGAAATATTACAAAATCATGAAGCAAATAAGAAGTGTGGACTAGAGAATGACACGTGTAAGCCACATTGCTTAAATTGAGCCTCTAACGCTCCGTAATATTACGATACCAAATATCCCCTATCCATTTCCAGTTGGGCCAAAAATGGTGTGTTGAGAGGACAGCATGATATAAAAATAAACTTTTATGAAACTCAGCTAACTTGCAATGGAAATGGCTTAAACATTTTTGGAAGATCTTGAATTCTATCCACATTCAGGAGGTTCCTCCATTTCAGAAAAGGAAAAATAATTTCTAAGAACTACAAGACCGACCTGCAAGCTGCGAGTGATGGGGACTTTGTACCCTCGATAGAATTCAAATCCAGGTCTCAACAGCACATCACAAAACCACACCTGTAAGTTGCATAACTTGAATTACTCAACTCCTTACAATTTTATATCCTAAAGAATTCTATCTTCTATTTACAAGTAGATACTGACTTGAGACTAAAGTTATGTTGGAAAAACAACAACACTTGTGAATCGTAAACTTACCTGGGTGAATGTAGTAAGAAGTCGCTTGTCAAAGTCGTCAGTGACTCTTCCACCATACTGAACCTCTCCCAGCATATAGCAGACAGTGGGCCACGAAATACCCTGTAAAAAACGTACACTGTGAATATGCCTATTTTATTGTAACAAGAATTACAATTTTAATTTTTTCATTTTTATATCTCTATATATTCACTGACACAACTGAACAAAACCAATGGAGATGTGAAAAAATGTATTCGATTTGCAAGAATTTCTTTACTAGGTACTCACCTTTTTGGGGTCCATGTCATCGAGGTGGTTTTGTATGAACTGAACGCTAGCAGCAAAGTCAGCCTGGTTGAACTCGTAGGGAATGTTCCAGCCGAGAGGACCAAACTTGCGTCTCTCCTGTACCACGGTGTGGAGAAACGCTACGGCGTACAACAGTGGAGGCCACTGCGGCTGGGTAGAGTAGTCCAGCGTGTCCTTGGATAAATTAAAAAACCTTTATTTGTGAATATTTCTCTGTACAGACTGATTTCCATGATAACTTATGTTATATGTCTAATGGTACCTTGAAACAAAAATTAAGTTTGAGACTGATTGTTTACAATGATTAAAATGACAACTATATAATAATCATTATATTATCTTACAATTTTAATCAAACCTTGATTGGAAAGATGTCCCCTATACAACTTAGGCCAAAACCAAGAAAACCTCTACTACCCACCGAAATTTCCACAAGTGAGGCAGATATTCTTGTATTGTGGATTTTGTAGAGAAAGAAGAATAGTTATGTGACTAAGACCCACTTACTTGCGTGATATTCTGATACGTCCGCTTCATGCTGGCTCGTATTCCCTGAGGCGGCTCGTTGGTGAACTTGATAGCACTCTGCAGCAGTCCGATAGGGAACTGAGGATGAACCTCGGTAGTCATCCACAGACGGAATGACTCATCAATAGTCTCCGTATCTACAAGTGCGTCCATGGCTTCATTGCAGAACGGTAGAGACAAGTGGATGTTCTGCAGGAGCACCCAGCCTCCCTCGGCCATTGCATCGGATATAAGTCTTCTGGCATGCACCTCCTGACCTTGTCCCATGGACACTGCTCTCAGCGCTGCAACCACGACAAACCAGCAGTGTTACTACCTCAACAGAAGATCTTGGATGTCCAAAGTTAAAAGTAGGATTTATATTATTATCATAACAATAATGTGCATTTTCATTACTAACTTCCTACATTAATATCCTAGGCGTTCCAAAAATGTTCCTCTATTTTAATTGTAAAAAAAGATTAGCTCCTACAACAAAACAACAATAAGTCAAATAAATAATTTAATAGTTATGATTGCCCATTAAATTTTGTTCGCAGGATGAACTTGGTCATCATTAACAATTTTATCTTTACACGGATTGAATGGAAGAAAACTAAACGACTTACTTATTGTTACGTCTCAGATTGTGGATTAATAAATATACATTTTTAATCAGTTAATTATCCCTAAGGATATCCATGCCAACACCCTTAATTCCCTCTCCCTGCTTAGGATTTTTTTAGGGAGAGGTGGGATAATGCATTTATGCACACAGGTGGATAGCCTGTAGTGTGCGACTCCATCGGGTTTAAGACCCAGAGACTACCCACTAAAAACCTCCTCTGCTCTTCAGACACAAGCCTGGGAACACTGGTCGTACTTCATCAGAACTAGGCCGAGTTTGCCTACCTTCGAAGGGCTTACTCCATGTCTAGCCGTGCTATTGACGACATACTTAACTATGCTAAATTGTATAACCTATCCAATATGTCCTAGTCTAAAGTACCCTCCTCAGCTCCTGATGCACTACTGAACTCTGGTCCACGTCCATCTCTTCCTGGATATCTCACCCCTTCCCTTGCTCTGCATCGGGAGGTGTCTTCATACATATTAACTTATCAAGGCAGTGGTGTGACGTGTAGTTACTCACAGATTTCCTTGGACTTTGCGAGCGCCGTGATCTGAGGTGACGGGTCAGACCCGATGCTGAGGATACAGATGAGAGGAGTGCGAGGTTCTGACTCCTGCCATGTCACCTCCAGGTCTAGGATACAAGCCTCCCCATACTCTGGCCCCAGCGACTCTGTACAAATCAGCACATAGCTTTGCATTTGAATAATTAGTATAGTCCTGTCTTTAGATGGAGCATAACATGCATAATTTGATTTACTTGCCTCCAACAATTTTCTTATGACAATATAACTAATTCTACAAATGAACAAAGTTGTAAAATATATTGTGATGATGAAAATTTGATTTGATTCTTGGACCAATGACTGAAGAGTAATAATGGATGTTTCCATCCATTATTAGGGACATTTTTTTGTGTTTGACGTTTTATAGTGCTGTATCTCCCTCAATTATGACTTTTCCTCTGATTTTTTTCATTGATTTCATACAAGTTTTATTGTTTAGTATTGATGTTGATTCATCAAAGCTAAATCAACAAAAAATAAGTTAACAAAGTAACTCTTTATGGTTGGTTGATGTAAAAAGTTAGTGATTGGAAATGAATACTCAATGCAATTCATATTCTAAATGTTACCAAACCTCTAAATCACATAAACTGTACATTTTGGTAAATTTAATGAGCAGTATTACAGTAATTGGGATATATGGTAATTGATTTTAAATATCCTTATCAAAACTCTAGTCAAATTGATGATCATACGCACCAATGATATATTTCCTGGCCTGAGAGAGTGTACGGTCCGGACTCCAAGACCGGATCAACAGGAGTTTCCGAAACACATCCAGGGACTTCTGGTATCCACAGGGAAGCTCTTCCTCTTCCGGCTTCTCTTTCTCATACCAGTTTCTCCAGTCTCGTTCATTTTGTTTTATCTGCAGTAATAAAAAGAATTTTCACAATAAACTAAGTGAATTGCAAAAAATACATTCAAAATTGATGTTTTTTTTTTACACAAATAACGACCGTTAAACTGTTGGTGACATGGTTTCTAAAAATAAAAAAAACCCAATAAGAAGTTTATATCTAGACTAGACTGGAAAATACAATTAATTGGTTTAAAAAAGATCAACTTGTCGCAGAAAAATAAATAAAATTTTACGATTTATAACATTTTGTAATAATTTAACATAAACTTTTATAGTCCACTATAGCTTTAATGGAACCCTTAATGGAGCGCTTTGGAATGTTGAACTTTATCTATCACCTTCACTTCTACCTTTGTTGTATGTAATTTAATTTTTCAAATGTTACAAAGAAAAATACTTGTTATACTACACCATTACTAATCTGTTTTACATCTACTCAGGAATATGAAATACTAAAATACATAAAATGAATGTTATCTTTTTACCTTGGTCAATATAGCTGAGAATGTCTGTAGCTTGTTGATCTCCACCAAGTTCAACCATGTTATGTCCAGAATCCAGCGGAAAGGTTTTGGAGTAACACCATTGAGATCAAGGGAGGCTCCACCTAAATAATATTTAATTAAGTCTAATTATTATGTTCATAATAATTTGTTTGAGAAAATAACTGAGGGGTAATTACAAGGACTACCAAAAGAAGAACAGACGTTTTGGGTAGGCGTGGCAGTGGAAATGGGTAGTATCTCCTTGTCTGAATGATTCTATATATTATTTCCCAACCAGCCATTGCTTCTAACCTGCTTGTTTTTCCCGTGATTGAATACACAGTAGATTTTAAATATGAGCAGTGCAATTAAAAATCTTGCCAGTTAGGTTTGTGTTGTTTAGCAAAAAAAAAAAAAAAAAAAATCAAACTGATTTGAATAATTCCAGCAGTAAAGGAAGTAGTAAATGTAATATATTTCTCTACCTGTACTGAAAGTAAAACAGAATTGAAACAAAATGATATGTTGAAGTGGAGGAGATTGTATTTATAGTTCAGGGTAGGACAGGATTTTTATTTCATTACTGATTGTCGGAACAGGGCAAGACAGAATTTTTTCCCATGCAAAAAAGTTTGTATTTAAAATTCTTCATTGCATATTCTTACAGATAGCAATAATGACAAACAAAAAATGAGAATTAAAATTCTTTATAAAATATCACATTTGTTCAAGATTCAATTTACCTTTGATGAATGCCATGAACTCCTCGTGTGTTATCAGCCCCTTGTGACAGTCTATCTTCATCCCCAGCATGAGGGTAAACAGTGGCTTGTGTCGCTCGTACAAGCTGCGTAGAGTGAACTTCCAAACTTCACAAGTCAGGTAGCGTAGAATGTTCTCTATCCGTTCCTCTGTCACTGGACTCTTTGTGGACCTAGTCATATTTACACAATCAATATTTTAGAATTTTTTTTTCTTTATTTTTTATATTAAGAGTCTTTAGAAAGAACATTTATTTGCAGAACCTTCAGAGGTACAATTGTTTATAATAAAATATTAATTTTTCATAGCAACGAGGTGACATTAGCGAGTTCCTTTAATGACTTTAACTCTTCGACTTCAAAGGCCAATATATATTAGACACAAGAGTGACATAACCAAACAAATCTACTTAAATGTCTTAAATTATTGTAAAATATTGATTTACTTTACAATATCCATTGTCCAAAGAATTCACTGTAACTTTACTACATGTTTTAAAATATAATGTTTTGTGGCAACTGTCACATCTTACACAAATATGTAGTTAGTAACAACAACTTTCATAGGATATTGCAAGGTATGCCTCATATTTGTCTTTGAAGCTCAAAGGGTTAATCATTCATCAGTTTCACACTGACTTGGTGATGGAGTTGTCGAAGATAGTGAGGAACTGGCGCAGGGAGTTCTGGTACATGACGTTGACGTTGCTCATCTCCACTATGAGGAAGTACAGGATGGAGCCTCGTGCCGCAACAGCTCTGAACTCCTCCCGCGCCACCATGATCTTGCGCTCAGTGTGTTCTGACACGTGCAGCTTGGCGTTCACCTCCTCCGCTGTGGTCTTTGTCTCCTGCAGTACTTGGATGAGGGCTTCATCATCCACCAACGCTCCCTGTGGATATCTACACTTACTTTACACTATATTGACTTTTTTTAAAAATATACCTGGATAATTCTAAACACCAAGAAACCCCAAAAAAATTCAAATCTTCTAAAATTTGTGTTGGATAAGTTTGGTAATCAAGAGCTTGAAATGTCACAAATGATGTCAGTAAATGGTGATGAGCCTGTTCCGGCGTACAAGCGAACTATTCAGATTTATATGCAAAACTGGCCCTTAAAAAACCACCTTCGTAGAAATTGAATTGTATATGAATTGTATTAAGAATTGGGAATCAATGTCAAAATTTTACTGTTGGGATTGGAATCAAATGGTTTTAGTCTCAGCCTAGCCACTGACGATGCTACTTCAAAGTAAGGGAAAAAAGTCTGGCAACAGTGTATTAGTGACGACGCGGTTGAAACCGAAAAAAAAAACACTATGACCTCTTGTCGTTACACCAGCTGCAAAAGCTTATGAAAGAAGAATTTACCAATCACCTTGGTGGATGTGAGGCGATGAAGTAGGTTGCTCTCCAACTCCTTCATACTTCTCTGGTTTTGCATCACAGATTCAAACAGAGCTACCCTCTCTGCTTCCAGATCTGACTTCTCCATCAGAATCACCCGACCTGCAGATAACCATAACTTAGAAACAATGTTTGTAAATCTCGCCACCTTTTTATTACACATTCACTGTGTTAACACTAGAAATAGTACACAGTACATCACTGGGCCCTAAATTGGCTCTTTTTGACTCAAGCTCAAGTTTGACAACCAAGGCCAATGTGAAATTGTCATGAAGTAAATAGTTTTAGGATAATACAGAATCTTTCACAAAGCTTACAACTCCTGTCCATAATACCTAGCAGCTGGTCCTCCAACCCCTGCATGGTGACAGTAAAGTCTATGATGGAAGTCTTGGCGCTGATCTCCGGTGAGTACGCAGGGTTTGGTAGTTTTGTGGTGATGTACAACATGAAGCCAGGCATCACGTCATTCTCTTTGTCACCGACTACAACCTAAATCATCACTAAAATTAGCAGATTCTCTCAACATATTTTCTGTTGTAAAAATGATGTGACAGGTAATGCACAGACTAAGCTTGAGGGTTTAGAGTGTAAATTTTGTAACTTTACAAGGTTTTCCTCTTGTAATGTAATAAGTACTAAGTCAGGTATTTTGAAAATATCAATTGAACTGCTCCAACATTCGGTAGCTTGGATCAGATGATACTGATAGTGATAACCTTCCATTACCCAGTCAGTTGTTGCGTAGTTAGCCTGTGCATGTCAACCACCATGTTGAATTTATTTGTTATCAATATTTGGGTTTATAAATGTAATATTCAAGTGACAACAGAGTTTTAGAACTACTAAGCCCTTCACACCTTTGAAGAGTTTATTTTAGAAATCTAAATTAATCTTGAAAAATTTCATAACTGGAAAAGTTTTTACTTTGAAGAAAATTTAATCATTAAAAATAAAAATCTCTTATGGGTGACACCATATAATATCTCAAAGAACAGTTAATATTCTATGACTATATAACTTTAGAGAAAACCCACCCTGTTTCATTACAAATAATCGAGCATCTCCCAAGGATACTAAATTTCTTTGTACTATTGATTGAATTGGAAGGGGCTGACTCTTACTCCAGGCACATTAACAATATATCTTATAATGACATCTTATCGTGCATTTCTTGTACTCTGCCCATAAGCTTTAAGATTACTTTTTCAATAGAGCCAGACTTGATGAAGTTCTTCTCCAGCACGTTGTCTATGACAGGGTCCAGCTCTTCACCCACATCTTCTATCAGCAGTGGCCGCCCCAGGGACAGACTGTCCTCTAGATGGGTACGGAAGTACTTGTGGTTCAGGGAGGTGATCTACAGGGACAAGAATGAGTGAACAATGTTAATCGTTCTTTCAAAGAGCTAAACATTCACCATTCATTATCAAGAAATGTAATCATATGCGATTAAGGTAAGTCACTTCATGTTTTGTCCTGGTATATCTATGTATGTATTACGTACACATAACTACGCACTCAGGTGGAAATTCCCCAAATTTGTTAAGACTTGTAGCAAAAACCAGTATATATTTTAGCAAATCAGCCCGAAAAGCAAAATTATGATAGATTTGTTCATAATTTAGCAATTCGATTCAGCTTACAAAGAAAATAATTTAATTTATCTGTCCATAAGTGTGTAGCTGAGTGGTTTTAGTGCTTGCCTGATAATCAAAAGGTCTGTAATTTGATCGCGTCCACACTACTGCAAAGTAGTTTGTTATGTTTTACTTTCCCAACTGAGGACCGGATTAGTTCCACACCCTGAAATGTTGAGAAAATTTAGTTTATTTTCAACTAAACAAAAAATGTATGTAATAATCTTGAAAACAACACACTATGTTACCCTGGTGGAGGATAAGTTATATAAATTTGTATATGTGAATTCAGTTAATTAATTTTACATACTTGTAGCTCGTTGGTAGCTTCCTTGTTCTTGATCCACATCTTTCCCTGGTTCTGAGGATCGACCAGCAGAGGGTAGGAGCTGGATTTTGTGACAATCAGTGCATTCTGCACCGACAACTCGTCATTAGGGAGTCCTTGAAGTGTCCATTCTGACACCTGCAGACGATACATCAACCTTGTACATTACATCAACCTTGTACATTACCATGTACATAAACATGAACATTTTATTTGTTACTTACTTTGTTAATACTTTGTTACTTTCTTTGTTAATTACTTGATTCCAATCTGGGTTAGTTTTCAGAAAATGATTCAAATAGTGAACTCTGACAGTCAAACGTGCTTTATACAACTGACTTTTTAATTTGCTATGACTATGAGACTAATTTATCAACTGAACATAAAATTCATACTATAGTTCGGCCGCTTACAAAACGACCTGCGCGCTAATGCCAAACCAATGCTAGAGGAGGTCGTTTTCTAAGCGTCCGAACTATAAAAATCACTTTGACATGATCTTCAGTCCAGTGTGAATAAAATACAGCAGGGTGATGTAACGAGAGTGCCCCAATTTATAAATAGTATAAACAATTTACTATTTAATAGTATAAACATATACTTAGTACTATTTACAGAACTTACAGAACTACTCAAATAATCAAGAAAATCAGCCACAGTCTAAATAAACTTAACTAAATGTTTAAACATTAATACATACCATAGAGCTCTCCACCAACATGTTAGAACTACTTAAAAAATCTAGAAAATCAGCCATAGTCTAAAATCAACTTAACTAAATGTTTACACATTAATACATACCATAGAGCTCTCCACCAACATGTTGGTGATGTTGAGGTTCTGGGTGAACGGGATCTCTCTGGTCTTGAGGATACTCATCCAACAGGTTACCAAGTTTGCCCGGAACTCCTGATTGTATGGTCCACAGTATGACAGGAACCCAGTGGCGAGAACTACATCACCAACCAGTCTGATGACAAACAACTCACCATTAAAATGCCAAGCTAATTTTTTTTTTGTTAATTTGTTTAAAAGAAATAATGAGGTTAATGATATAAGTTAACATGGTACAAGGGCCTAGGTTTTAAGAATAGTTGTGGGCATCCTGATGAACAAAATTAAAATATATATATAATAAAAGCTTGGGGAACAAGTTTTTCAGCATGTGAAAAGAGGAATTTAACCTAGACAAATGAGGATGAAACAGGCTTCAGACCCAGAAAATTACCCAAAAATGAGGATCAGCAGACATAGAAGGCTTAAGTTGCTAAACCAATGACAATGAAAGAAAATATGGAATAAATTAAAACATCTAACACTATCCAAGTAAATCAAAGACCCCTGACCTGCCAAGCTGCTTCTTGAACTCTTTGCTCTGTTCCGTCCAACGAATCTTCTCGCCCCCCAGTCCGTTTATAAGAGCTGTGGCCGCTGTCATTTTTCTGATGCAGGAGTTCGCAGCATCAGTGAGTCGCTGTTTTTCACTCACGGCTGCATCGTACTGCGCCTTCACCTGGTTCAGTGCTTGTTCCCTTGCCATCAACTCACTCTGAGCCGCATTTAAATCGTCATCTGCCAGCTTCAGACGAGCTTCTTGCAGAGTGAGGTTAGCCTAAGAGTATCATGACTATTAGTACAGTTTATTAGATAGTAGCTAGATCTACATTTTGTGAACATGATAAGAGTTACTTTGAGAAAATACCCTAAGGACCATTAGACAAGATATAAATTCCTACTGGACTAAAAAAACAGGATTACAACTTATTGCTTATTGCAGGTATTTTCAATCAACAAACTATCCACATGGTTTTAAGGTTTTCATAGTCTTGTGTGTACCCAGAAATTTAAACAGATTGGAGTTATTGTTTCCTTAAAACAGGAAAATAGATAACTTATCTGAACAGTGGAACCTTTCAAACCTTGAGTGGCAACACCTCCTTGTTGACGCTGTGGAAGAACGCCATAGCCTTGGTCCATGAGAGCAGACCGGCCACGTCACCACACACTCTCTTGGCAGTGTCCATGTTGTAGTCTTCCATCTCAAAGTACGGATTAAGCAACTCCACCATCTCATTGTTGATGATGTCCTTGGGGTAATTCTGTAGCTGCAGCAGGAACGTCGTGCTGGCCATCATCTGATAGAACATTTAATGTAAAAATGGAGAAAAACAAGTTATAAAGTTTAAGGAGTTAGTTAAAAATAATAGTTTTTAGCGCAGCAACACGCGCCGGGTAACTGCTAATGCAGCATAATAGGAAAGAGTAAAATGTACTTGTCAGACTAACAGATACATAACAGAGTAAAACTAACAAATACTGTTTAGCAACAAATCAACGAAGAAGATAGGAGAGGAGGGTTAATAACTTCAACTTCCAAAAGTTTTTAGTTCCAATATCTCAATCTCAACTCTCATATGATGCCTGCACTAATACTTTTGAGTTAAACTTCACCTTAGACACCTACAGCTATACCTATGTAGTTATACCTTAAGAGACTCTGCCCAGGAAGGTTTAGGGCAAGGAGCCGCAGTGTCTCCGATGACTGAATGCAGCTTACGTTGGAATAAGATCAGCACACAGTCCATGATACGCATGATCAAGTGTGGAGGCCGGCCTAGCTTCCGCACAGTAGCTGGAAACAACAAACATTTCATAGTTTACAGTATCGTCAGGTAAATGAGTAAATCAAAAATTTATATTTGGGAATCCTGTTGCATAATGCCCTGTTCTACCTTAAACCCTGCTGAGGTACATTTCATAAGTAAACATAAGGAATTATATTTTGAAACTTTTGTTTGATTATTTACTTAACTCAAATATGCTTGCCATAAGGGAAAAAATAAATCTGTGCTTCCTTTCCAGCAGGAGAAATTATTTGTCAGTGTCTCTGATACTGTTTATTTAAGTTAGTTAAATAATATTTTCCAAAGTCTTTTAAAGATTTTATAGACTATCGAATTGATATTGGATACGACAATGGGTAAAAGACATCCAACTACCAAAACATCTCACCAATATGCGCAGGTTTAATGGTATTAAGTGCAGCCTCTGCCTCCTCTAGCGCAGGTTTGGCCGCCTCCAGTTTCTGCTCTGCTAGTGCCTTCTCCTTCGCAATGTACTCGACCAACGCCTCAGCCTTCTCCTTCACCTTCATCACCTGGTTCTTCACCATCTCTGCCTGCATAGCTCTCTCTGTTACCTCCATCAGGACTGTCTCTGCCTGTGAATTGATAAATAGTTCAATAACATGCTTTTATTATGCAATGACCATCACTTCTCAGTTAACAACTGTTTATTGGAGGTACTGTTGTCAAATATATTGTATTATATGATTAAAAAAGTCAAAGTCACTTAAAAAAATCATCTACAATCTCATAAACAGAATCTAGTTCAGTGTGGCTTCCAACTTTGATTCTAGGACAGCTCTTAGAAGATGTTAGGAAGTTTGTTGTGCTATTTTGGACTGATAGCCCCTTCTTTTATGCTTGAAATGAACCTTCAAGATATAGTTTGTCTTGCAAAATATTCCTAATACGGTCTAAATTGGTTGTACTTCATTGATGTCCATTCCAAAAGTCAATAAACAGAACCATTTCTGGTCCTGGAAAAAAATGTCTGGCCCCCTTTAATTATGATAGGCATTTGACTGTTGAATCTTATCAGCCTCACCTTCTGAGAAGCCTGGGCCAGTTCCCTCTCCATGACTGCCAGATCCTTCTTCAGTATTTCCACGGACTGAGAGGCCTCGTCCAGTTTGGCCAGTCCAGTGTCCATCCTCAGAGCTCCGTCCCCGAGCTCCTTCTGCTTGTTCTGGTAGATGGTCTTGTAGCCTCCAATGAAGTTCAGGTACGACTTAGGGGTAACATGGGTAGCCCGTCGGAATCTGTAAAATAAATTTAGAATACAATAGCAGAAAGTTAGGCTTTAGCGTTGATTTGTCATTACACCATTTCATCTTTACAACTCATGCTAATTGCAGGCATAGTTGGGAAAATTAGTCAAAAATTCCAACTAGGCCTAGTTAGAAGTTATTAGTTAGTCACGTAAAAATTAACTGATAGAAGTTATAGTTAGTTAAAAAAACTAACTGATAGAAAATAAAGTTATTTTTTGTAGATGTTAGCTGTTTGTTGGGCAGTTTTTTTAAAGGATTTTGTAATGACACATCTTGGTTACTAATCAATACCATAATACAGTATGAGTAAAGTTTGCGCACAATGATTAAAAAACGGCTCCTAAGATTTCTTCAAATTGCAATGCTATTGGGGGAGAACTGCTTATATAATACATTTGCATTGTATGATCATATGATGTATTACCAACCAAAGGGATAATAATTACGACTGTTCAAAAATATTAAGTGTTTTACCGCAAAACATTATACACTGATATTGAACTAAAAATCTAAAGGAAAGGCCAAGGACGTTTTGTAGTTTTCGACGATGCGCCGCACGAATTGATGCGTTATTACACCAACCCCTAATTATAGTTGTGACGTTCCGCGATCCCAGTGACTTGATGCAATAACGGTCAACAGATAACAGATGTTGATGTTATGTATCATGTTGACATTTTTTAAATATTATATTGTAGACATTTTATAGATTGCTCGTCCACATGAATATGTTTGTAAGGTAAATTAAGGATGAGTAGATGTCTAACAAAAACGAATTGACTTTACAACTTAGCTCGGTCCCCTGGTACTTGTGTTTTAGTCAAACATTGTCACATTTTACATTACTACAACAGAAACAAATGACTTAAAACTTGTCAGATAATGAACATCAACTGAATATAATATTTTGACACTTGAGATGATTTATCAATCACCAAACAAACATTCCCCCTTCCCACCCCTCAGTGCTTGGGGTGTTGGTAATGGCCGTCACTGCCCTTCCACAGGCCCACTGCATTCCAAAGCAACTGGACTTTGACTTTCTCTTTCCCAACCCCCCACGTTGTTTGTCTTCAAGGGCGCTGACCTTTCACGGCCGCACGCAACCCTCACTGATCACGTGAAATAGATAACACGTGTTTGATATGATTCCGCATAATTGGGAAAGCTAGTTAAAAATTGTAACTAGTTAGAAGTTATTAGTTAGTCCCGTAAAAAGTAACTGATAGAAGTTATTAGTTTAAAAAATAACGAATAAAATAGAAGTTAGCCAAAAAAAACTAACGAATATTGCTATTCGTTAAAATTTCTATTCGTTATTCCCAAGTATGATTGTAAGCAGCAATATATAATATTCCACATTCATCTATCTATACTATTATAAAAAAGAGGTGGTTGCTGTATGTGTGTATGGGAAAAGTAAACTCGAAAAATACTGGTCGGATTGGGCTGAAATTTGGCATGATGATAGCTCACATTCCCGATTAACATATAGGCATATTCTTATTTCAAAAATCCTTTCGGGCTCCGCCCCAGTGGCTCTGGAGTTTCCCATGTTAACCTTATGAGAAATGGAATTATTGAATCTTAACAGCTGTTTCAATTAAACAAGTTGGTTCTGTTCTATGATGTTCAATAGCATTAAAGTTACAAGGATTACCAACAGGGTGCAGCACTATTATTTCTTTTACATTTATGACAACAGCTAATTTGCAACCAAAAGGTGAGTGAGCGTAGCGAACGAACTTCAACCTGGAGGCGTGTTAGCGTAGCGAACGAGCTAACCTGAAGGCAAGTGAGCGCAGCGAACGAGCTCCAACCTAAAGGTGAGTGAGCGTAGCGAACGAGCTCCAACCTAAAGGTGAGTGAGCGTAGAGAACGAGCTCCAACCTAAAGGTGAGTGAGCGTAGCGAACAAACTTCAACCAGGACGTGATTGAGCCATGCGAACGAGATAATCTTGAAAATTAAGAAGTTAAACGGGGCAAAGCCCGCGGGTTACAGCTAGTAGGTGATATAGGAGATATTTATGCTATTATTATCTTTACTGGAAACATCATGTTTATTGTAATATGGGTTGTATCAACTGTCCTTGACATCCTTTAAGACTCTCAAGCCTATTTTACTTATTTTATCTCTCTACATATTTTTAGGTACAATAAGGAGACTGTGGATTGGTTGATGTAGTATTCTTTATACTGTATATTATCAGCTGTTGTCATTAATTAAAAAACAATGTTTACCTTTTCAATTTGCAGTTGTAAATATTACTTTCAATAAAAGAGTTTATTCAAATGCGTGCTTATTATGAACTCTAATTCAAAGTCACAACAATTGGCGACGAGAAAAAGTTTTTCAAAATTTCTACTCATTATTTGGATTTAAAACCTTTTCTAAATTTCGATTTTGTACATTATGGATGCAGAACAATTTACAGCACTACTGAAAGCATTCACTGAGAGCCAAGTCACACTTGCAGCTACACTTGCAAAGAAGATTACCGAAAAACTTCAACTTCAACCTCCAGTACAACAGAGTAATACGTTAGTAAGTATTCAACCATTTGAAAATTTCGATCAGAAAAAGGAAAAATTTAAAAACTATTTGGAACGCTTTGAAAATTATCTTGCTGTCAAAAACATCTCAGATGAAAGGAAAAAAGCACAACTTCTTTGCGCTTCAATTGGCTCTGTTCACTACAATAATCTTACATCATTAATTGGACCTGAAAAACCTATCAAAGACCTAGATTTTGCTACTTTGGTCAAATCACTACGTGACATGCTTTCACCACACAGAAACGTTGTAGTTTCACAACATTACTTTTTAAACACTTATCAAAAAGCAAATCAATCAATTCCTGAATACATAGCTTCACTACAAAAAGACCTGTCTGAATGTGAATTTACAGTCCAGTGTGAATGTTCAAAACAAGTTTCAGTCTCAGATACATTTTTAAGAGCTCAATTCATAAGAGGCTTAAAAGATGACTGGATTCGAGAACAGTTATTACAATCAGACACTACTTTATTCAAAGACATTGTAACCAAAGCTACTGCTTTGGAAGCTTCCCGATTAGAGACCCAGGCTTTGAACAAACATCAGCATTCAATTCCAACTGATGTAGATATCAATAAACTTTCAAATGTAGGTACAAAACATCAGAGAAGTCGTTCAAACTAACGTAAGAATCCAAATTCTGGTCATACTTATCGTTCTCAATCAAAAGTAGATTTCAATCGCCTAGGTTTTGGAGATCTTTGCTTTCGATGCGGTAGAAATAATCACCGTGCAACTGAGTGTCGCACTAGCAAGTCATCACTTCATTGCACTTCCTGTTCGAAACAAGGCCATGTAGCCAAAGTTTGCATTTCAACCCAAATGAAAAATAAGTCTTCTACCAATCAATCTAAGTTCAATTCAACAAAGTACATTTCTTCAACCTCTGATGACATTCCGCTAGGCTTAAATCAAATCACTGAAGTTCATCCAGTTACCAAACCTAATATCATAGACATATTTGACCAGAACGAACGATCAAATTTACCCGATTCACAAAAGTATTTTGCTACAGTTTCAATTGATAACAAGCCAATGCGTTTTGAGATAGATTCCGGAGCAGGATTTACATTAATACCAGAAAAGGCTTTCAATGAGTTAAATTTCAACGTCAAACTTGACCCAACTAATGTGTATTTCCGTGCTTATACAAACAATGTATTTAAACCATTGGGCAAAGTTACAGTTGAGGTTACTTACAAAAACCATAAATCAATTGAAGATATGTATATAGTTCCTGATAATTGTCCAGCAGTCCTAGGAAGAGTGTGGATTCGACACTTACATATAAGTCTACAAGAAATAGATGATGGTTCAAATCAACCTAACTTTTTCAATGTCTCCGAAACCTTCCATTCAATTGATGACATATTTTCTGAATTTTCCACAGTTTTTGACCAAAGAATTGGATGCTTGCCCAACCACAAAGTTACACTTCAATTACGTGAAAACGCTAAACCTGTGTATACCAAAGAACGTAGTGTTCCGTTTGCCCTTAGATCTCAGGTTGAGGAAGAACTCAACAGTCTTGAATCATCCGGCATAATATCTAAAGTCGATGCTAGCGATTGGGGTTCGCCTTTGGTTGTTATTCCTAAAGAAAATGGCACAGTGAGGTTATGCGTCGATTACAAAACAGGCGTAAATGATCGTCTTGTTTCATCTAATTTCCCGATCAAACACATTCCAGATGTTTTACACTGTTTGAGAGACTCTAAATATTTTTGCAAGCTTGATATTTACAAGGCTTATTTGCACATTCCAGTTGATGTCCCAAGCAGCAAAATTCAAACTATTACTACACACCGCGGTACATATTTGATGCATAGACTTAGTTTCGGAATCAAGACCGCGCCTGCCGAATTCAATCGCATTCTAAGCCAAATGCTAAACGGGTTACCAAAGACTGAAGTTTATTTTGACGACATAATCGTGCACGGTACAACAAAAGATGAATGCTATAATAATTTACGGTTGTGTCTATTCCGTCTACATGCGAACGACTTGCATCTAAACAAAGACAAATGCAAATTCTTTTGCGAACAGATTGACTATCTTGGTCATGTGATTAAGTACAATCAAATTTCAAAAAGTCCAGAAAAGATTAAAGCTGTTTGTAATATGCCTCAACCAAGGAATATTGATGAGGTCCGGAAATTTCTTGGAATGGTTACCTACTACGCTCGATTCATCCCAGACCTATCTACAAAAACAACACCTCTTCGACAGCTTCTACAGAAAAATAGAAGATTTCATTGGTCAATAGATTGTCAAACTTCATTTGATTGTCTCAAGGAGGAAATAACTTCTAAAAGAGTTCTCGTACCATATGACCCCCATCGTCCAATCGTTCTAACATGTGATGCCAGTCCTACCGGAATTGCAGCTGTAATGAGTCACATAATTGACGATGAAGAGAAACCGATCGCTTACGCATCCAGATCCTTAACTCCATCAGAGCGAAATTACAGTCAGCTCGATCGAGAAGCTCTTGCGATCGTGTTTGGAGTCAGTCATTTTTACAATTATCTGTATGGACTTCACTTCACCTTAATTACAGATAATGCCCCTCTTTCAAGAATTTTCCATGAAAGCAAATCCTTACCACCCATGACTTCCAGCCGTCTACTCCGTTATGCTTCTTTTCTATCAGGGTTTAACTATTCAATACGTTTCAAGAAAGGGGAAGCAAATGCTAATGTTGATTGTTTATCCAGAGCTCCAGTGACTCAACATTCTGAAACCTTAGACATTTTCCTAAACAATGAAGTTACCTTGCTACATTCAGAAACAATTTTTGAAATATCTTCTGAACATTTAAATGCAACTATTCTAGCCTGGGAAACTGAAGCTGACCAAAATCTTAGAGAAATTAAAAGGAAACTTTTTTCTTCTTCTGCTGACCTACCATACACATTGGACAACGGAGTACTTTTCAAGGAAACTCGTGCTGTCATTCCTAACAGCCTTCAACCTCAAGTCTTACAGCAACTACATGCTACTCACATTGGTATTACAAAGATGAAGCAATTAGCCCGAAGATACGTTTATTGGCAAGGGATTGACAAGGACATAGAGAAATTAGTCCAATCGTGTGAAATTTGCGCCCACATAAAATTTAATCCTCCCAAAGCACCCCTTCATCCATGGGTAGAGCCAGAAGAAAACTGGGAGCGTATTCATATAGATTATGCGGGGCCTTTTCAAAACCACTACTTTCTTGTTTGTGTGTGTGCCAAGTCAAAGTGGGTAGAAGTTAAAGTATTGAGAAATGCTCCTATAACTTCTAATACTATTATTCTTCTCGACAACATTTTCTCATCTAATGGCTATCCTCAAGTGATGGTATCAGACAATGCCACAATTTTCACCAGCGCAGAATTCAAGAAATACTGTTCATCCAATGGAATTTTCCAGAAACTGATTGCACCTGGACATGCAGCTACAAATGGTCTTGCTGAAAGAACTATCCAGACTTTGAAGCAAAGATTAAAAGCATTGGAAGATGACCATCGTCAAATACATACAAAGGTTCAAGAGATTCTTCAACAATATCGTGCCACTCCTCTCTCAAATGGACAATCACCAGAATTTGGATTCTTACGGTAGTTTGAACGACTTCTCTGATGTTTTGTACCTACATTTGAAAGTTTATTGATATCTTCATCGTAGGATCCGCATCAAGCTGGATGCTCTTTGACCTTACCATCCGGCAAAGAATCCTCCTTCGATAATAAGAGTTCGAACATTCAATGTGGGGGAGAGAGTTCTCATTAGGGAGTATTCACAAAATAATAAATATATATGGACATTTGGTGAGATTATACAGAAACTAGGGACTCTTCACTATATTGTAAGGTTAGATTCTGGAAGAACACTGAAACGTCATCTAGACCAACTCCGGAAAACTCGAGTAAAGAAGGTTCGTTTCAACGAATGTGAAGATGTACCTAATCAAATTCCACAAGTTCCAATGCAAGTACCCATACTTCCGCAACAGCAAGTTCCTATGCAAGTTCCAGAATTAGTCAGATTACCAGCTGAAGAGAACTTACAACCAACATCACCACGACCACGAATACGATGTTCAACCCGCACTCATAAAGCTCCAGATTACCTTAAAGACTATGTTACAAAATGAGTTCAAAATAAGTGGGGGAGATTGTAGTATTCTTTATACTGTATATTATCAGCTGTTGTCATTAATTAAAAAACAATGTTTACCTTTTCAATTTGCAGTTGTAAATATTACTTTCAATAAAAGAGTTTATTCAAATGCATGCTTATTATGAACTCTAATTCAAAGTCACAACAGTTGATTTGGGGTATCCGGGCAATTGACATGAACACTACTGACACATCACCAAACACAATCCATAAAGTGATTGTACTGAAACAATTGATTGTATTTACTGGGTTTGTTTTTTAGGAATTGTCTGTTGTTTTCATAACATATTCTACAAATCTATAAACAACATAAACTTCTCACCGCTGGAAATACTCGAGGGAAGTTTTTGAAACGACGTCCTGAATTGATCCTAGAGCGTTGACCAGTTCGTTCTTCACCTCAGCTGTGCACTCAATCTCAAAGTCGGTGATGAAGTGTTTGGCTACAAGCACAAGGGCGTCTTTGGGCCACGGTTGATACCAGTCAATCGTACAGCCAGACACCAGGGCAGGGAACCTTAGCGCACGGTTACGGAACTTCTCACCCACCTGAGAAATCATTACAACCGTTCATACAATCATGTTAGACAGGTTATAGTTGAGAAAGCAGATTGTCCTGAATGGGAGAGAGTTTATCCTGGCACAAAAACACCTTTCACTCCACATTCAGGTAAGACTTCTATCCCTTAACACATGAGACCACAACATAGTCACCCTAAATCATAAGTAGTCATGTTTGTCCATTATTTAGTCATTATTACCCCCATATAGACTATCACTCTCTAGCTGTTCTCAATGACCTGTAGAATTACAACTCATAGGCTATTATTGTTTAGGGAGTTGATCTCTAGTTTTATTGACCATGAAATAATAACCATTGACACATAAATAAAATGATTTCAGAAAAAAATTATAAAAGATCCATGAAGGAGGAACGTTTGCAGTCAGTGATTTACTATTATTACATTGTTTAATGCATTTTTTTATGGACTCGTACTCACTACAGAAAAAACTTAGGCCAAACAATTCACCGATTTTCTAATTAATAGGTTGTTTACCGGAGAGAAGCAGAACACTACATGCAGGTTCTGACACGTCCGAACCAGAAAGTGTTCCATGACATTCTCATGGGTGAGTGTGCGCTTCGGGTTTTCTCTCTTCATGATCGGAGTCAACTCTTGGATAATCTCCGCCTGTTCATCACGAGTGAACAGGTTGGATATCACACCTGACAACAACAACACAAAATTTGTGTAAGACAGTAATTTAGAAAATCGGAAGAAAATAAGTAAATATAGGAAAACGAACAAGATAAAATAAGTTACCTGAAGATAAAATATTGTTGAGGTATTCCAGAAAGCCTTCTTCCTTTATGTCGAGATCTGTAAAGATGAATGTGGTTCCCTTGCCTTGCACGCCGCATGTACGGTAGAGCAGCTTCAGGTCTTCAAGGAAGTTCGCAACATTGTAAGACCTGCGGAATAAAAACATTGTCAATACATTCAAATCCTTACTTCACTGTAACACCAAAAATATTTTAAATTTTGTTAAGAAAAATTGTTTACAGCAACATTTATACGATTGTGAGCTTGAAGCATGTTGTTTTTAACTATCATGTTTCCCATGGTTACCCAGGTTGTACACTAAGTGTGTAATTTTTTTTTATCCCCTCCCCCTGGAAATGGGGTTGGATTCCAGATTCTGAAATGTTCTGAAATCTCGTTTTTACCAATTAGTGATGGGCTATCCACAATAATCCTTGAAACAACACAAATTCAACATCACCAACAATCAAATTTAAACAAAAGAAAAGAGTGTCATATACGAAAAAACTTATTCATTATATCTAACCTAACAGCACTACAACTACAGAATGTCACTAATCCACTTTTGTCCCATAGTTCAACATGGCTGACCTTGTCAGAGCTATCTGGAAGGTCTTGTAGCCAGCTATGAAGGAAGCCAACTTGGTCAAGCTCTGTTTGCCAGATCCACCAACACCAACCAGCATCACGTTGCCTCTAGGATGTCTGATCACTCTGGATATCTATGTGAAAAACAATACATACCCATAGAAATGACTTGATTTTAAATTTGAAAACATTGCAAGAAAGTAGGTGATCAATTGAATATTAATTAAAGTCCTATTAGCCACTTGCTTTTATCACAGGATTTTAATTTGTTTAGTTGTTTTTTTTTTACTGAGAAACATTTAAAAAAAAAAAAAACTTAGAAGCTTGTTTATTAGTTATTAGCTTCTAGATTCATATTATTAATTGAAACCACTGGTGTTTATTTAGAACTTTCTCCACAAAAAACTTCAACAGTTCTAAGTAACTGAGGATGGAGGAAAATTATAAAGGAAACTCTAGAGCCAAGAAGCAGAGGTAAAAAAAAAAAAAATTTATACTTATGATGGAATGTAGATTAGTTCAGTTAAGTGACAGTTCACTTAAGGAGAGAGGTGTACCAAAAATAAAACTTCTAAAAACATTTCCATTTTTTTTTTAGAAAATCTTTGTTGTAAAAAGACATAGGTAAAAAAAAAACTAAAAATTAACCTGCAAACAGCACATAATTTTATCTTAAATCTAAAATAATAAGTAAATAAAAGTGTTTGTGAAACTTTCCTAAACTATCAAAACTTTAAACAACCTTGACAAGATGCAGCATGGCGTCAGGGAAGAACACCAGATCCATCCCAGCGCCACGGACCATCTCATTGAACTGTGCCAGGAACATGTCTAGCCGCTCTCGCAGCTCGTTGAAGTTAGTCACAGGCTCGTACACTTTGGGCAACTCCATGTCTGCGTCCTCGCCTTCCTCTCCTGTGGGTTCTGGGGCGTCCCTACACAGTTTCAAAATGAGATGTAGTAGATACAGTGTTTGTGGGTAAAAGAATTGTGGATCCCAGGCAACACATCAGTGGAAACAAAACTTTGTAGTAAAAACTATATCTTTTGAGAATAAAAAAGCCTGGTGGACACTGAGGTATCTGAATATCGAGATGAAGAAGTTGTAAAATCAGGGCTTGCGGTTAATAAAAATAATACTTTGGTTACTAATTTCACCCTGAGATGTCTGGGGCTATCTCCTAAATATATCAGTAGAAGATTAAAATAAGTAAGTTAAAAACACATCACCTTTGGTTAAATTAATCTATAAACATTTTACTGCGGGTTTAGGTTTAAAATTTGAGATTATTTAGAAAAATCTAGAAGTATAAGAATATATATCTAAATTCTATTTCCGTTATTTTACTAAATAAAGAAAGGTGGAAAAGGGATACTGATTTACGTTAAATTTACATTATTCATAAAACACTCTTTTGAGGAACTACGTTTTACAAGGCATTTCAAACCTTTTGACTAATAAACTTAACAATTTTTTCCAAAAAATCATACAATCTACTTTACTGTTATCAACTTATATTGTTATCAAGTAAACAGACCTCATGAAATCAACAAAGGCAGGGTTGGGCTCAGCCATAGTTTTATAGTTAGGTCCAAGTTTTTCTTCCACCATCTGCAGGAGCGAGTTGTCAAACCACTCTTTGTCTTGGATTGAAGTCAATCTGTTGAAAGTTATGTCATGTTAGGGCAATAAAGATTACTGATTGAAAACAAATATTGGTAATCTGCTTTTTCTGGAGCACCCTAGTCATCAGACCAACCATGCACACTTATAACATTTTGAAAAAGGCAGTTTTGCAAGTAATAAATTTTGTTCCTGAGGAAGTTATTATCGTGGATTGATAGTTACAATTAATGGAAACATTAGCAATTGCATAATCGTACACTGAGACAAATTCTGCTCTTTTTACCAACCAAAACTTCCTCATTTTTCAAAGCATCACAATAGTAAACAGTTCAATGAAAAATGGCTTAGAAATTTAGTATACAATTTCAAAAAGCCCGAAAGAACATTTCACGCTATGATTTGTTGGTTTTTGTGTATAACCAGCTAGCCGAGTGTTTGTAGTGTTTGACTAAAAATCAGAGGGTTGCTGGTTCAATCCTGAGAAGAGTAACTAGCTTTTTGATAGCTTGAAACTGTAACCAACTGTCGTTGGGCTTTTAATACAATGTTCCTGGCTAAAAGAACCAGCTGATCTTAGTGAGAAGTAACAAATCTATTGTTTCATCCAAAACACTCATCTTTTGCTTATCTTTGTCTAAAAAAATGCACCCTGAGTTAAAGTCTAATCTATTTATCGTTCTTTGTTGAACACACCTGTCAGAGAAGACTCTGGAACACTCGTGTTTCCACAGCACCATCAGTACACTCTCAGAGTCTATGACGGTACTGAGTGTCCCGACCATGCCTTGCCAGATGCGGGAGAGATCTCTCAGACTGAACACGTAATGGAACTTGGCTGGAGTCGGCAACAGTCTTAACTACGGGAAACGTAACTCTTAAATCTACTCTCTGAAGATGTTCTATACTTAGCGGGGTATATTAGAGTTAAGTTTGTAGTGATGTGTCAAAACCAATACTTGAATCTTCAAACCACCAAAAATTGTTTATTCATCAGTCCCCTTTGATCCATCAATTCTGTCCATCTGTTGCATGAGCCAAATAGCTATCTGAAACACTGACTGCAATGGAGGCTTACAACATTAAACTGAGTTAAAAGAAACTAAGTTTTTTTTTAGTAACTCAGTGTTTGGATGTGTTGCTACTTGCTAGCATAGTGGTTAGCGTCTCGAACTTCAGTGCGGGAGGGATGGGTTCAATTCCCTGCACATCCATAAAACATTTAATGGGTCTGGACCCCTTTCCCTGTGTTTAACTTTATCTTCATAACAAAAGATGCCACTGGCGTGGATACAAGCAAAAAAAGTAACACTATTTTATTTTGTTAATATACTTTCAATACATTTTTTCAATTAAGATTTTCTTAAAATATATTTTAATCAAAATACGTTTTGATTGTTTTGAATTTTGACTTTTATGTCTAAAATTCAATTTCTGGCCGTTAAAATGTTTCTAATATCATTCTAATCTAATACATCCTAAATGTTGTATGATGTCTTTGTTTTTGTTATTGGTCTCACCTTTTTTCGCTCTAATGTTCTTGGAAATGTCATTTCTGAAATTTGTGTCCAACTATTGTATTATTTTATCTTTATACATGTTCTAGGCTGTAGAAAGAAAGCCCGACATTTAAACATTTAACAACATTGTCAATTTGACTCGTTCACAAATATATCAATTTCATAAAAGACTTCCAATATAATGGAAAAATATAGCAGCTTTATTTGCTCTGTTTGTGACTTTTAGTCCATATAGATTACAGATAAAACTCACTCTAGTACATTGCCACAGCTCTCGAGTCAGAGGGATGAGTTTCTTGACCAGGTTCCGTACTTCGATGGTGAACCCTCTCTTGGCATTGTAATGGCCTTCTCCAACTACTCGGAATATCTTGTCAATGTTGGCGTCACTGGGCAGAGTGCAGTTGAACACGCAAAACTGACGCTTCAGCCTTGACGGAATGTCATTACGACCCCCACCTAAAATTTAACAGATTCACTTTATTTCAGTATCTAGAATTATATTGACAGAAGTCACCTACTGAACACTGAACAGTGAAAAAGCCACAAGCTAATTAGGCTAGACTAGTACACAATGAAATTTCCATGGTTCAACTGCTACATTGGACTCTAGTAGGGTGTACCTACCCGGTTGACCCATAGCCGCCACAAACTGCATGTCCACTATGGTGGTGAACTCTCCAGGCTTCTCCAGGCTAGATTGGTACACAATGAAATTTCCATGGTTCAACTGCTACATTGGACTCTAGGAGGGTGTACCTACCCGGTTGACCCATAGCCGCCACAAACTGCATGTCCACTATGGTGGTGAACTCTCCAGGCTTCTCCAGGCTAGATTGGTACACAATGAAATTTCCATGGTTCAACTGCTACATTGGACTCTAGGAGGGTGTACCTACCCGGTTGACCCATAGCCGCCACAAACTGCATGTCCACTATGGTGGTGAACTCTCCAGGCTTCTCCAGGCTAGATTGGTACACAATGAAATTTCCATGGTTCAACTGCTACATTGGACTCTAGTAGGGTGTTCCTACCTGGTTGACCCATAGCCGCCACAAACTGCATGTCCACTATGGTGGTGAACTCTCCAGGCTTCTCCAGGCTGTAGAAGCCGTGCATGTCCATCGTCTGCCGCACAATCTCGTTGGTCACCTGGTCTCCCCACTCGTTGATCTCAGGCAGGTTGATGTCGTCAATGAACACAGTCATCTTACGACCTCCTGGTGGACCGAACGTACTGCCCATCCTCTTCTCTACATAGCTCTCGATGGTTTTCTGTTCATAATGTTACATTTAGCTTGATTGGAGGAAAGAACAATTTCTTGAGAATAAATTAATGAACAAGGAATGGATAAAACTAACTTATGTAAGAAAACATTGCATGGGGTTGATAGAACAACAAAGGTTCACAACACAATTTATTTAGCAGAATTTTAGTTGTGTTGTTACCTTTTGAAATATATCAACTCTTTTTATTGGTAAGTTAATTGAGTATATGTATTTATTTTTCCTTAATGCAGATATTCATTTAAACTTTTAAAATTACATATTTTAGTTTAACCCTTTAATGTCGGTTTCAGTTGGATAGTTATGTTATGAGATAGTTATGTTCTTGACGTAAAGAGTTTTAACATCATGTCTGCTACTGGCATAGCTACCTTTCTCTTCGTGGTTTTAGATAGGTTTTGCTTGGTTTTTCACTACTCACTACTAGTTTTTGAACTATTATAATAGTTTAAGTGATTATGGATTAAGTGATTTAATAGTTTTGAAAAACGATTGTGTAGCCCATCATCTCATGACAGAACACAAAGAGTTAGCTATTGTACTGAGTATGAAGTTCTAGCCAACCATTTGTTAAAATTTTTTATTATAGATTTATCCATAGTAATTTAATATTTTACTATTTATATAATACTTGAAGCCTAATACCTGAAACTGGTAAGGACTGGTGGCAGAGGAGAAGTTGAAAGACCTGCTCAGATGTCTTTCAGGACTCGCTTTTTTCATGTAAGCCTTCATCATCACAGTCTTGGCACTGCCTTGCTCTCCGATCAGCAGTACTGCCTTCTCCTGAAATTCAAATTAAAGTTTGATACACATCTCAGTTTATAGTAACAACTCGCCTTTGGCTCGGGGGGGGGGGGGGGTTCAGCCCCCAAGGTAAAAGGTTCAAATCCCACTAATCACTAACGGTTATGAGATAATGCCACAACCCCTTTGCTTCCTCCCCCTAAAGGGATGTGCAAAAGTGATCCAGACTAGATACTCCTAGGAAAGCAAGGAGATAAAAAAAATCTTTTAATATGTCAAGTACAGAAAGTTACCTGCTTGGCGATGGTGTGGATGAGGTAGTCTATACGCACGTTGTCCACTATAGGTACCAAGATACTGCTGTAGTCAGGTGTGGTGGTCTCAGGATAGGCGTAGTTGGTCACCATAGTGTTCCACAACTCCCATTTGCCTGAGTAACAAACAATGAAATAAATTGAAGTAACTTAGGGTCTAATGGCCTACGTAATGAAATGAAATCAACTTTATTCATACTTTGCAAACATGTGCACGAATGGCAAGGATTTCATTGGGTTAGCAGGCTATGTAAATGGGAAAGAGTCTATCATGACACAGAACACACATAACTTAGACAGCGGACAGCAATCTTTGTGATTGATTGCTAACACATTCTCTAAGAACAGTACAGACTTTGGAAGAATGGTACCACATTTTGTTTGAATAAATAGGGGGTTAATCCATGAGAATTCCTTTTCTTTGTAAAATGGTCTCTCCAGCAGCCATCTGGAAATTGTTATCCTATTTTGAATTTCTTTTAAATTTTGGGTTGTGCATAGTTTGTATTTTTGGACAAGAGCTTCAGTATCATCAATGGGCTACATTTCCCACAGTATATGTGTCAGAACCTCAAGGTCACCACAAGGATTACCCTTAATTGTTAGCACCATACCGAATTTCAGAAATTGATCTACAAAAAAAGGGGTGATTTTGAAAATACTTTTCACTATTAAGGTGTGCAACACCTCAAACATTTCGTACATTTTTAACCAACTGTTTACTATCAGACCTATTACTTCTTTACATACTCTATTTTATTTGAATACCATAACGCACCTTCTTTGCTTACTACAAAGTCAAAGATGGTGCTGTTGGCATTCCAGGTTGACTTGGGTAGATCGAGCATTGTTAGTTTCTCCTTCACAAAAGAGTCAAACTTGAGTCTGTCGGAGAGGTCCAGAAACGCTCCCATTCCCCAGATCAGAGCAAACACATACAGACGATGAAGATGTTCAGAACTCAATCTGCAGACAACGCAATAAAGTCATTGGGATGGTTGAACATGTGGTTGAAGTTTAGCGACAAATATGTTTGGAAGAGGATTTTCAGTTGTAAGTATTGAAACGACGAAGTTATATAATAATACCTCTTTTTAGAAGCTGACTTAGAATATGATGGTCCTTTCTTATTGTTTTTAGCCTCTAAACAAATATATCACTAAGAAAAATTAATAAACTTAAACAGGAATAAAATGACCTACAAATTTTGGGGGTTCCATAACATCCAGTGTCTCCCATACATACACTCTTTGCTACACCAAGCTCAATGAACACCATCTCCTATGCCACAACTATAAGGTGCAGGCACACTGCTACTTCAATTGTTTTATTAATCTTTCCTGCAATGAAGAATGCCTAGTGTGGATGAACCAGAGAAGCATAACTGCGTTTATTTTGCAAAACTATTAAAACTCTTCGCTTGACAATTTGGAATTCAAAGAATAATGGTAACGGAGGCCAAATATACGATCAAAAGTATTCAGAGTTTTCTAGTGCCATTATGCTCAATTATTCAACACATCTATATATAAAGCCAAAAGTACCCATGAACTTTTAAGAAAACTACAAGTCACACCCCCATAAACCACATACTTAAAATGTTCGTCATGACGAGAAACCTTGCGCAAAATTATCGGTTTTTTTCATAAATTATTGCCCTTTAAGGTCATAATTGCTTTCCAAAGGGAACTTTCCATATACTTAATATTAAAAATACCTCAGCTGTTCTTATTTGTATATTATTCTTTCAATTTATTACCTTATTAAAATCTGGTGTGATTATTTGTTTGTAATGCTGTCTTCTGTTTTGTTTATTTCAGCTTATCTTAACCAATCAATAGTTTTTTATAATACTTATTAGCAGAGTACCCGTCCTTCGTACGGGGTTGGAATATAAGTATAAAATGCTTATTGCAGTTATACTCAAGCTTTGCGTTTGCAATAAGGGACGACACAGTTTGATAAAATTTGTTTTTTTAAATTTACAGTATTCTATAGTATTACACATCTATCATAGCCATAATGTTCTACCACTTCACCTAAACAATAGAGAAAAATAAATTATCAACAATTCGCAAAATATCACAAATTATTCATGAAATGAAAAACATAAACATAACTGGGAATGTAAGCTATCATCATGCCAAATTTCAGCCCAATCCGTCCAGTGGTTTATGCGTGATTGAACTTTAAACACACAAACTAACAAACAAACAAACACACAAACTTTCACATTTATAATATTAGTAAGATGAAGTCAAACGGGTTGAAGCCCGTGGGCAATAACAATAATTGTTTAACAACAATTAGTTGCTTAGTGGATCAAAATAAAATACAACAAAAATTTTGTATCCATAGATACAACACACTTTTAAGAAAGAGATCTTACAATTATCATCAACTATAATAATTTCTTCATAAAACATTTAGAGCCTTAAACCAGCAATGTCTCCCATCATGGTTCGTGTTCTGGCGGCGGTGTTAGGTGCGGCTGCTCGGTTCCTGTGGATTTTGATTTTGGAGCAGGTATGGGGAGTAGATTGAGTTTTGAGAGTATTCGTTGCAAGTGTTGTATTTTGTTACAATTGTTGTATCCAATGGAAAAGAAACATGGTCAAAAATGAACAACATTTTCTCAGTTTTGAAATCAAGGATGCATTATCCTTATCAAGTCAGATGAACAATTATATTGAACCTGAAGAAACGTTAACGACCGCCTCTTATCCAACTACTCCTCAAAGTTAGTCAAAGCTATTAGTCTTGGCGCGTGGAGTAGCGGGGAGTGTTTATTGGTAATTTCAAAAAACATCTGGCCTACACAGCTCGAGGGTGGTTCAGCTCTTCATGGCCAGGAGAGGTGGACGGGAGATGAACAGTAGTGAAGGAACCGCCCAGACAGATTGCTCTTACAGAACTGAGACATCCTTTGCAACATCTCCAACAACCATCAAAATGAACCCAGTTGTTCCTACAACTTCGATTAAGTCTATCGTTCTGCTTGGCGTGGATGCCATGTGCAGTTATAAAAAGTAGTCCAGTGAAAGAAGTGTAAATAGTTGTACACACTACTATAAGAAGAAGGGGAAGATCAGAAGAAAAAGAATCAGAATTCATAGCAATAGTCCAAGCATTCATTAGTAGTGATCTTTTTTTTTAAGAAAATAAAAATCCAAGGCAAGATAATAACGTATTTTATTAAAATTAGAGTACCTGTTGCTCGAAATCAAGCAATTGTCAAGTACCTGTATTACAGGAAAACTAATAACAGTCATAATTTTTGATGAGATTCAACTAAAAGCTTATGTAACTAATCGAAACTAGATAGCCTGTTGCTCGAAATCGAGCAAAACTGCAACTTGTAATAAAATAATGAAGATCAAAAAACATAATCAGCAAAACCTCAATCAGAGAGTCACTCTTAAGTAATTTCTATGACTGATTATAGAAATGAGAAAGATATTAGGTGGTAAAAAATTATAAAAGTAATCTACGGTAATGTGTAATGTTACTACGTTTACGATTGAACAAAAATACCAGTATAATATTGATATTGTGTGTGTGCTGTAATATAAGAACTTCTTACCCCAGAACTACAATTAAACCAAGGTTTTCGACTACAAGGCTTTTGTCATGGTACTAAAAGGTGGTTCCCCTAATTTTTTATGTAGGTAGAAGTAGACAAAACTCACTTGACGTCTGGTATCACAACCTCCTTAACTTCGGTGTCATCTTTTGTTTCCTTCTCCACTGGCTTTTCCCCCTCTACTTCTTCTTCTTCAGGAGTGTGGATGGGCACCAAGCCTTGCAGCAGAAACAGCATCTGGAATAATTTTACTAATTTTTAAACGTTTTCCAAAATTATACACCATCTAAATTTGTATTTCTCCCCCAAAGCAACTGTCACTCTGTAAGCAACCCTAGTAGCTAACTATAGAAAAGGGGGTAGCTTCAATAGAAACACACATTGCCATTTGGATCCAGCTCTACTTTTGAACCATGAGACCGGGGTGTGTGAGTAACCCACACCTGACCTTTGGAGCATTAACCAGGACCTTAGCCAGCCAGTCTGTCAGTCAGTACCTGAACCCTGATTTATTTTTATAAAAAGTAAGACACAATTTTTTACAGACATAATTAATTGATACATTTCAATGTTATGGTGTTGTAAATGTAGTATATATACAACAATAAAAGGAAAATGTGGTAATTTTCCATATGACCACATCTCAAACTTGGCACCCATCCATAATGTACTGAGTTTGTGGAATAGGAAAAAAGGTTGAAGCAAACATCCTATCAAAATGCAATAACAAGGTTATTGCTCATGACAATTACTAAAATACGATATCAAGAGCCTAATCAACTTAAGGAAATCAACACTTTACTTCCATACGATTGTCCTAATTTATAGAATGCTACATAAATATTGTGTACAAAATGTTTGGTCAGGATTAAAGTGACCTATATCCAGTCTTAAGTATTCCGTGAGGTACTAGCCTGCTGCACAATGTTGCACTGCAGCACCTTCATGGTGAGAGATAGGTTCTGAGTTCCCCAGGTGTACATGGCAGCAAACGAGTCCTCAAACAGCTGCTGGAACACACTGACCTCCTTCTGGCTACGAGTTTTGAGCCAAGCCTCCAGCACAGGCCTCCAGTCTAGACCCGAGGAGCTCATGTAGACCTGTCACAGTACAAGGCGGATCACAAGAGCCGTACCGGATAGAGGAAATACTACTAAGTTAGTCACAAAAAGTTATTATAGTTCGGTCGCTTAGAAAGCGACCTCCTCTAGCATTGGTTTAGCATTAGCACGCAGGTCGCTTTCTAAGCGGACGAACTATTCATGTATCAGGAAATTTGTCTAGGTACTCCCAAACTCAGCTGACTGACTGAATACTCTTGGTTTGAAACTGATGGAACCTTCAAGCTGTTCTTGAATGAATGGTTCTGGCTAAAGAAACCGCTTATTTTTTACAGGAACAAAGCTATAATCTAATTCAATCAACACTCATCTCCACCCATCTCTAACTCAAACACACCAAGGTGGATCAGTGTTAGATCTAATTTAATCTGAAAATCCAGAAGGCTTTTATCTTTGTAAGGAAATATCATAAAACCAATAGTGCTGATACTAATATTAATATTTTAATACTATTATTGGAGGATAAAAATGGGTAAGTGTTGGTGTAAATGGTCTTGTGGTTGAGAATGTGAATGTTTACAAAATCTCAAATATAAATCACGCTAAAAGCAATGAAAAACCCCTCAACAACTTAATCAAATTTAAAATAATAAAATACTATTAACACTGAGTCATGTTACTGCCATTAAGAATGCTTCAAAGTATGAATGCTACTGTAGTTAAATATGCTGAATGGTATTTACATGTTTAATACACTCCCACTTAAGATTTCTGCTTTAAAATATATATCCATTAGAAAAACCCTTGTAATTTAAAAAAAAGTCATAATTAGCCTTACCATGCCGTTTCTAGAGACTGTGGCGGGAGACGCGTTATCTATGTTGTGAGGCTCAAATATTATTTTGCAGGTTGGAGACATGTTGAGCCTGTCTCCATTGGCCAGAGTCAGAGTTTTATTGTCATCCAACACGGAGTTCAAGTTCTCTATCCAGATTGAGTCGACCGGGCCATCCAAGACCAACCACACATGATCTCCTGAAAAATATTCAATAATGGAGCTGATTAACGATCAGTACAATCATTAAAGATCATATTTAAAATGCTTGAATCATGTAATCTTTAGGCCGACAAAGGAAAGAGGAGAATGGAAATTCAAGCATAAGAAGTCAAGTCAAGTCAAGTCAATCATTTATTTTCACACAACGTTTTACAGATGGGAAACAGGTGAAATGGTCATGGACAATTAAAATACGTAAAACTAATATACATAATAACTATAAAATATGCTAAGAAATCAAGTATATACATCATTTAAAAAATCATTAACTTTGTAATACCCTTTATTAAGCAGCAATTTGGTAACTTCTTTTTTGTATTTTTCAGAAGATTCTAATGATTTAATATTATCTGGCAGTTTATTATACAGTTTTTTCCCTAGATATTGTGGAAGGGTTTCTAGTGAGGTAAGTCTATGAATGGGCAGTTGTAAATCATTTCGATGTTGTGTTAAATAATTATGGTTATGGTTTTCATTCATAAAAGATTCAAGATTTTTTTTTATAAAGATTAATATTTTGCAGGATATAAACTGACTGAAGTGTTAATATTTACAATTCTCTAGAAGAAACTAAAGGATCTCTTTTAAAAACAGGACAAGGTTGCTGAAGCAAGAAATATAGGTGCGAGACAGACTGAGACTGGACAGGTAAAATTTTTTTGTGTCTAATTAAATGCCACTGGCTCTTTGAAGTCAAAGTAACAACTCCAGTCTTGTTACTATCTAACATGAACCTTATGTTTCATAGAATCATTGATTGATATAGGAAGAAATTAATTTAAGAAAGTTAAGATTTCAAAAGGAAGAAAGTTTAGCCTAAGCGATGAAGTATGTCTTATACAGAAGACCACTTACATGAACATGGCAAAGGAAAGTTGAAGCTGACGAAGAAGAAACATCATATCAGAAAGAGTGGAGGCATTAAGTGGTTGATTTGCCAGATTGTACAAAGAGTAAGAACTAAGAACAAATACGAAACCTTTTTTAACTTTCAGAGACTTCCTCCAAAGTGCAGAAAATATTCCATCAGTCCAGTCATTGGTGGCGACATCCAAACGCCCAAACATCTGTGCAGCCGTAATTGCTTTGGGGTTCATGCGCATCTCTCTGAAACAAACATAAACATATATTTCATGTTAATTGTGGTCGTAAAAAAAATAAAAGCACATATTCAAGAGATGGGATGCTGATATAAAAAAAAATGTAATAATCTAAAATGTCACAGCTGTTTGACTATTTTGGAACATGCGTCACATTATATATTCCAACTAAATATTGTTTAAAGAAAACATGTTATTGTCACAAACCACACTAGGGATATTATTAACCACAGAAACACACTATTTCTCATTTACTGTCCATAGGGGTTTTTGGTAAATTTTCAATTTTCAACTTACAAAATCTAACCAGTTATTCTTAAATAAGCAGTTGTAACTGCAGTGCCTTCACAACAATCATTAGCAATCATTAACAAGTAAGTATAACAATTATACCTATGTGGCTCTCCAATGGCGGTGAGTGACTTCATCAGAGTGTGTATACAAGCAGTCTTGCCTGCGCCAGCCGGCCCTAGAGTCATGATGCCGTGCCTCACTCTCTGCGTCTCGTACAACTGTAGAGTTAAAAGTTAAAACAATAAGAATGTTCCTTAAAAATTCTTCTTACAAATTTCTTTGAAATGTTTTACTGTGTTGGATAAAAATATGTAAACTATTCAGTAATTTTCATTCTTTCCTACTTTCTTTGGAAAAAAAATATTGTATCAAATCATATAGTAAAGGAAAACCAAGTGGCCGATTAAATAAAAAAAAGGTAGAACTGCTGGAAACCTAAGTCCAGGGGCTTTACCAAATAATCATAACATAACGTTGATAGTCCATTTCAATATTCTTGAAAAAGTCGATTGAAGAGAAAGTCACTCTCTTACTACTCCAAAATAAGAAAGTTTAGTTTTAATGACATTGCTATTGCAAAACTTGTATTTAAAACATATAAATAATTTGATTTTAACACTAGAGGTCAATCTTTCATGGCCTACAATATCAAAGTCCTTTGGGGCAAAGCCATGACACATAATTTTACACAGTTTTCCTGCCAAAGACCACGATATTGTCGTATCGTTTTATTTGAAAAATATCTTAATGAGCATTGTTCTATGTGCATAAGCATGAATAAGCATGTTGACACTTACCTGGATGAGTTTGAGGACCCATGGAGGATGGTAGACCAGTCCTGCCTCCTCTACCTGCTCAGCTATGGCAGCCTCCAGGGTAGGGTAGGAGGTCTTCTCTAACACTTGGTTGGGGAACAAGTCAGCCACCAGGGAGATAAACAGTGGCTCGTCCTCATCTGAGAGATACATTAATGCAATTATAATAAATCCATCACTTGATTTTGATAATTTACATACCTTCAACAGAGAACAACTTGAAACACATAGTAGAGAAAACTCACAACATGTTTCGGCTATTCAAGCATTGTCAAGTGATCTTTCCAAGAATGTTTAATCCAACTATCAAAACTATATCTCGTCAATTACATTGAAATAAATAAACATATAACACAACAAACACACAAAAAAGATTGAAAAATATAATATAATATTTTTTTGTGTGTTTGTTATGTTCCATGTGTATTTATTTGAATGTAATTGACGAGTCTATAATTGAATGAAACATTCTTGGAAAGATCACTCGACAATGCCTGTATAGCCGAAACATGTTGTGAGTTTGATCACAAGTTTAATGATGAACTGTTGACATGAAGGTATGTACGTAAAATAGTGTAAAATGCAAGAAACCTCACCTAACATTGAAGTTGGTTAACTATACAATAAGAATAAGAAGTCAATATGGGATAGGGAATCGAATCTGTTTCAAGAACCAGATGTGGTTACTGAAGCAAAAATAATACATTATGGGATGAACAGAGGGGAGATGGAAGCTATAATAAATCAAATATAGAAGGAAAAGCAGAATGGAAGAAGACTCCTCCCTGGACGCCCAAGAAGAGAAGAAACTATGAAGTACCAAAGAAAAAAAAAGAAAAATGACTGGAGGAAGGGGTCAGACACAGGGAATTTGTAAGATCTTCCTGGATATAGAGGGTCTTCAATTATTTACAAATTGAATTTGAAATTACTTAGCAAATTGTTTAAACTATTTTAAGGACTAAACCGACTTACTTACCTATAAGTTTTGACAGGTTCATGTCCCTTAAAACTCTCATGACTATGGTACTCTCTGAATCTTTAGAGTTGACTCTCTTTGAAGCTCCCAATGAGCGGAGAACTGAGAGGATGTTACGCAGCCCAAAGTCGTAATGCACCTTAAAATAACATACACTATTAACAACTTATATAGGAGAAAACACACACACGGAATAACAACTTTGTGAAAAACTAGTAACTTCATGCCATTTGGAACTGCTAAATAAATTGTGACAATGAGGGGATAGTAGATTAGGTATTTAAAGAGAAATAATTTCAAAATTCGCTAAGCTTGTAACTATTTTAAAATGTACTAATGTATGTATTGTAAAATGTAACTATGTTTAAAAATATCCTTGATGTACAATTTAATTTGACCAGTGGCAATGCTGATGATATTTATAATAATTTTCTTAGAGAGCTCCTGTTAAAATTTGATCAATCTTTCCCATTAAAATCTGTTAAAATAAATTCTAGTAATTCAAGTAAGTGTAATAAAATGTGGATAACACCTGGCTTAAAAATATCTGCAAAAAAGAAAAGACTATTACATATGTTGGCTAAAAAAAGTGGTAACATTGATTTTAAGAATTATGTTAAGAGATACAAAACCACTTTTAACAAGGTTGTCAAAGCAGCTAAGCGGCAGGCCAACAGCAATTTCATTAAAGTGTCTGACAATAAGGTAAAGGCTACTTGGTCTGTAGCAAGGAGACAGCTAGGTTTAGAGAGTAACAATCAAACTTGTATAGAGCTAGAAATTGGTAATACCAGGATTGATGACCCTAGGGAAGTGTCACAATATTTCAATAACCATTTTAAAAACATTGTAAATGAATTGAATATTCCGAAGATAAATGTAATAGAAACCATGAAAGAATATCCATCTTATAACTATTCAGATTTTTATATTGAGAATTTTTCTAATGATTACATTAGCAAAATAATAAAAGGTCTGAAAAATAAACCTTCTACAGGCTGGGATGGAATACCTGTCCAGTTATTGAAGCAAAATTCATTAATACTGGCACCGGCATTGAGTAACATCATTAAAGCATCCATTAGCAGTGGTGTTTTCCCAGAAAAACTTAAATATGGTAATGTCATTCCAGTTTTTAAGAAGGGATCAAAAGTAAACATAAATAATTATCGACCAATCACATTACTCTCAAACATATCAAAAATTTTTGAAAAGGTTATGTGTGATAACCTAAGTAGATTTCTTGAAAATAATTCTTTCTTTCACAATTACCAATTTGGCTTCAGAAAAAACATGAACCCTCAAACAGCTCTATCAAATTTTGTTAACAAAACCATGTTGGCCTTGGATGAATCGCAGTATGCAGCTGGTGTTTTCTGTGATTTGTCTAAGGCATTTGACTGTGTCAATCATGAACTTCTAATTCACAAACTTAGTAAAATCGGAATAACAGGTAACATTCTTAAATGGTTTAGATCATATTTGGCAAACCGTAAACAAAGAACTCCTCATCATAAAAAAGGGAATAAAGTACTATTCAGACTGGATAAATATAGAATGTGGAATTCCTCAAGGCTCAATTCTGGGGCCTTTATTATTCATCATCTATATCAATGACTTGCCCCAAAAAATTCTTTCAGAATTAATACTTTTTGCAGATGATACCACTGCTTTTGTGAAAGGCAACTCAATGTCGGAAGTGCAAATTTCAGTTAACAAAACTTTGGAAGATCTCCGTGAATGGTTTACAGCTAATGGCCTGGCACTAAACAGTGATAAAACAAACGTCTTATTTTTTCAAAAGTCAAACATGACAGATATTTCACAACAAAAATTTCTCGGAGTGATCATTGACCAAAAACTAAATTGGAAGGAACATATTGATTATTTGTTAAAAAAATTAAGATCATTCTTTTTTGCTTTTTCAGTTCTTTCTCAGTGTGCATCAAAAAATGTTATCAGAATAGTTTATTTTTCCCATGTAGAATCGATTTTGAGGTATGGCATTACCTTATGGGGAAATTCAAAAAATAGTAAAAAGATATTTTCAATGCAAAAAAGATTCATTAGAAATATGGCAAACGCTAAATTTAGGGCTTCCTGTAAAAAACATTTCAAAAATCAGTCCATATTAACTTTCCCCAGCCTGTTCATTTATGAAAGCCTTAATTAGGTCCATGACAATAAAAAATATTTTGAAAAGTTCTTAATAAAAAATAAATACAACACTAGGAACAAGAACCTTTACAGTTAGCCAATCCATCGGACAACAAAATTTGAAAAATGTCCTTTTTATACAGGCCTGAAGCTGTACAACCATTTGCCGAATAAATTTAAACAATTGGCAGTAAATGTTTTTAAAGTTAAAATTAAAGAAATTCTACTGGATAAGGTTTATTATTCCATCTCAGACTTTTTAGCAGACACCTCCTTGGGATAGTCATTGTACATTTTTATTGTTATTGTAATCTTCTATGTTTTATGTAAAATGTTTTTTCCATTGTATTTTATTATTAAGATTTATGTAATTGACAAGACACCAGTTACTGCTATAAGCACCCAATGTAACGTTATTTGTGTCAATAAATTGATTTGATTTGATTTGATTTGTACATACAGACAGAAACATGTCACCACACTCTGTTCGAGATTCATTTCAACTATGCAGTTTTTAATAAAACACTGAATACATATTAACTTCAACATGACTATTCGAGTAACATCTGTTATAAGTACAAAAGGAACAACATAGAGTAATGAGCTATTACAATATAACACAACTTATAACAACATCAACATGTGAATTCAAAGTATAAGCTCACCTGTTTGGTGAGCTGCTCCTCACACAGCTTATACAGGGTGTAGAACTTGCGAGCAAGAGTGATGTTCTCGAGGAATCCACAACTAGCCAACTTGACTCTGATGATGATCTGTCTGTCAGGCACCATCATGGCCACTGTGCGGAACTGGATCTTCAGATTCTCTGGTAGCTCCTTACGTCCAGCGTATCCTGGGTTCTGTTCAATCAATAAATAAAAACTAGTAGAACTTTGTACAACATACAATGATGATCCGTAAGAATTTATGTGTCTATGTTCTGTCATGCATAACTATAGCTACAGTAAGAAGTAAGAACCTTTTTGATTAAACGGTTGCAGGACTTTTTGATCACCTACAGAATGTAATTCATACATGACAGAAATGTAAATTTTCATCAATAGTTTTTGAATACTACAACGAACCAATACGGGTGGAACCAATACTGTTACGTACCTATAGGGTTGGAAACTGTCTAAAATAGTAGTAGATCAATTAGGGAACGTTGAAGGGGAACGTTAGTCTCAAATTCAAACCAGCCCAGCTTGGCTGTAAAGGGATCTCAATGGAGACTTGATTTACATACTTGTATATGAAACTTTAAACAATTGGGGTGTTTCTCAATCACATACCATAGTGATGAATATTCCAAACTCAGAACACATGTCGATGGTGTCACCGTCTGTGAAAACAAATGACTTCTTCTTCTCTTTCTTGGCAGCCAGGACCACTGCAACCTGCTGGGCAGCTACTGACAACACTGGCAGCTCTATGCGGTTGAACTCATCAAAACATCCCCAGGAGCCTGACTGAGCTAGACCTGCCACAGAAAGTTATTATTTTATTTGTCGGAGAGACCTTCAGCCAGCTTGGCCATTGATCAGTCATTCTGCGAACTCTCCAAGTCACTCAAGCACATTTGATCAGTCATTCTGCGAACTCTCCAAGTCACTCAAGCACATTTGTACGTACACTTTTCTCTTCACATTTCCGTCAACTGGCAATGGATTTGATTGAAGTTGACACCCTTCCTAAGCAAATGCTTAATCACAGAGCATCATTCAATCATTCATGACTGTTGTCAAATTTGTCTCATATTGGCTACAACGATCAGTCCTATGGTTGCATATTGTTTGTTGGGTATTTTGGAAACCTTAATTTACAGACAACTCTCATCTATTATTCTTAGCTATAACAAACATTTTTAGTTGAATTTTGAACATTGTAGTGTTTCCTGATATCCCAAGGTGGTAGAGCTTATTGCTCTACACTGGACAATAGCACAAAATCTGCACGTACCTTTGTATATCCTGCCCAGCCCTCTGTAGTCCATCTGGTCAGAACAGTTGAAGACAACCACGTACTTGGCCAGTGTCTTGCCCATGTCTTTGACAGTCTCTGTTTTGCCAGTACCTGCTGGACCACAGGGAGATCCTCCCATGCTCATAGCCAGGGCCTGGGCTAGAGTGATGTAACACCTACCAACCATCAACATTAGTTGATTTAATAGTAATCATTTAAGGTATATAACGTCATAGCGCCCAATACCAACTAGTACAGTGTCTTATATCTAGAACTATTCTTTAATAGTTATTTACTGTACTAATGTACAAGTTCTAATTTATATACAATGTGTTGTTGTTGACAAAATTAGACAAAAAGATCACGTTGCTGTAAAAGATTTTATATTTATGAATCACATCCTTAAAATGGTACAGTTAACCTTTTAACTTTCAAATACTAGAGTAGACATCCTATCAATATGGACCAGCTGTCGTCAATTTTATTCATCCAACTGAACATATTTGAATGAGCCACTCACAGATCGCGCAACAGTTAAATTTATATATCCTTTATTATTTTTTTATGATTCAATAATATATGTGACATACAGGATGTTTAGAGGTAGTCATCCTTTCAGCTTTGCTACCAGTCAGTTTCTAGTTTCGTATACAATAAAAATTAGAGATTAATATCAAATCAACACACTCTGTCTGTGGCCCAATTTTCATTCTAAAACTGGAGACAACTTCCAAATTCAAAGATTAAACTTAAAGCCAGTTAACACATTTCTTAAGGACCCAAGTGGTTTGGATTTCCCAAGTTAACAGGCTTTCCCACAATCTATAAGATTCCAATTTGATTATAAAGTCAGTATTGACTTACCTATCAGTCAGCGGAGTGATGACCAGCCGCTCAGTACAGCCAAGATACTCATTCTGATAAGTGAATGTAACGTCCGTTACAGCTACCCAGGTCTTGTCCATGTCTTCCTTGAAGTAGAACCTGCACTGCTTCAGCCACTCAAAGTCATTGGCAGATCTTATGTTCAAGCGGCACTGTGTAACAATGAACAATATTTGTAGTGTTGAACAAACGTTTGACAACTGTCAAATGTTGGTCTTCAGGATATCAAAGGGTCATAGAACTGTCAAAAATTCTAGTCAATGTTTTAAATGCGTAACTGCAATCCATAATTAATTGAGAATCCTACATAATTCAACTGAGTTGAACTGTGGCTTTTCCTGATGATAAATTGCTTCAACAGAGACCTGAGATCAACAAAATATCTTAAAGTAGGTTTCTAAACCACAAGCCAAATGCAGTGAAAACTTAATAACGAGAAAATATTCTCAAAAACATACAAGCAGCAAGCTAAAATTGGATTTCAATAAACTAGGATTAGGATTTCTAACTCAAGACTCATCCAACTAGTTTATTGTCATCTCACCAGAATGTCAAAGATGTCGCGCTGATGCACATGGATCGTGATGAGTGTCTCAAACTTGATACGCTCCAGCTTGGTGAGGTCTCGTGTCGTCTGATCAATCAGCGTGTTGAGCAGCTCAAGGAACTTGTTGTTGGTCTCAGCCATCAGCTTCTTGTCTGACCTGGCCTGCATCAGAGCAGACTCTGCATCTCTTGTCCAGATCATCTGGATACCCAGGATACCAACCTGCCAACAAGCCATGTTAACACCCTGATATAAGAAGCAGCTATGGTTCTGGAAATGACAAAAGAGGTTGTGGTTCTGGTTCAGTCTTAGAAACTTTTGTTAACGCTTGCCTCCAGAACACTTTACCAGAATAACAGAAAATTATCATATATACACTTAAAAAAAGGGAAGTTTCTTGATAATTTTTAGGCTCTCTAAAACTCAATGCACTCCAACTTCTTTTAAATTTTATTTTTTGTTTTGAAAAAAGGGTAATCCAAATTACAATGTCTAATTGGCATGATTCATAATTAGTGGCTATGTTTATTACCATGTATCCTATGTAGCCTATGCATCCTACATATTACAAAGTTAGCCCAGGATTATACCCTAGTTATCTTACATTCTGGTTATTCTTATGAGATCTGCAGGATGTGCTGGGAATTTCTAAATCCATCCCATGAAATTAGCACAATATCCTCAAGATATTTTTTAATCGCTGGATATTTAATAGCATAGCATGTCCCTGGGACATTCTTAAAACTCAAATGAGTTATAAAAATAAAATCCGCAGGAAACGTGTAATAATGATAAGGTATATCTTGAACCCCAAATTTAATCTTCAGGACCTGGGAACTTGCTTCAGACAACCAAGGACTTGTTATGGTTGGAAACTTTTTCGGAAGCCAAACAAACAATATATCAGCTGAAAGCTCAAAGGACAAAATACTATGGCTATACCTGTGCAGGCATCTTGTCAAGGAAGCCTAACAAGTTGAAGTTAGGGTCGTTGATCTGTGCGTAGGCGTTGCGGATGATGGAATGCAAAGACTGTTGGGACGTCTGTAGAAGACAAGTCAGCCAAGTCTCCACACTGCCTTCCGCTCTTACAGCCCTCTCCAGCTGACAACAAGGTAAATATAATTTTTAAATATTATAATGTTTGAAAAAAATATGATTGTACAAAAATGTAGAGGAATGGGCAAAATATAGCCTATCATTATTATCATCAGGCAAACTGTTAATTTTTTTGAAGCAATCAAAGCCTATTAACTTTTCTTAGGATTGAACCGGCAACTTCCTAATTACTGCGACCACTCCGCTACCAAGCTGAAGTATTCACTTACCTGAATAGATTCGCCCTCTGAGGAGATGATCGCAGTCATCTTGTTGTACTCAATGTCATGGAACTTGACAGACCGAGTGTTGTCAAAGATGGACAGCAGATGGTTCTGTATAGTGTGGGAGTCAGATGCCTGACCCAGGATCTCCAACAAGGCTGGGTCTGACACAAAGAAGAACCGAGGGAACATCATTCGCTTCTTCTCCAGGTACCTACAATGGCAAACAGCTTGGTTGAGTTTTTAATGTTTATTAGAGTCTCATTATTCAATACTTGGTTATCCAACATCCCAAGTTATCTGACACTCCTTGTGGACGTTCAAGTTACATGAAATTGCATGCTATTTCAATATTATAGTATGACTACACTTCCAACTGTGATTTAAAATTGCACACCACCTGAACTTGACTGTATTTATTTACAAACTGACGATTTACATTTACAGTTAAGTTGTGGTTGTTTTACTTGGTCAAAACTTGAAATTCATAGATTTGGTCATCAATAACTGCAGCTATTACATTAGCTGCTGACGTCACTCACCCACTGAGAGACTTCTGACACAACTCCAGTTGTTCCTGCAGGTGAGGCAACAGCTGTTTCAACATGTCGTCTCCCACACAACAAGACACCACACCCGGTGTCTCGTGAGCCCTCTGCATGATCTTCTGCCACGACTTGTCAATCTTGCTGAACCTGCAACCAAAAACCTCCAAAATTAGCGGGCAACTACAACATACATGGCAAAGATGTCAAACAGTTATCCAGCTAAAACAATCTGTGGAGCACCAAAATTTAAAATATTTTGGATCACACAATGTGTCCTCAAGTTTAAATGTGTTGTACAAATTAACCTGCACCAGTAAGTATGCATTACATATGCACTTGACTTTTTTATATTTTTTTTGCTCACTCATGCATTTTTGTATGTTTAAAAATGCATAAATAACAAGTGACATGTAATTGAAAAAATAAAAATAGATACCGGTACTTCTTCAATTCGACCTCATATCAGTGAATTTTCCATACTTTGAAACTGCAGTAGTCATGGGAATATTATTAAGCTGAGGATGGTTTTTTGGAGGGGGGAGGTAAGGGTCATAGCTACCTCAGCTAGGGAGTTACATTAGCTACTTCAACTTTATGGCCTTTGGTCACATCTTTTGTTGTACTTAGCATGATAAAGTTGGTTGAAAAACCACCAACACCTATTTTGTAATGAATAGTTGGGAAGCTGATTACTAATTAGTGATTAGTTATAATGCTAGCCTAGTAAAGTAAAAGGTTACAAGATTGATCTTGAGGAAAGTAAATAGTTTTTTGATGGTTGGAAACTAGGCCCAGCGGTTTTGTTTTCAGTGCGTATTTAGGTTTACAGTCATGCGTTTTGATTGTTTTAAAATATAATCCAGTTTAGTTACTTGTTGTTAAGAAAAAATTTCAAATTAGGTTGTTTTGGATAATATATTTTGTGATTAACCAAATTGGTTAAATTAAAGTTTTAAAATTATCTGTGGTATCACAAACAGTAAACAGTGTAGTTTAGATGATGAGATCTTCACTTCATTCCATTGTCCTTAGGCTCATAATAAATCCTTAGAACCGTAGAAAACCTATTTATCTGATTTCCTTTGGGCTCTGTAGATACAGAAGTTAGTCACCTATATTTTATATCGTCAGAATTAATGTTACTATTATTAAATTGGACTTTTCCGACGTGTATTGTGTTTAAAACTACACAACATTTCTGGAGGTGGACAAACTTTTCCCGTTATCAAGTAAAAATTGATAATGGAACGTAACAAACAAATTTTCACTTGATAACGAGGGGAGTCGATCCACCTCCAGACACATTGTGTAGTTTCAAACACTATAAATGTTGGAAAAGTCCAATTTATTAAAAGTAACATCTCAGAACCAACGTCATAATGAATTTTAAAAACTCTGTTGGAATTAACTTTGAAGGCAGCCTCACTATGACTAACCTTTTAGCCTCCTTGGGCAGCTGCTTGGCAATGTCACCACCCACAAACACAGCCTCCAAATAGACCCACATGTTCTGCACAAGCAGCCAACGCTCCAGGATCTCATTGGTGTTACCCAGGTCAAACACCCACTGCTGTATCTGCTTGCGGAATGGAGCATTGTACCTAGGAACAATAACACAGTTTTATTATAGTGTTCCCTATATACAAGTGCTTCTGGTATAATAGAAGTGTTGTTGAATTCATTTAAGAAGCAGATAACTTCATACCCAACTATTGTAGGAAACAACATGGATTGTGTCATCCAAACGTGAATAACAACTTGCTATTGATTGATGTTGACATGAATGAGTAACTGTACATACCTGTTGGACAGCAGTGAGCCCAACACCATCAGGCTGTCCTCCAGTTGACCGATGGTCTCAGCCGTTGTGTCACCTCGCAACAGCAGCTCACCACGGTTGTTGAATGACATGAACGTCAACTCATGCACGGACCACTCATTGGTCACCTGCCGTAGCTTAGCTTCAATATCCTTCTCCTTCATGGCTGATATACAGATGTCCTACAAAGAAAAAAATTTTTACCAAAATATTATTTTAATTTGTCTTGGGCCTATAGGTCTTACCAGGAGACCTACGGTAATAGCTACTTCCCTTTAGGGAAATTCACTAAAACAAATATAAAGTAAAATAGAACATAGGTACCTCAATATCCTCTTTGCACTTGAGTAGAGGTGCTTCCAAGATGTTTTTCAGACAGAAGCCCTCACTGTCCAGTTCAAAGGTATACTTGGTGACCTCCATGATGCGTTGCCAATGTCGTGGTTTCATGGCTTTGTTGGCCATCAGCTCCAGCAGCGGACACATGTCGTTGAAGTCGTCAATCGTACGTTTGAGAGCATGGAAAGCCGGCCATTCCTGGGTAAGAATTAGAAATTACATAAGTTAGGAGTGTGATAAATTTCCTGTATTTGTTTTGTAAAAAGAATCAGTAGTACATAAAATATTATCAATACAACCTTAGTACAATTTAAAGTTAAAAGTATCTTGAAAGTATCTTAAATGTTGTTAAATGTCTTAAATGTATCTTTAGATCATGGAATGGTTTACTTTCCCACCTTGAGACCTTTGGGCAGTTTGCGACAGCGGTTCTGGAACTCCATTAGCTCATTGTTGATTTCCTCAATGTTGACTTCGCCCCACGGAATGTCGTAGTAACCGCTAAAACACAGAGGCAGTAAGTAGTTTACAAAAAATATACTAAAATCAAAATAATTTTTGAGAAAAAATGTAACTTTTTAAAAGCTACTTTATACGTCACAAGTAAAACTTTGACTTGCCACACCTTGTATATCTCAATCTGGTGTGATAAGTAAGTTTAATTTTAATCAAATTTTTATTACTAACACCATCAACAAAAGCTAATTATTGCCATTAAATCCAAAGTTATCGTCCCACTATCTGAGGCAGAGTCGGTGAGAGAGAATTAACAGTGGAGAACTTGGATAAGAGTTGACTTATTGAATTATTTGTGAGTTTTCTATCTAATCTACATTTGCCAATTCTCTCCATGGTGTGTTCAGTGAAAGCATGTTTTTCTTAATCACAAGAAGTTGAAAAAGTCCAATATCCATATTCAATAACAGAAAAATGGCAATTTGTACTACTTCCAACATAAACGGATTCACAACACAATACCTGACTCTGTCTATGACGTCATTGTACAGTTTGTACAGCTTCTGTAAGAGATTGAGTTCCTTCCTAATCTGCGCCAGTTCTGGATAGTCAGTCTGCGGCAGACCAAACAGTTCCTCCCCACTCTGGTAGGTCTGAAGTTTACGCCACATCCCATCAAATCGGTTCTGAAGTCAAAGATAAAGAGTAAAGAGATGTGTGAATAAGTGCCAGAGAATAGTTTTGAGGATAAGATGGCCCAAAACAATAACAAATCACAACAAACTGTGGCATCGCTCGAACCAAGAGCCAATTGGAGTTCAAATAAAAAGAAGAAAATAGAGATGTGTAGGGCATACCTTGCTGAAGGGAAATGGAGATGTGGCTAAAGATAAGGTGGAGTGGGACCCGGCTGGAAGCAAGAGAGTGGGAAGACCAAGAATAAGGTGGAAAAGGACATTGGTTGAAGATTCAAGATTCTTTATTTGGCAATTGAACAATAAATACAGTAATAAACCACGTCAGATTGTCCTAAAGGAGGAGCTAAAGGAGAAAGGGAAAAGCTAGGAAGGGATTGAGAGAGAAGCGACCAACAGGGTCCAGATATTCCTCTCCTCAAGTCTTAAGTCAGTAAGTCATACACACAATCTCTGTTTGAAAAACTGCTCACATAAAATAAATCAGTGCATCTCCAACTACTCTTCAAACATACTATGATTTCTCTGTCTCAGCCATTAGGTAGTTGTACTTTGAAATTCAATTAGTTTAAACAATGGTTTAAACTAAAGAAAACAAAAATCAACAACTTTAAGCTGTGTTTATATTGCAGATTCACCTGGAAGAGGATAAGTCTGTCAGAAGCCTCCCGAGGAGACAGGCCTGGCATCATGGGTCCGCTGGTCCTGTACTCGTGGCAATACTCAATGTTGTCCTGACGGAACCTGTCCAGGTTGCGGCGCAGGTCCTCCTCAAAGTGAGGCTGCATAGTTAGCAACAACACGTTCACGTCCATGGCTCTGCCGAGCAGACGCTGCCACGAGTATCGCAAATTGTCCACCTGAGGTAACCAGAATGTCGCATGTAAATTAACATTACACACATACATTTGTGAATCATATTTGGTGTAGAGTATTCATGCGTTACATTTAATGCATTTAAATTTACACAGGATGTTTTCAAATTAGTAATAGTAAGCCAACCTGTTTGAATAACATCATCTGTTACATATCAAATTGTACAGTATAATGTGAAAATAGTGAATTATTTAAAATCTCTACAAAGTCTAAATTCATCTTTCCATCAAACATATAATTACAAATAATATCAGTAAAGCCATGACTTTTAAACAACCATGTTTATTTAACTATTTATTATTTAAGTGTATTATATTGCAATTGTAAATGTTACCTGTTCCAAGTCTTCTCTGTCCACTGGCAACTCATATCGTGTAATGACATTGAAGGCTTCCTGGAAAAATATTGATACATCACAGTTGTAAAAGTAAATAGCAGTGAAATAAATTGTAAAGTTAATTTAATCAAATGAATACACAGTAAGTTGCTACAGACTTGACACCTGATAACCCAGCAGTCCAAATTTATTGATGACCTCCCAAAGAATTTTTATGCAAGTTGTACACAAACCTACACCTTAAAACCATATAAATATAGTAAACCAGAGCCATATTTGTTAGCTTCGATAGTTACATAAAGTACCTTGCCATTGCCATTTGGACTACTTGAACTAATTGCGGACATTTAGGCCAAGATGCACAAGCCACTCTGCCTGATGATAGAAGCGCTTGCTACTCTGTTAGTCAGCATCAACCTTTAATTTTATGGGAAAAAGTAATTCACAAATTTTATTAATGTAGGTAGTTCAATGTTATTTTGTTGTAAAATGGTTTATATAACAAAGATCATAGGAAAATACTAGGCCTATATGTCTTAGTTTTGATTTTAGCGAATTTCCCATATAGGGAATAAGCTATTACCGTAGTACTCATGGTAAGACCTAGACGCGGGACCGATTTTTTTTTCATTTTGAGGTCCCTAGAGGCCAAAAACACCATCCGTTCAAATTCATATATATATATATTTATATATTTATATATATATATGTGTGTGTCAGTTAGCACGATAACTCGAGCAAAAATGATCCGATTTTGATGAAATTTGGTACAAACGTGTAAACCTACGTTTATTCAAACGAGTTCGCGATCCAGCATGATCAGACCATGGGAACGGGGGTTTACGGGGGGTTTTATTGGGTAAAAATAGGTTTTTCCCATTTTTGACCCAAAAAACATAAAATTTAGCAATTTCTTTCCAAACCATTTTGTAGAGCTTAAAAAAACAAATAATTTAGTATATTGAAGCTTTATTATGCGCCTAATGGTTACAGAGAAAATTCCGAAAAATTGTAAATTTAAAATTCCCATGTTATTCTTATGGAGAATAAGTAAATTGTTGTAGTTTGCTTGTTTATGAACATATTTTGATCAAATTTGGAAAATGATTTTATTTCTTACTAACTATTAACGTTTTACAAAAAAAAAACAGTTTTACCCTCCCTGATGCAGCAAACCTAAGTACTAGTTAAACTAATTCTATTTAAATAGAGAATAAATGTTATATTTTTAAGTAGACATTTCAGTGTAAATCCAATCAGTCAAATGGAAATTCGCTTAGTCTGCAGGTTTGCTGCGGCAGGGGTATTTCCTATTTTCATGATGACTCAGAATTTCTAAAACTTAAAATCATCAGGCCCAGATGTCAAGTTTAAGGAGCTGAGCTAATTTGAGTTGTATGTGTTTCCCACACACCTACTACTTTCTATCACCCCTGACTCCTACGAGCTGTGCAGTGACCACAAGACAGTGAGGTATTGTTACAGTATACATTAAATGAGCAAAGCAAGAGGTACACAACTATAATGATAAAATTGTAGCTTGTCTCAAATCTGCAATGTTTTACTTACAAGCCTGTGGCGCTACCACCAAGCTTTCTTTTCAAATAAAACATTTATAAGAGGCTGGAGGATAGTTATAATTATAAAATTCATTATTCACTGAATGGGGTACTTATTGAATTAGTATTCAAGTTTCACCCTTCATCGAAGTAAATCAATACCACAAACGGCTCCATCCCCCACTCAATTCTAACAATCTTGTGCCTTCTGTCTCACCTCGATGGGTTCTATCCTGAGTTCCATGTCAACCTCCTGTTCTCTGATCTTCTTCAGGGTGTCCATCACCAGCCTGACGTCGTCCAAGTCTCGTATCTGCCGGTCCAGCTTGCGTTCCATCTCACTCATCACTGCGTACACATAGTCCATCTCTCGGTGGTACTTCTTCTTCAGCAGCTGGCCGATACGATATGTACAAGCCTTCACCTCCGTCAACAGCCCAAACTTGAGCTTCTCTGTAATACATATAAATTGGCTGGACATTGTTTATTTTGCAATAAAAAAAAAATTACAATCTACTTACTAACTTTAAACATTTATTGGAGAAAAAAGTACTTGGATTACGAATAAATTTAGAAATGAGGAATGGGTAGTAATTAACTTGCCCAAATATAGTTCCTGAATGACAGAACAAAAAAAGTTCACAACACAATGAGGTGATCTCACGGGTTCAGACAGAAAGACTTACCTATAGATATGGCGAGACAGTTGCCAAACACCTGCATGTCAGGTTCTACGGCCAGCTCTGCCTCCAACTCTTGATGTCTCCTAAGAGATGCCTCAGACTCTGTAAGGTTCACACTGTGAATGTCCTTCTTGACAGTCTCAATCTGCCACAGGAACTTGTATGGCAACCACCGCTCATGGAACGCAGCTAGCTCCTGATTGAAAACAAAAGAGTTTGAAAACCAAATCAATGTATGAGGTAAACAATCACTCTCAATGGGAAAATATATAAAAATTTTAAAAATATAATGATCTTAAACATTTTTTTCTTACTTTAAAAACAAGGATTTAGATTTAACCATTGCTGTACTATGGTTCTTAAACAGTATGCTTGTTGGCACGTTCAAAATAACTACTAAATTAGGGCAAAATCCAAAAGACACACAATGCAATACTGAAACAATTTTCACACGTGTGTATAATTTATTTTGCATTGCTAGTATTACTTTTATTCTATAATATAAGACCCTTCTATCTTTGTGTGCAGATATTGTTTCTTGTATCAGAAAGAATGACTATTAAAGATATTGTCTTTCATTGAAATATTCAGTGAATACAAGGCCAGTTGCCTGTGGATTAAGGTTACCAACAAGTGAAGCACTAGTTGTGGCCCAGTGAGCTAGTTTAGATCTGAAACCAGCGTCCAATATGCATTTATATATATTAAACGTCTGTGTACTTCTTCCTATGTCCAAATTTCAAAAAAGCATTTACCAACTTTATCACAGAATGTGATTCATACCTCGATCTTCAATTTTCCATCACATCATTATCAACTACTACAACAATATTTTTCACATAACAGATGGAGCCGCTAATAGTGTTATAAATAACTTTGAGTTGGTGTCAGATTTCAACCAGCCCACTTGGGCACCTATCCTGTAAATAGACCTCCCTGGGCACCTTAATTTACATTAAAAATCTTTCACTAACCGGTTTGATGTCCTGAGTGCAGCTGGACAGTAGCGACAGTGTCTTGACCACCTCCTTGTTCTCCATGACGTGGCTGTAGAAGTTCTTGTGCTGATAGGGGAACGCCGGCCGCTGTTCACTAGCCATGCGGTACAACCGGCGCCGTCTGGTCCGGGCGTCCTCACTACCGGCTGCTGAACTCTTTGGGTCCTGATCCAGGCGAGACACAAGGTCAGCAAGCGCCTTGTTCTGCATGCGGCCGAGCCCTCCACCGCCCAGCTTACGCCACACGCTCTGCAGAACGGGCACACACGACCACGACACACGGACAACACACACACACACAACGGACAACACAGAGAGGGGTTGGCGTTAGTGAACAGTTCAAATAGTAGTACCACGGTAAATGGACAAAGATATGGGAGGTTTGGGTTGAGTTAAGAGAAGCATTTTACATACAGAAAAACAAACTAAATGTGACTGACATGTATGGGCAACAGGGGCGGGGCGGTGTTAATGAATGGTTTAAACAGTAATACCACAGCAAATATCAGGGACAAGATAGTAGAGTAATGGATTTGGTTCTATGTTCTATTGTGAGAGAAACCTTCACAATCCTCTATCTTAAAAAACATGAGAGTATTGAATGGGTGAATTGGGAGCTCCAATTTCAGAAAAAAATCAAATGAGACTGATATGTATATGGATTATATATTAGAGGTAGAGAAATATACTCCTAGTTGGGTAACAAGCAAAGAGAATGTGACAGATCCTTTAGTACCTTGTAAACAAATTTTGCTTGAAATGCTTACATTCTCGGGTAAGCTGACACAGAACAAGAGTGAACAAAAACCGATTAAAAGGGTACGGAAGAAGTACAACTATTGTTTAGATGTTGAAAGCCCATATAGTATGTATTTCTTTAGTTGAAAAGGAACACACAAACATTTTGTTTCATGAGAATCGAGTATGCCAAATGTACACAAACAATTTACATAAATATGTAAATTGTACATATTGTACATATAAATGTGTAAACTACAGTACATAGCTTTACCTCCCTAGTATTTACTAGGGAGGTAAAGCTATGTACTGTAGTACAAAAATAGAAACATTTAATGTTTCAAAGATGTTGAATCATGTTGAAATTCTGTTGAACTTTTGTTTTGGTAATGTTGATAAAAAGCTATGGACAACAATGTCTCTGTTTTTCCCAATAGGAAGTATATCAGGGTGAGGAAGATACTACAAAACAAATGGGAGAGATAATACAATTTTTGGGGATAATATTAGAATAAATTATCTAGGCCTAGATCATTTTAAGTAATTGACAAATAGTTTACCAAGGTTTTATTAGCATGCGACTACAACACATAAGCAGGGTAACTTTTAAGCACATTTTAAAAAAGCTTCAACAGTTCTGGCATTTGACATTATAAGCAAAACAAGCAATGTTGCAGTAAAAATTTTTTAACAAACATTTTTAACTTAATTGTTGTACAATTTACTTCTTTGTTCCTATTTCTATAAATGTATCATCCCTTAGGTTTGATTTAAAATTACAACATTCATTTAAAAAAAATATATTATTTACAGCGGATTCAAGTTTAAATAATATTTAGGCCTACTGTTACACTATTTTTAAGTAGTTAGAAATCAATTTAATAGTTTTACCATTATTGAATTATTATTTTTTAAAGTTTGAATTTTAAAAGTTTAATTCATTTAGTATTGGCCAACTACATAGCTATAACTACATAACAGTGGTAATATTGAATTAGAGGTTCCGAGGTTTGGCATTTATCCATTCATCTTTAATATTAATAACCACAATAATTTCTTTCAAACCATCTGATCTAAAGGAGAACTATGTTACCTGATTTAAAAAAGTGGTTCTCCAATTTCTCTGAAAAGACAAATGCACTTGAATTAATCTATTTCATTACTATATATAAAAGTCGATCCTGTTGTTTAAATACCGTTTCTGTTTTCATGTGATCAAACTTAAACAAAGTTTTCCACGGTTAATATTTGGTTAATTGACTTAAAAATTATGCATTCTTGAAGCAGCATAATGTGTGAGTGTATAAAAAGTCGAATGTACACAACTTTTAGTTGCACTAAAACAAGACAAGAACAAGTGTATTGGTCATGCTTTGGAAAAAGTGTGTATAAAGTATGGAACGACGCACGTAAACTATTTGCTTTTATTAGTAATTAGATGTGAAAAAGCAAATGTATTTTAGCTCCACAGTGTATTAGTGTTTAAAAATGTTAAGTGGTTTTATCACTACAAGAAGACAAAAAAGTATTACACTATACAAAACTGTGTAAAATTAGTGAATGCTTTTCTACTTAAAAGCTAAGGACAAATACAATAAGCTGTAAATTAAATAATTTATTTAAGTATAGCTTTCAGCCGTTTTTGTTGAGTTAAACTCGTTAAGTACAAGTTTGTTATGTGACTCTAATATCAATAATAGCAGCCTCTAGAGCTCCAATGGTCAAAAATTCAGACAATATTATCTTGGATTGTGTCATGCATGTATTAATAAATGTGTATGGCTTTCAAATGTAAAATACACCCATGCTTTATATTAAGTAAACTACTACATTAACTAAACAGGAACTCTAACCAAATAATAAATCAAAAAGGTTAGGAGTTTTCTTTACGGCTCTTAATGGTTGTGATCTCCCTTTATGAGCAAAATTTTAATCTCCCACAATTTCAGTGATTTTGTGATTTCCCCTCACATTTCGTAATCAACTTATTGGCCCTATAAGGTCTTTTCTTTTTTAATTGTCAGACAGAGTCAGAATTTATCAAAATTATATAAGCTTTTGAGGGAGTTTCCATTATTTGGGTAGCATAAAATTAGTTTCAGCACTGTTTAGTGTTTTTACAATAACCTCGTGATATTTGCAGAAAACAGCAGCAATATCATCATCAAATATTGCTGCTGTTTTCTGCAAATATCACGAGGTTATTGTAAAAACACTAAACAGTGCTGAAACTAATTTTATGCTACCCAAATAATGGAAATTCCCTCAAAAGTTTGTGAAATTAAATGTTTTCCTTTGGTCAATCCTGAACCAAGGTTAAATAGGGAAAATGATAGGCTCTTCTTTTTATTGGTCTCCAAGAGGTTTACAGAATTTCATAATAACTAATGTGATTGGTGATTGGTGGTAATTGGACTAGTGTGTAATGTGATTGGTGTTTGGCCTGGAACCTTGGATCGAATGTCCCATCCTCTATCCCTAAACCAGCTTGCTCCCCTACTGTAGTTTTTGTTCATCAACCATTAAAAAAACCAAAGAATTTTAGGATTTCCCTAAAACCATTGTAGAGATATTCCAACAATTAGAAATGCCGCTCCACACAGCTGCCAGTCACTGGCCGAGCACCGACGGCCACAGATAGGATTGTTACCTTGTTCTGCTTGCCTGCCGTCCATTGGCCAACTCCCTTGGCCACCCCGGTGATGTGCCTCCCCGCAATGACCAGCGCCTCTTGCACATCTTCTAGACTTGGGCGAATCACAATGTTGGGGATCATCAGCAAAGCGTTCAACAGGAACACCGGCTGATTGCCTGTGGAAAAATAAGAAGGGTCAAATTGTGAAGAGGAAGTGTTTGCCATGTTGTGCAAGTAGGCTGAAAGTGGTGTAAAACATATAACTTGTTGTACTGACCTACAGAAGGCTGTCTAGACAGGTGGTTTGGATTAGCAGTGTTCAGATCAACAGGATCTTAGGGTACTATATTTTAATTTTTAAAATTCTTCCAGGTTAAATATTTACTTATTGGTTAGTCTATAAACAAACTCTTACAAGCTTGAATCTGTTTGAATTAAAAAGGCCATTCATTTCCTAGAGGAACCTTCACACCCCTCTCTAGAGTTTTGGAATTAGGGAATTTAAATTATTCATTACTTTTATATTTAAGTAAATTTAATATCCTTGTTCAGTATAGTATACTGTACCGAATTTCTGTATAAATACGTTACAAATCAAAGACATTACATTACAAATCAAAATACTACGAACAGACATTTTTAACTGTGATTTATTAGTTTCAACTACTTAAAACTATTCTAGAGTTCCACCTACTTGACGACAGGTTGAACCGCTTGCGCAGTATGTCCAAGGATGACCGAGTGACCTTGATGAGCACATCGATGACCTTGCGGCTGTAGTAGCGTCGCATCTCACTGACAGCGTTGCGTACCAGGTCTTGCATGGATCGACTGAGTCCTCCGCCACCAGCCAACAGTGTCTGAGGGTTCTCAAAACACTCCCACACAGAGCTCCAGTCCTGGCCTTGCTGACTGCTGGGGGTGCTGTTACCTCCTGGACTCTCTGGCTCTTCTACAGAACACAAAAATTTTCATTCAACTCAGGGATTCTCTGAAAAGTCCAGACTTAGTTATTTCACCAGGGCCGGATTTACCAATAGGCCCAGTAGGCCCGGGCCTATGGGCGCGAGCTCTCCTAGGGCGCACAGCTGAGTAAAATTATTAAATTTTTTATATCTAAAAATAAAAATAAATATCATAAGTTAACATATTTTGCGAGTTAATAAAAAAAACACTGGAAAATAATATGCATTCTGATTTTGAAGTTCATTGGAAGAAATAACTGTTCGAAAATTTACTATTTTTCAAAATTACGCATCAATTTTGTTACAACATTGGTTACGGGAGTAGGCTGTAGGGACGTTGTCAAGCGCCCGAGCAGTACGCATCGTATTGCCACTGCCCTGCCACTTAGCTGGCTCAGCGCTACTGATGGAAGTATGGAAGATGGAAGTGGTTAGGGGCGCATGCGTGCTAGACACTGTTACCACCCTCACCTCACAAAACAAAAGTTATTAACTAATCTTTTGGTCAGTTTACAACAACCTGCAGGATTTAGTTAAAATATAATAATACGTTTTGTTGAATATAAAAAAATGAGTTTATCTTTAAAATTCACTAACGGACAAAATATTAATCTGAGTTTGCAATAGGTTTAGACAATATAGGCAGTACCGACTAGATTAACCATAACTCAAGTCGACATCCTTGTCAATTATAAATATTTTTTCATGTCTAGTTCATGTTGGTGACACTGGACGTTAGTTTTGGCGTAAATTTGTTTTTATTATTTTAGGGTTGGTTCTATGACGTGTGTTTGAACTTAATTTCTTGTAATATAACCAGGGGACGACCTATTGTTTATGATTAAATCGTTTTATTTTGGACAAACTAGGTTTAAATAACTCAAATAACAAGAATTGTTTTCAGCTAATCCTTAAGGATGACAAATCTACTAAAGGTGTAGAATATGTTTAATCTATGATATCTCGTACTGTATTAAGTTCATGTTTTGGAAACTGAAATTGGAATCAATAGTTTTTTTTTTTCTTCAGGAATGCTCTGTGCGTTGGATTGTTTTGTTTCAGTCCCACAAACGTGAGTATTTGCCAAAAGTGTTTAAGATGGCATTTTGTTAAGGCTAAACAAGTCAATTCTTCAAAAAACTTGCAATGATAAAATTCCGACAAGGGTTGGAATGGTGTTCAAGCAATTAACATAGGCCTATTATATGCATGATATAGTTTTTAATAAAGGTTTGTAGGAAAGTAACTGTGACCAGACTAGGGGGCGAGAAAATTATTTGGGCCTAGGGGCGCCAAAATACTAAATCCGGCCCTGTATTTCACTGTTATAGAGCAAAATAGTTGAATTCAAGGAACCATAAATTAGTTACTACAGGCCTGTGGTTTGCATGTGACACGGTACAGGTTTAAGAGATAGTTGCGCCCACCTCCCCCCTTCCTTGTGCCCCCAACAAACCTTAAGCCTCTCACACATCCCACGTTTGCATAATCATCATCAAGACCAACAATAGCCGTGAAAATGTCATCATTTCCCACAATCCCGGGGACATAATCATGATCACTGTTGTTGGACCAAATCCTGTTCTGAGAAAATCCCAAATTAAATGACATCCCAACTGAAGATCAAGAATTCAGAAAAAATTCACAAAATTAAGGGACTTGTCCATCCCTAATTTATTTTTACAAGCAAACATGCAATGAATCGAAAAGAGTGCTTGAAAAAAATTATTGAGTAACTTTTATTAATTATCGATTTTAATATAAGGTTTATTGTAAGCTACCATTACAGCCAACTTTACAAACAATAGGCCTACTATAGAAAATATTTAAAAAAATCATTGTCCTCTATTGCTCAATTACATAAACAAATTAAGATTGTATAAAACCAACAATTGACAAAAAATTCAAATTGTTATTACCATCAACAAGAAAATCAAAGTCATCACTTTCGTGAGCAGCTTTGAAGGCCTCAGCAGCTTTACGAACTAATTCCAACACTTCTTCTACTGCTTCCTCCACCATCTGGCTCTTGCGATTCAGTTCCTAGACAGCCCCAATCACAATATTTACTAATAGTCATTAATACAGATGCCAATAAATATCCAACTCACAAACCTATGAGCTTAAAATACTAAATTATTTTTTTGAGTACGATAACCAAACTTTCATTACAACCGTTTATAAATGTGGGTGTGACAAAAAATAAAATAAGCGGTTGATACTTGATAAGTGCAACCCAGGAGTCAAGTTTAGAACTTATACGCTTGGGTTCATCAGTGTTGTCAGTGTGTTAGGTCTTAGCTCTTATCAATGGTCGAGTAAGGCTCTGTTACGGTCGGTAGAACTGTAGATTGAAATTTCTAATCCCACCTCACGAGGATGTGCAACTCATAAGAAGTTCCTTCACTGATTTCCTTGGTGTGAAAACATGAAAACTAAAAAAAAAATCTAAGTAACATGATACCAACACAACACCTCTCCTTTTACCAAAATGTACATGAAATTACCCAGAGACTTAATTAAAGAATTAACACTTAATTAACACACATTTCTGGTATAAAAATAAAATCAATCAGATTACTAACAATAGCAGCGTTTCTACATGCATCCTCTGTGTTCTCTATGAATTCATCTACACTCCAGGGTTCCTCAGAGGGCAAAGCATGCAGTGTGATAGTCTGCATACTGGACAGCACTTGTAGTATACGATTAGTATACACATCGTGTACCCTGAAACATGACACAAATAGTGAGCTCATGGCTACTTTAAAGTAAGTACACAATAATGATGTGGTGATGTAACATATAGCACAATAATATAGGATTTTAGGAGTTTTGTCTGGTTAGCAGGAGCAGGCTTACCTGAATGAGAAAGATCCTACCCTACCACATGAAACACAAAATGTTAAACACCAAAATTAGAATATTTTACTGTCATTGGCAATATGACAATATTTTCTACCAAGGAAGGTTTGAGGTAGAGAGATACCTTCAGGTTGTTTACTCATTCTTTACTGGTAATTTTCAAGTAGACACTGATAGTTACAATCCTCAACTGAAGTACAAGGGTTGTCTGTGAATTAAGGTCTCCAAAGACACAGAGAGCTACGAGCGTTATACCAGGATCCTGATATAATAGCTTTGATAAAGGCAAAAATATTAGGTTGGCTAGGTCATGTATTGCGAAGGGAAGAAGGAACAAGACTGAAGGAAGTATGTTCTGCTGTACCAACTGGAACTGCGTGCACTTGGTAGACCAAAAATGAGATGGAATGACCAAGTTAAGAGGGATGTGAGTCAGTGTGGAGGGACAGTGGAGATGGCAGCGGACAGAGAGGCGTGGAAGAGGCTGATCTACGAGGCGAAGAATCGACTGCGATTTGTAGCGCCCCAGCAGTAAGTAAGTAAAAGACACATTTCATACTTGGTGGGAGTGTTGTTTTTCCTTCACCTCGTTTTTGGCTACAATAAACATAATTGTAGCATAGGCTTATGAGCCAATAGTGAGGGAAGTAAAAAAACACAATGCTGGTGTTAGGCTTGAACTAGCTCACTTGCCTGGTGACCAAGACATCAAAGCTCCGTATAGCTTCAGTGGTACTGCGTACAAAGTTCCGCCAGCCGGGGTCTGTCCAGTTAAGACCAGTGAGAGCCGGAGTGAGCATATTGGTCAACCTCACTAGCTGAGGCAGGAACAGCGGCCGGACTTCCAGCTTCACTCGGCGAACTGTCGTCAGTAGCTCATTTAGGAGAAACTGTGCACAAGAACTGTGTTAGTGATATTGTTACACCTTAGCTATCATTTTTCCAAAAGTCAACAAGAAACGAATTACCGGATATAAAGCTGTTGAAGGAGAAATAACCTGCCACAGTTGATCAGGTTGACCAACATGAAACAACAAAAATAAAATTTCAGTATCTTGCATGTTGGTCAACCCGAGCAGCTGAGGCCAAAACAATGGCCTAACTTCAAGCTTCAATTGATAAACTGTTGGGACTGGACTACGATATTTTTGTGAAACTAAGAAGTCACTGTTTTGAAGTGTTTCTTAAAAATCATGTGAAAGAGAGTCAATAACTAGTAACAATGTTGAGCCATTAGCTATGTGAGGGCGAATCAACGCTCCCTTATACCATAGAACTTGGTTCATACACATGGCAGGAGCGTAAATTTTTCCTCGAATTGCTATTGCCAATTACAACCAAACTAATTGTCTCATAGGGGTACAAACCGGCTAGATTACTAGAAAGGAAATTCACTTCTTAAAAAAATTAACTGCGACTAAATCTCAATGGAGACAAACAACGCTTGCACTTGCAGTAGTTACAAGCTTGTCTGTGATGTCTACTATGACTATGAAAAATTAGAAACAACCTATGTAATTGTTCACCTGAAGACTGTCGTTGACCAGCGAGAAATAGTTCTTCTTGCACAACAATGTGTGAGTCACGACTGGCACAGGTAGATCCATCTTGGTGAGGCAATCAGCCTCTCTGATCAGCAACACTATACGAGGGTCCAGGTTGACTCTTAACCTGCCAGCGTTTTCTGTGATCACCAACAGTGTCTTGTTGAGACAGTCATCCACCACTCTCACCTGCAATTACAATTTATGTAACATATTTTCTATATCCTCAATGTTGCTGATTAATTGCAACTGTAGAAATAAACCCCAACAGCCTTTTCCCTCTGTTGCAGCCCTTATCCCCATCAGCCTTATCCGTTATCCACTAATATTGTGGATTTTGACTTAAGAAACCGCTTTGCACCTGAGTCAAGGTCTTAATATTACAACTGTTTGACTATCAATATTTACAAAACCCTCCCAGAGCATACAAGCGGTTGGAAAGGTTGGTTCCTCCTCTATTTAAATGGCTCTGGCTCTGGTAAACCGACCACTTAATTCATCAGACCTGAAATTCAACTTACATTGTGGTTTAGCCAGGCCTGCTTCATGTCGTGTTGGTAGTTGAGAAGCGTGTTGGCCACTAGGTTGTATCTCCTCACTAGCTCTGTGGTGGCAGACAATGTCTTGAGCACAGGATGAGCAGAGGCTGACTTCACCAGGTCCTCCAGGTGGAAGTGCAATGACCTCGCCCACTTTATCCGACCTAAACAAAAAATGGCGGAATTTTACTTTTAAGATAACAAATTTCTTTTACACAGTGTTTGGACACTGAACATCATGTCACAACAGCTAAAAACAATACACATACCTATAATTATAATTGAAACTTTGGTCGGAAATAGTTATGACTGTATGAAATAGGCCTAGCTGAATTTCTCATTTTGGCCTGTAATGCTAAAAAGTATTAATATTCGTGACTTCTAGCACAGAAAACATACTACTATAACCCAGAATGCCAACCGCATGGTAAAAAGCATTAAGTGTTTTGAGAGAGCTTTGCCTGTCAATCGTAGGCAGCGCCACCAGCGTTGCTATGCTGAGTGCATGGCAACGCTGGTGGCGCTGCCTACGATTGACAGGCAAAGCTCTCTCAAAACACTTAATGCTTAATCGTAGGCAGCGCCACCAGTGTTGCTATGCTGAGTGCATGGCAACGCTAGTGGCGCTGCCTACGATTGACAGGCAAAGCTCTCTCAAAACACTTAATGCTTTTTACCACGCGGTTGGCATTCTGGGTTATAGTAATATGTTTTCTGTGCTTCTAGGTTGAACAGTGTTAACAGGATGATGTCAGATGCCGATGTTTCAGATAAATTATACTCCGTTCAAACAGCCGTGGCACGTGACGGATTAGGACACCCCATGGAAACCCTCGGGGCCTCCTAATCCCTCAGGTGCCACGGCTGTTTGAACGGAGTATACAGTTCTCCATCTTCATGTATATAAAGTAATTTTATGATTAGTAAAGACTACAAGGTTTGGTTTAGGATTTCTATCAACAATACAATTCACATACCTGCTATGGGTGGAAAGTTTCTGGACAAAGGAGGGTCATCTCTTTGTTTTCTAAACAACTTCAAAATCCTTTCCAGTTCTTGTTCGCAATACTTCAACACTCGGTCGTACTTATCATCCATGCGGGTTAGCGGTATCTTCTCACTCACCTAAAATCATACTTTTTTGTAGGAAACTTGTAAAATTCATTGCACAAAGGCATCTGCTAAAAGACTATGATTTGAGCCACCTACAAGCAAGATATTTAACTCTTTAGACTTGTTTTACTTAAGTCAGTCACATTCCTTTATTATATCTCAAAATGACTGTGTGATTAGCTTGTGATAAGCAAAATGTTCATCAGACTTTTACTGTTAGGTACTTCAAGAAAAATGCAAACTTTTACCTTTAAATATACTGAAAAAATGTTCACTTGTTTTCAAATACCCCATTGGACGTCATATCAATGGATATTATAAAAACTGTATAAATAGATTTACTACCACGCAAGTGTATTCATTAAATGTTTTAAAGCTTTTCAAATTGAAAAATACAAATTGTGTTTCAAATATTTGAAAAATATCCAGATTTTGTTAACACCTAAGATAAGAAATAAATACCCCCGCCGCAGCAAACCTGCCGACTAAGCGAATTTCCATTTGTCTGAATTGATTTTCAGTTAAATATATTTTAATAATTTTAGGTTTAACGAGTACCTAGGTTTGCTGCTACAAGGAAACTAATAAAGTGTGTTTTTGGGTAAAATATTGATAGCTTAGTACAAAATAAATAAATTTGCCAAGTTTGATCAAAATATATCCATAAACACGCAAACTACAACCTTTGACAATATTCTCCATAAGAATAACATGGGAATTTTAAATTTACAATTTTTTTAATTTTCTCCGTTACTAATAATCAAACAAAAAGACTTTTATATACTAAATTATTTGTTTTTTTAAGCTCTTTAAAAAGGTCTAAAGAGAAATCGGGAAATTTTGTGTTTTGAGGGTCAAAAGTGAGAAAAACCAATTTTGACCCCATAAAACCCCCCGTAAAGCCCCGTTCCCATAGTCCGATCAAGCTGGTTCGCGAACTCATTCAAGTTTATCCCGCTTTACACCTTTAAACCAAATTTCATCAAAATCAGACAAAAATTACTCAAGTTATCGCGTTCACGGACGTATATATATATATATATATATATAAGTCTATATATATATACATATATAAAAATTTGAACGAATGGTGTTTTTGGCCTCTCGGGACATCAAAATGAAAAAGTAAATCGGTCCCGGGTCTAGGTCTTACCGTGCCACCTACAGTAATAGCTACTTCCCTATAAGGAAATTCGCTAAAATGTATGACATAAAGTAAAATGAAAAGTATAGATCCATTTCATAAACCTTTTCAAAACGGACGAGAAAGCGAATTCCCTGTGGACTTTCCCAGACACTGGCAAAGTTTTCTTCAATCAGAGCTCCAATACTTTCTTTTAACTGATCTGTTTTTTGGAGGAAAATCTCAAAATCTTCGTCAAACTCAGTATTTCGCTGGTCAAGATAGTCATACGTTTTGCTAGTAACTCCTCCCTTTGCTGTCTCAAATGTTTTTATTGCATCTTCAAGAGCTGGAAACACAAGAAAGGAGGTTTATTACTCCAGAAAGACATTACATCATTTTATAATTTTTAGTGTTTTTAAGGCTCTGAATAATGTTTTTGGTAAATATATAAAATAATTTATAAAAAATAAAACTTTTTAAAACAAAACGTTTTTAAACACACTAAAAAGTAGAAAATAATTTATAAATATGTGTAGGATAATATTACATTGTCATCCATTTGTGAGCTATGTTTTAAATTGCAAGTCTCTAGCTCATCGGGAACTTCGTTTGAAATTGATATCAAAATTTGTAGGAAAGCGACTAGCGAGCTACTAAAAACAAGCCCATGGGGCGTAGCCCAAGGGAAATATGAAAATTAAATGGTATAATATTGCATTGTCATCCATTTGTGAGCTATGTTTCAAGTTTCAAGTCTCTAGCTCATCGGGAAGTATCAACATTTGCAAGAAAACGAGTTAATAAAAACAAGCCCATGGGGCGTAGCCCAAGGGAAATATGAAAATAATAAATTAAATGAGTTAGCCCAATTTAAATGAAAGTACTGTACAAATATCCAAACCCACACTATTTTTTTGTATACAACTTATTTGCTACACATAACTCTTTCACTTAATAGCTGTTAGGAAACCAACACTAGCCTATATTTTGCAATTGCTGAAACAAAAGTATTCTTATATAATACAAAATTCTTCTTACCTTCCCCAAGCAATAGACCTGGAAACATTACAAATTATTAAATTATCATCAGAAAAAAATATTTTACTACATACATTAAAAAAGTACTCAGTACATATTTTACATAATATGTAGGCCTACATATTAGGCAAGCTTTTAGTTTTGACTTAAGGGTGTTTGAAAAGTATTGTAAAAAGAAACTTGCTTCTAAATAGGGCTTTTCATTTATTTTGATTGTTTTGTAAACACTTGAAAAATCAAGAAGAAGAAGTGAAGTTTTAAAACCCTTATCTGAAATGAAATCAAAACCCAAATCGATTAAATATGTTCAAACTTGGGGGATTAGTAAATTCTTGAACATTAGTATTGAGAATTGAGTATCAAAAGTCTATGGCAATACCAATACATGGCAGTGGACAGGATCATAACAGATTTAATTTTGTAGCCATTAATTTGGTTACCGTACGATCATAGCAAAAAAATTTATTTTAAAACTTAGAACGATTCCGGGATTTACCACGCCTAGGGTAAAGGTTCTCCCCTTCACAATCAATCAACGGCGTCCATGCTTCAATTCTATTGGCAGCCAGAAGACACAATAGATTAGAAATGATAGCAGTATCTAACCACCTTAGTTGAGGTCTCTCAATCTATCAGAAGTATTAATAGAGCTTCCTAATGTCATCTATATATATAAAAGGCAAAGCCCTCACTGACTCACTCACTCACTCACTCATCACTAATTCTCCCACTTCCCACTTACCTAGGAGGCTGAAATTCGGTACACTGATTCTTTAGGCATTAAATAGGAAAACTAAGTGGTTTTTATTCTGATCGGACTCTCGGGCTCCGCCCCAGTGGCTCTGGAGTTTCCCATGTTAACCTAATGAGTACTCATATTTAAATGGAATTGATGAATCATAACAGCTGTTTCAATTAAACAAGTTGGTTCTGTTCTATGATGTTCAATAGCATTAAAGTTACAAGGATTGCCAACAGAGTGCAGCACTATTATTTTTTTAAATATTTGACAACAGCTAATTTGCAACCAAAAGGTGAGTGAGCGTAGCGAACGAACTTCAACCCGGAGGCGAGGTAGCGTAGCGAACGAGCTCCAACCGTAAAGGTGAGTGAGCGTAGCGAACGAACTTCAACCAGGACGTGTGAGCGCAGCGAGCGAGCTCCAACCTAAAGGTGAGTGAGCGTAGCGAACGAACTTCAACCAGGACGTGATTGAGCCATGCGAACGAGCTCACGTATGAAGTTAAACGGGGCAAAGCCCGCGGGTACAGCTAGTAGATCTATAAACTACACTGAACACTAATTCACCTCCTATTCATACCCAGGTCTACATTTCCCAACAATTATCAAGCATTTTTTTTCAAATTTTCACATACCTTCCATCCTCCTCTCAAATAAACTGTTGTAGTCGTCCACAAGATCGAACATTGAGATGATTTTGCTGAGCCGATCACAGAACGTGTCAAACTTTCCAAACACGTAGTTCTCTGAGAAGGTGAAGTTGCTGGTCTGATCTGGCAAGAACGGCTGCCGCTTCACCAGTATGTATGTGTTGCGGTACACTCTGTAAAAAGAATCAACACTTTATTACATTTTATGATCATTTTGAAGACAGCTGAGACTTTGAGCAATAAAATCTAGTTAATTTGGTGACTTGCTGTGACAAAATAGGACATAGCCAGTAGCCACACAAAATTAGGAAATCCCAATCTGACACACCATCAAAGTAATATCATTGTTCAGGTCAGAAGTGTTTTTTTAAGAGCCTTAAGCCAAACAACATTTAATAACCAATTTTGCCGGTAACTCTTGAAATAGCATGCTGAAATAGCCATGGGGCATGGCTGGTTAAGAAGGTAGATCGCAACATTTTTGGACTTCAGGCTTAGTTTCAAATCACATCAATTACCAATGGCTTTTATCTACAAAATAGATCCATATGACCGAGTGTTCTGTTAGCACATTGTGAGGATGGCTTAAAGGGACCCTAGTATTTAATTTAAAGCACTGAACTTCTGTGGAAAACTTTTTCTGCATTGGAAACTCTTTCCACCAAAAAGCCAATCTAATAAAATACAAACGATTTCCTCTAACACTGCCATAGTAATAGTAAAATTTCTTCTACTGAACATAACAGTAAGATACAGATATCTGTGTGGGACAACATGTAAAGCAGTGTAGTACCTGTTGAGACGTATGCAGTGCAGTAACTTCTGCCGCATCAGCTCCCTGTCTTGAGACCAAATTGTCTCTTTGCCTCTACAAGTAATGTACTGCTTGCACTGCTCGATCATCTGGTTGGTGATCTGCCAAAACAAACTATGATTAGAACAGATAGTGGCACACAACATACAACTCTGGATAAAACTGACAAAAGACAATATGATGCGTGCCTTTGAAGAAACATGAAAATATCTATCTACATATATAAAAGGCAAAGCCCTCACTGACTCACTGACTGACTCACTCACTCACTCATCACTAATTCTCTTACTTCCCATTTACCTAGGAGGCTGAAATTTGGTACACTGATTCTTTAGGCATTAAATAGGAAAACTAAGTTGTTTTTATTCTGATCGGACTCTCGGGCTCCGCCCCAGTGGCTCTGGAATTTCCCATGTTAACCTTATGAGTACTCATATTTAAATGGAATTATTGAATCTTAACAGCTGTTTCACTTAAACAAGTTGGTTCTGTTCTATGATGTTCAATAGCATTAAAGTTACAAGGATTAACAACAGGGTGCAGCACTATTATTTTTTTTATAATTTATGACAACAGCTAATTTGCAACCAAAAGGTGAGTGAGCGTAGCGAACGAACTTCAACCTGGAGGCGAGTGAGCGTAGCGAACGAACTTCAACCTGGAGGCGAGTTAGCGTAGCGAACGAGCTAACCTGAAGGCAAGTGAGCGCAGCGAATGAGCTCCAACCTAAAGGTGAGTGAGCGTAGCGAACGAACTTCAACCAGGACGTGATTGAGCCATGCGAACGAGCTCACTTATGAAGTTAAACGGGGCAAAGCCCGCGGGTACAGCTAGTTAATCATAAAATTTAAAAACTCATCCTTACCTACCTTGACCATAAGCGAGGAGGTTCTTTCCGAGGTGTTGTAGAACTGAGAGACACTATGTATGAGACGGACAGTCTGCAGCATGCTGAGAATGGAGTCTTTCATCCTCACCTGGCCACAACAAAGCACAGCTGTTAATACTTATGTAAATTGTACTTCATCAAAACAAACTATCAAAAGTAGAATGATAAAACACAATAAAATATTTGTTTCCGTCTGGTGTGGAGGTTTGTATTTGTGTTCTCAAAACCATTAAGTATGATAATGTCAAAAGTGTTTGTTGACAGAGTACCTACTAAATAACTTCTTGATCAGCATTGTACGTGTTATTAAATTTACGGAAAGTAAATAAAAGAGACGTCTTATAACACTTAAAACATATATTTACGCTTATACTGATACTCACGAGACAGTAAATATACAAAAAAAAGATGGTAAGTGGTGATCGATTTTGATTGGACACTCCAATCATCATCAGACCCAATAGGCGAATGGGTACCTACTAATCACAACATAATTATTATGGAATTTGCTACATAACCATTACCATTGAGGAGTGTTTGCCAAGAGTAAATTATTTGTTTACTCACAGGATCATGCAGGTACAGTGAGTGACAGCATTTCTCCATGGCTTGTATGAACTTGGCATTGTCCCGTGCTTCATTGTAGCAGAATGTTATTTTCATGTCAGTCTCTTTCCACAGCTTTATGATCTTGGACCGAGCAACCACCAGACAAATTATGGTCATCATAACCTGTAAAAGTCAACTTGAACATTTAGTATTTATCAGAAAAAATATCTTCTCCAAACAGAATTACTACTAAAGAATTTGGATAAATGGTTGTCATCATAACCTAAAATATAACTTGACATCAGATAAAGGTCTGAGTAGAATAAAATAGAACACAACAATGTTAATTTATTATTGTCGTTGCTATACATTTTTGTGATTATTCCTGTATAGTTACCAAAAATGTATGCTGCAAACACCAAATCCCCTTAAAATTCCCGTTGCATGAACATAATGTAAAATCTCACAAATAAAGCTCTGGTTATTTGAAAGGCAACCTAATTTAGAGCTTCAATGGAATGCTTTTAAGGAAAAGCTTCCTAAGCTTCATAAAGTCATGTGGCTATACTCTCTTCTGAACATTAAATTACCTCTTACTCAAAGTCTAGGTTGTACAAGGACTACACTGAGACATACAAAAATCAAGCTTATTGATTCATACAAGTTTTTCTTCAGTAGCTGCTCTATAACAAGATCAATGGTACCGATGCTGAGTATGTTAAGAATGACAAAACAAACAAATTCACCTCATGGTGTTGCAGTTGAGCTACTATCTGAGAGAACTGAGCACCTCGCTTCTTCCAATACTCCAGTTCATCCTGAGGTCCGCTGGAGTCATTTTCTTTCCTCAGCTGTTCACTTTCCATCAGAACCTGATCAAACACACTAACTTAAAAATGGAAGATCAAGGACAAACTTATATTTCCTGAGTTGATTTGAGTATATCTTTTAAAAAAGTGCACTTTTTTTAGGGTAAAGTATTTGTAGGTGAGGGCGCTATCTATAAGATACCACAATGACTTCTTGTGGATTAAGTGTAACCACAGAGAAATAAGGTTCCGTACAGGAGAAAAATTCGATAGTACACTAAAGTGGTGTCTAGCACTAGTGCTGGTTTCTAGGGCAGATTCCAACACCGCTCCCTTGCCCTAATGTACTACAACGATCACTGTGGAGGAAGGACCTGTGCCCTGTGCAATAGGAATTTCTGCACAGTGCCCCCCACTCGGGCTCTTACCGAAACAACATGCTACAGCTTGTCGTCCCATAAGCCTGTTTCCTTTGTACCTATACCTCTTACTCCTCTGTGGTCTAACACAAAAGATATATACAACATACCTCTTGGACTTTCTTGATCCAAACCTTGATCCTTTCTTCTAGAGCCTCTACATTTTCTGGATCTCGAATGAGCTCTTTGGCATCAGAATGTCCGATCACATGGCTGACTAAAGCTTGGCCATCGTCAAACAGATTGGGCTCATCACACACTTCCTCACAAACTGTAATGATAAAAGAGAGAGGTTCAAAGTAACAAAATATAATAGTTAAAAGAAAATATATAAATTATATTGATGTATAAATTATAATAAGGTGGTTGGATTCCAAAATGTGTCTATTCTTTAAGCAAAAGTAATGTTTTACTAATAATTACTGTTACAGTTTGATATTTTTGAAACTATATTCAATGCAGAGAAATGTGTCAAGATTTTCCAAATCTTAACGGACACTGACCTTTCAAGGCACTACAGAAAGAGCGTAGTCCAGGGAGAAGCTGGTTTTTTAGTATAAAACAATTCCCTTCTTCTTCCTCCGCATCAGGTGAAGGATGAGCCAACGCCTCCATGAAAACAAACTGCATCACTCGCTGTACCGACGTTACCAGCCCGATTTTGGAAGCATCAACAATTCCACAAAACAAGTCCTAGAATAGAAAGGAAATCAATAGTTTGGCTGCAAAATTATCTGTAGCGCAGAGCTTGAGAGACTCTCAAAATAGCAGTAAGCATTGAGTAACCTAGTCTAAATGGCCTAAAGATTAAACTTATTCCCTTATAACTTATCATCCTTAGGCCTATATGGGTTACCTGAAGACAATTATTTGAGGTTAGTTTTATTTAGTCCACATAGAGGGGGTATTTTGAAATAAGTATCCGGATGGTCTAGTGTACAAAACCGGGAATGAAGTAATAATTTTTACACCACCTCCAATCCTTAAACGTTATGGAGGCTCTAGGTTAGTGGAAAAGCATGGCCTGATTCAGTGACCAGATCCAGAAACATCAAGTGACCAGGCATACAGTATAAGTAGGCTATTAAAAAAAGTTTTGTTAGCCTTTTGTTTGCTTGGATAGAAACATCACTGAACACACATAGCTTACACGTAGCTAGATTTTATTAGCATATTACATGGTAGAGATGTATAAAGCTGAAAAAATGTAATGACCTTGTGAAATCCTTCTTCTGGAAGTTGCTTGGCGCTGTTGAGTCGGAACATGTAAATGCAAATGCCCGTTAGAGGAAGTTGCCACCCATCAGTAAGGAACAGTTTCTTCTTTGGTGGTGCCGAAGTTGCAGATGGTTTCTGTACAATTGCCGCAATGGCCCTGAGTCCAGTAGGCTTAGCCTGAAATAGTAAAAAACTTTGTTACAAGGGTATGATGGTTTAAGGTTTAAGGTAATGTAGGCTAGGAAATATTTACTGATTAATTTTTAAGTTATAGGCCTACAGCTTTAGCCTACTTCTCAGTATTTGGAGGAAGCGGAAGAACTTTGACATCCGACTCAATTGGATTTAAAAAAAGTAGGACTTTTGATTAGATCGATAACCAAAAAAAAAAAAAAAAAAACTGAAACAATCAACACTGATGAAAAAATGGAATGTCAAAATTACAAGGAGGAGGTAAGTTAAATACAATAAAAGTAAAACTCATTACCATGTCCTGTGAATGGGTACCGTAGAATGGGGTGAATAGAAACAAAACTTCAATGAATGATTCACATTTTTATAACTTTGTTATACATTGACTTTACATAAGGGAATTATTTTTCCCCATTATAACCATATCCTATCTACCTGGGAAAAATTATTTCAGCATATTGGTATCACTGCTTCGGATGTTGGATGATGCGAAACCTCATTTGAAAATTTTGGCGAAAAACATTCTTTTCAAAACTTTCTCTCTAATCATGAACCTATTACATGTATTTATGTTAATAACCATTTTTTATATTGTCTTAGGTATCTTAAAATCAAGTGTGTTAATAGATTAGCCTTAGAATAAACTATATTTTTTTACTTTATTTTTATTTTAGGTTATGTCATGATTTTGCAAAACCAGGGTAAATAGAAACACTTTTTTGGAACCAGTGGTGAAAATAAAGGTGGACCTGAAAACCCCCCAAAAAAGAAAAAAAATTACCAGAGATGAAGATGATTCCACATCAGTCACACTTTTCACTGGAAGAAAGTGACAAAGACGAACAATTTGATGAAGAAGAACCAGCATACCTAGCTCAAGACATCAGTGAGTCTTCAAAGTTGTCCCTTCATGATCATGTAATTGTCAAAGTAATGGGGAAAAACAGAACTTGCTATCGTTTATATGTTGCAAAAGTTATTGAATTTGACGAGGAAGGATAAATAGGAAGATTCATCAAGAAAATTGCGCAAACCAACAAGTTCTGAGAGACAGATTAAGAGGCCCTCTTCAAAGTCGATGACGTAGTACGTCGGCTTCCAACTCCCAAGCCGTGTACAACTTGTAGATTTAAGGGAGTGTTGTATTTTGAGGAAGATTTGTCTGATTTTACTCTTTATTTAGTTGGTTTCTATGTAAGATTTTGTAACTCTGATTTCACCCATTGTCATTTATGTTCTCCGATTTGTTTGGATAAGGGTTTATGAAAACGATGTTTTTATACTTCGTACTTATAAATACATGTGTTAATTAACTTTAAATATATTTATTTACAACAACCTAAGCTAACAAGTATAAATTTCATGTTTCTATTGCCCCTGGTAAGTGGGGAAAAGCAACAATCATCAATTTAACACAGTGTTTCTATTCACCCCAAAGTGCAGGGTGAATAGAAACAGCCATATTTTATTTTTTTTCTGCTTGATGATTAAAAAGAAAAAAAATGATAACTGGTTTGAGTAGAGGAGTCCAAGACCGGAAATATGAGCTAGTGTTGAAAATTTAAAAATTAAAAATATTGTTTTTACAGAAGCTTAAAATTCAAAAAGTGTTTCTATTCACCCCATTCTACGGTACACAATAAGTTAGTAACAGGCCTAACTTACAATAGATAAACTTAGTAAGTTAAGATACACAAAGATTTAAACATGTTCACCCTTAACAAACGATTACACAAACAATCCAATAAGTTAAACTTATATGAACATTACTTAAACATAAAATTTGCGAATTTATCTTTATAAACCATAATAAGCTTACAAAAACAAATAATGTTGTCCATTGAAGGATTGTTAATGGATGTATAACTTACCGTATTGGTTACAATAAGTTTCGGAGAAAAAGGTTCGTAAATATAAAATTCCTATGTTAGGCCTATTTATTCTTATAGAGAATAACTTATGTAAGTTCAACTGTTTCTAGACCATGAACCCGCAGCTGCTTTGTTATTATTAATTGTGGCTGCACTTTACTTGCGTCCTTCACTCATTCGAATGAAAATATCGATCGATATATAGATTAGGCCTAATCGATTGCTTCATTCGATATAGGCTATCGTTTGGTTAGTTAGGTAAGGTTAACCTAACCTAACTAACCAAACGATATATCAAATGAAACAATCGAATGAAAATATCGAATCGAAAAAACAATCGAATGAGTGTAGGACGTCAAGTAAAGTGCAGCCTTAATTATTGTATGTCATGCAGTGTTAAATTATTCATCGAAAATAATGGTGTTTGTTTAAATGTTCATGTTTTATTTATGTGTTAAGTTATAGAAAGGTTATAGCCTACCATTTCACCTGTATTATTAGGAAGTTACAACCTATACTGTAGTGTTACATCTTAAAAGTTAACCTGGAAATTTGATCCAAACGAGATACTTTTTACATTACTATGTGTTTACTTCATGCTTACTAGGCCTGTAAACAGTCAAGCCTTGGTAAACAGAAACTAGGACTAACTAACTTAACCTTACAGCAGGATCAGCTGACTTCCCATAGCAAGCAGATAAGCGATACATTTTCACGATGATGGAAATGCATTTGACACTAAAATATTTTAAAACGGTGAGCTATCTTATCACTGACAACTTGTTGTAATTATCATAGCATGTAAATAAAACAAACCAATCAAACATTGCACTCTTCAGCTTTAGCCTAACTCACTGGAAGAAAAAGAAAAAAGAAACAACAAACAAGAACAAGAACCAACAATGATTGAACTATTGAAAAAAAATAGGGAAACAGTGTTGCCACTGTTTTAACTACACTGTTCTCATCCTGTTACATGATTTTACCATTGATTATTTACACTCCTAAATTACGTCTTCATTGTGGATCAGCTTAAGATTTCTTTTATCCAGTATATTTTAGTGACTGTTTTGGTTTAATCTTACTAATATTATAAATCTGAAAGTTTGTGAGTTTGTGTGTATGTTTGTGTGTTGCTCAATCACGCATAAACTACTGGACGGATTGGGCTGAAATTTGGCATGATGATAGCTCACATTCCCGATTAACATTAAAGCATATTCTTATCTCAAAAACCCTTTCGGGCTCCGCCCCAGTGGCTCTGTAGTTCCCCATGTTAATCTTATGATTTTTCATATTTTAAAGTAATTAATGAATCTTAAAAGCAACAGCTGTTACAATTAAACAAGTTGGTTCTGTTCTATGATGTTCAATAACATAAAAGTTACAAGTATTACCAACACGGTGCAGCACTATTATTTTTTTTAATTTATGACAACAGCTACTTTCCAACCAAAAGGTGAGTGAGCGTAGCGAACGAACTTCAACCTGGAGGCGAGTTAGTGTAGCGAACGAGCTAACCTGAAGGCAAGTGAGCGCAGCGAACGAGCTCCAACCTAAAGGTGAGTGAGCGTAGCGAACGAACTTCAACCAGGACGTGAATGAGCCATACGAATACTTATGAAGTTAAACGGGGCGAAGCCCGCGGGTACAGCTAGTATACTATAAATTTGTTTGCCATGTCAACAAAAATATTTTAATCAAATAAACCATTCCAATTACATTATAAACCTTCACTTGAACTCCTTTGGTACATACTTCAACCAAGAGGTGCTAGCTCATCGTAAAATGAACACTCCCATACATCAAATAAATTAAAATATGTTTCAGCTAGGTGAGAAGCACGGCGAGAAGTATGCTTAAAAAGGGTATCCGAAGTCAATGATTTTATCAGGTCGTTCCATTTTTCATCTCCTTCTGGCCGCTCACAGTAGTGTGGTCACGTGACCTACTGACAGCCATTTTTCCTAACCTTAAATGTTCTAGTCACAATTAGAGCACTGAGGAAACTGTTGTCGGTCCGTGATTTCCGTAACGAAATGTACAATAGTATGTTTTATCTATGGTCCAATCGAGATCCATGCAGTGGTCCGAAAGGCAGTGCTCCGAAAGGCACTGGTTCGAAAATCATTTTCGGACTACTGCCTTTCTGAGTACTGCCTTTCGGAGCAGTGACTGACCATGCTAAATCTGTCGGACCAGTGCCTCATCTTTGTATTATTTTCGAACCACTGCCTCTCGGACCACTGTCTTTCGGAGCAGTGCCTGAGCGTGCAGATTGTTTCGAACCAGTGCCTTAGCAATGCATTCTTTTCTGACCACTGCCTTTCGGAGTAACGCCTGGGCTCCAACATTGGTTGAGGGAGGAGCAAGAACCGAAGGCGGAGACCCGTTGTAGGGGAAGGAGGGGTGTGTCAGTGGTGGGCGGAGTCAGAATGCCACGGTCATTGACGAGACCTTCTCTGGAGGAATAACCCAGCACCACCACGCCATCCCGAGCGCTTCCGAACCATAACGAATATAGCCGAGGTCCGAATATAACGCCTTGTGTCGTCTGCCTGGAACACAGAGCAAAGAATCTGGAATCGGGACAGCGGAATTGAAATCGGAACGAAACATCGGAGCGATTTCTTCCAATCCAGAGCCTCCTTTGAACACTGATAGAACTAGATTAATCGTTTAATGATGTTATGTAATTAATTATAAACTATTTGCAGACCAATTATTAAAAGTTAAAGAATCCTATGTAAGCTAAACCAATCCTTTAATCTTCTTCAGTATATATTTATCCTTTTAAAAAATCTCCTGGTAGGCCTAGTGTTTTCTGGAAAAATAAATAGTGAATTTCAATCTACCTATATTTAGGCAACAGTTTTACAGTAATTTTGAAAAAAAAAACGTTATAGTTAAATGCAGAAAGCTATGTGGAAATAAATGATATTTTACATGTTCAGACACAATAATAACAAGTAAGTCGATTTTTCGTAAACATACCCCTTATTTTAATTAGGTACTGTTAGTTTTCCTATCCATATAGTATTATCTAAATTTAATTATGCCAGTTGTATAGCTCATTCCGTCTGATGTTAACATTGCTATTATTTTTTTAGCATCTTCTTAATTGAAATCAATGTGGCCTATCCAAAAACACCAACTTACCTAAGATTAGCAATATCCTATTATTAGAATGCTACGGTAATAACTTATTCTCTTTTGGGAAACTTGCTAAAATTATATCCAAGTGTTGGTATTGATTACTATTTATTAGATCTCGTTCGTTTGTTTTTTAAGATAACAATACATTATAGTTTAATGCTCCTGCTTGAAAAGAAAACTTACAGTTACGTTACCTATAGGAAGGAACTTAGCATTTCATTTATTCCCGTAGGAATTAGATTATACAACACAGTATGAATAATATTGATGATGAATAAGTCTTTTTATTTCGGTTGGTCGCCTACGTTTAATTCCTTTAAAGACTAATAAGCAATAACTGGAAACATAAGATAGCAAATGAGAGACACCATAGCATAATACCTAACCAAATGCCAAAATAAATATTTAAGTTAATTAAGTTTAATTCATTATAGGCTACTTTGAATCCTCAAATGAAACTTAATTGGATGCTAGTTTCAATGAGTAAAGCGATTGCTACTGCTACAAGAAAATGAAGTAAACACATCTAAATACATTTTAAAATGTAGGTAGGCCTATTCAATCAAAATTCAACTCCCTTAACATATGTAAAACATAAATAGTTGTTAGGACAAAAAAAAGTCCTCAAACAATAACAAAATTCGAATGTTAAAGTAAACGCGTAAAGTAAATTAATAAAGTGAATTATAATTAGAAAACTGAGAAGATAGAACAAAATTTGACACTCTCTCTCTTCTAATAGTAAGGGGCTGTCGTCAAGATGCTACCCCGGCAACACGCCACCATCTAGAAAGTCGAAGTGTTGGGTTGACTTGTCTGGCCATTTAAGTGTCATAGCAACAGTATAGTAATTAATTATAATATATAGTACATTGTCGTTCTGTCCGCCAGTAATTTTAATACGGGAATATGTTTGATATCTTCATAAACCCCTTTGTACTGCCGTTGATTATGGACGCTAACTGACAACAAGTGCATGTAATTATTATTTCTTTGTACAGAACAGTTACTAAGTTGTTTTTTTTTTTTTTACTACTACCCTCTGTAGTGTTTCCAACTTAGGTTGGGCGTTTGTGTATTGTTAGTTGTAATGTGTTTTTTTTCACCTGAAGACGGGATCAGATTCCAGATCCCGAAACGTTGTGTATTGTTTTTTACATTCGTGATGGAAAATGTCCGCAATAAACCTTTGAACAACATTAACTCACCATCACCAACAATGAACTTCAAACAAAGAAAATGGATTTTATTTACGTAGTAATGCCACGACCCTCTTGGAAGTGTTGGGTGGACTTGTAGGTAAGCATTTAAGTGCCATACCGACAGTATTGTCATTAATCATAATCTATTGTACATTTTCGTACTGTCCACCAGTATTTTTAATACGGGATACGCGGTAATGGGAACACCATTACCGGAAAGATACGGAATCCATCCATCGGCCTCGGTGGTGTATTGGATAGCATGTCGGGCTGTAAAATCTGCAGGTACCGGGTGAAGTGAAAGGTAAAACTCACACCACAGTTAAACATAGATACTTTATTAGCCAAGATCCCAAAAGTAAGTCTATTTGAACACCAATACCAAGAAGACCAAGGAACTGAAACTGATGCTGGACATAATTACAATAGCAATGAAAATGACAGACCTAAAAGAAGTGTAAAACCACCTCTTAGATACAGTGATTCAGATTTTTACAAATAAACTAAAAAAAAGAGAAAAGAGAAGATGTGCTGTTTGGTATTTTTATAATTGCTATCATATGTTGCATATTTGATGTTTGTTTTAAACTCTCTGCTTGTCTTGCTTTCAAAATTGCTGTACTTAAAGTTAATTTTTCATCCAACTGTAAATTTTGAGAAAGTTTATCATCATTTACCCCAATTACTATCAAATCTCTAATTAGTTCATCTTTTAATTCCCCAAGTTTACATCGCTCTGCCAGTTTGTGTAAACTATTTATAAAAGAATCAACAGGTTCCTCCTCAGACTGACGTCTTTTTAGAAATTTAGCTCTCTCATATACAATATTGATTTTGAAACCTAAGTAAGACTCAAATCTACCCTTGACAGTGTCATAACTCTGTAATTCTTCATCTTTTAATCCGAAAGATGTTAGAAGGTCTTCTCCTTCATCTCCTAGACAGTATAAAAGCATATTAACCTGATTTTCCCCACTCTTACTGTCTAATCCTGAAGCTAATCTAAACCTTTCAAATTTTCTTATCCATCTAGGCCATTCAGAAGGTTCCCTGAAATTGAAAGGTTCAGGTGTGACAACCCAGATAGCACAGACATATTCATAAGATATCTGTTAAACATCTAAATTTGTTAGTCAATATATCGTATGGATATCGTAATATAAACCTTTGATATCGTATAAACCTCTTATTTACATTCAGATTTCCGAAAATCAGATATCTAAGAAATGTTCAGACCAGATGTTCTATAAACATATAAATATCGATATCTTTTGGATGTTTAGAATTAAACGTTTATAAAATATCCATAAATTTGATAGTTTGAAGGAAATAGATATCTATTAAACCTCTTATTTACATTCAATTGACTAATTTTGTCATTTAAGAAATGTTCAGGTCAGATGTTCTATTAACATATAAATATCGATATCTAATGGAAGTTTGAGCCTAAACGTTTTAGGGGGTATTTATATATGTCAAATTGTTTACACAATTTGGAGTTTTACTAAAACAATTATTATTACTTTGTAAGTAATAACTAATAGTACCTTAACACAACTTCTTAGCACTGACAATTAAAGTTTATATTATTTGAGTTGACATTTAAGATTTAAATATATATAATTGTACGTACATTACAATTTGGGTTTAAAGGTAAAAATAAAACGGAAGGTTTAAAATTCTGCACTGCATTAAATAATCTGTATTATTAAAAGTCAATTAAAAAAATGTTTGATAAATTAAAGTAAAACAAGAAAATCGCATTACAATTCAAACAATTTATTAAAACACATTTAAAATATACAATCTTCAACAGTCTACACAAACTCGTCGTTTCTCTCCTCTAGTATCGAAGAATTAAATGATTCTTTAGCTTCGCTATCGGGTCCCTCAGTATCAGGTTCCACTGTTGTGTCGCTATCATCAGGTAACGGTCTGAAATAAAAATAGAGAAGAATTAAGTTAAACTAACAAACAACAACCCATGAATCAACCACTTAACGGAGGCTTATCCCTAAGAGGGAAGGAGAAAAGAGCACTTTCGACCAACTGTATAAGGTTCAAAGAGTGAGCTGGATACATAATTTTACACTCATAATATTCACTAATTTCCACAGCACTTGACAAATATTATATTTTTAAAGCTTTTTTTGATCCTGAGATGTCACAATTAATTATTCCACTTAACCCATTGGCCTACTTCGACTAATCGTTCTTGTCCAGCTGCCTGGATGCTACAGAATACTTCTCCTTCTCGTCACGCGTCAGTGCTTGTTTCGGGTTTTCCAATAGGTAGCAGCACGAACTGGGTCACTTTATGTTAATCTAAATCAAGCTATTATTCCTATCTCCTGGTTGCACAATTATTTCAGGATTAGTTTTGCCAACAGTGTCATTTGGAATCTTGATTGACTATAATGAAGGTATAGTAATCGAAAAAATAGTTATGTTCATAATAAAATTATAAATGCCTCAAATTCAATTTTATAATGTTTTAATTATACCTAAAATTAATTTGTCACAACATAACAAAACTAACCAAACATGCTGATAATGAAAAAATCGAATGAAGGTTTAATAAAAAAAAAATAGTTATGTTCATAAAATAAAACTAAAAATGGCTTACATTTTATTTTATTATTGTTTTATTATAAAATTAAACTGTCATAACTTAACCAAACCAACCAAACTTGCTGATAATGAAAAAGATTTAGACAAAAAGTAAGTGCAACCAGCGGGATACGAACCCAGCACCTTTAGATTACCTGCCCGGCACGCTATCACTAGACCACTGAGGCCGATGTCGTCCCATTGTATCATTTCGGTAATGGTGTTCCCACAGCCAATCAGAAGCCTCCAAATGACACTGTTGGCCAAACTAATCCTGAAATAAAAATACAGCCTCCTGGTTTAACCCATAGATCGCCAGTTACACCAGCCTCATCCGGAGGGTTAACTCAAACCTAGTTTAAACCGAGAAATTATTTTGGGGAAAGTGAATCTAGAGTTTAAACCATGATCAGAGTTAAACTTGATTTGGGGAAAGCGGCCCTTAGCAAAATAAAGTGATCCATTACCAAACCATTATAGTTAGCCTAAGTTATAGTATTTTAAATAAAAGAATAAAGAACAAAAAATATAATTTCCCTTTAAATAAAAAAAAAAAAAAAAACATTTAGTCAACACTCTCAAACCTCACTAATACAAAACCATTGACTACAAATATTGGGTTTTATATAAATTAATTTTGTTATGAAACACACACAAAACAAGCTTCAAAATGTACTTAAAATGTAAAATGTAAAATGTATGAAAAGATTAGGCCTACATGCGTGTGGTTTAAAGTCAATGCCAGAATCATTGATTATGCAATTATGTACACTGTAATCTTAACAACCAAGGTTATGGGATAAAGCTTAGAATATCAATTTACGGCCACACCGAATTCAATCTAAGTCAGTGGTTTATGTGGACTGAAATGGATCTAGCGCAACACATTCTGAAGTAGGCAAATGTCCTTTATTCAGTCGAAAGCGGCTGCTTTCTGAAAATAAAAGCAACTTAAGTGGAATACACTTCCAGGGTTAACCCTCAAGGAGCGCTTCACCAGTAAAACGGAAACGGGAGCGGGCGCATGCGGAGTTTTATCCCGCAACACTAAATAGCATAAATTTTACCCATTTTACTTGTTGTTACAACGAAATATTATATGTAAGTATTGAATAACCTAATCAGAAACCTAACTTCTTTGTTAATAACATTATTTATTTAACTTAATATAAGTAATATTTCAAATTAACATATTGAGCAATTTTCTAGTATAAAGGTATGTTACGAGAGAGGGCGCTTGCAGAGTTTTGTTCCGCAATAATGCAATTATACATATACATGCAAACAAAATATATTTGATAATAATTATAAATGAAATAATACATTAAAACAAGTTTATAATGTTGTATGTATAAAATATACACACAGTTTGACAAGAGTGCATGAGGAAATAAACTCTGCCCTAAGGACTTACGCGATAGCGAGCACGCGGAGTAAACCTCGGCAAACTGACACCGTGTCACTGAATTGCAGCTGACAACAAAATGAGGTGGAATTCGGGGGTAAAAATTGCTTAGGAGCATTCCCAGGATGAGGTGCGTGAAGTGTAGAGCTGGACACGACTGCCGACACCCATAATGTATATTTATATTAATGAACACTACAAGTGCGGAGGAAAACTCCGCAAGTGCCCGCTCGAGGGTTAAGTAAGTTAAGGGATAATAGCTTATAATTATTTGGTAAGAGTGTATGCCAAGCCCAAGTTTATTACGTGTTAGGCCAACCCAATAGTGAAACATTTTATGTCCGGGGGGGGGGGGACCCCCTGGCTGCATCCGCCACTGTAAGTCAATGGGTTAATTTGAGACCTAAGTTAGGTTTACACTAGTATTGAAAAGTTCTACACTTACAAAACTTGTCGTTTCTCTCTTCTTGTATCAAAGAATTAAATGATTCTTCAGCCTTGCTATCGTGTCCTTCACTATGAACAGGTTCCATTGTCCAGTCACTATATCTTCAGGTAACGGTCTGAAATAAAAAAACTCTAATTAAAAATTGTCTTTATTGCTTGTCAACTTGATCAATTTTACTAATTCAGGCCATGATTCAGGCCTATTGACAATGCGAATGACTAGGTACTTTAAATTTCCTCATCTTTGAGGGTATTTTTTTTTAGGTGAACAGTTAATGTGTGAGAATATAGGTTAGTATTAACTTATTAATGAGCTGTGAGGTGTAGTCATTACAAATTACAAAGTAACTTAGTGCTAGCTTTTCTGAGTCATTAACCTACCGGAGCCCAATGACTGTTGGAAATGTTATTTTTTTTAAACAGCTAAGCGAGACTTCTAAACCTTGTATAGGTTGGTGTATTTGTAGATGACTAGGCTAACATAAACGTTGCTGGGAGTGATTTATTTATTTATTTATTGCCAACGGATTACACCAATTTACAATAACAATTACAATATAGATACTCATCATGACTGTGATGATGTTTTTCATTTCATTTCATGATGTTGAAATGAAACCCTTGATTAAAATGCACATGCACATCAAATGCAATAAGTTTAACTTAAGTTAGGCATCGTGAAAACAAAAAGAATATAAGTTATGACTTACAACTTAGTACAAAAAAGGGTACCGGTAACTGAGGCTGAGTACAAATTTTTAAGTTACAAATTATAGGCGGTTTACTATTATAGGCCTAGGTACTTTCCTGTTAAAGGGAACATTTATTATTATCGATGATTATTTCTCGATATTTTTGTTTTACTAAACGATCCGTATTCCTTCTGTAATCTTCAAACACATTTAAATTACAAATTAAGGTCTAAGGTAACTTTGTTTTTGAAAAAATAATCGCCTATATTGGATTAGGAAATGAAACTAGCCTATTCTAAACTAACTTACGATAACCAACCAAACTGGTTATAGGCTACGTTAGCGTTTCAAAATTCTGTTTGATGACAGAAAAGGCATGGGAAATAGGCTATCAAACGGAATTTTAAAACGTTATTAGCAAGTTTGGTTGGTTAGGTTAACTTGTAGTTTATAATAAATTCATTTAAATAGGCCTAACTTATATATTGAAAAAGAAATCATTGATAATAATGAATGTTCCCTTTAACAGTAAAGTACCCAACCTTGTTTTAAATCAAACTAAGTTAGCTAAAAAAAACAGTGTTAAAAGTTAACTCATTTGGTTAAGTTTGGCCTACTTAGTCTTGGCCTACCTATAACTTATTGTAGCCTTAACTAAGAAACTAAATGAAGCATAATCAAGATAGGTTATGATAGGTTACTTCCAGGTGTAATGTAGTAGGCCTATGCGTGGAATAGTTTTCCTCAATCTAACATTAAAGTGAATTTTTCATAAGCAAACTTAGGCCTACATAGGCTACATAAATATATAACATAGCCCTATCAGATGCAGTTTCATAAGTGACCCGCAGAACAATCGAATGGATAGGCCTATATCGATTCATAGATTTCATTTGGTTAGTTAACTTAAGCTAGGTTAACCCAAACTTATACCTAATTCAATGAAATATTCGATAAGTTATATTAAAAATTGTATATTCATTCGATTGTTCTGCGGGACAGTTATGAAACTGCAGCCAACCTAGTACCTTAAGTATCATAATATTTTAATAGGCTAAGTTAAATGCCTCAGTTTACATCATACTAGCAATCAATCCTGAATTACTCTACCTAAAATGTAACGATCCGTATTTTTTTCTGTGTTAAGTCGATATATTCAAACGCATTTAAATTACAAATTAAGAACTAGACCTAACCTTTTTTTGGCAAAAATAAAAAAAGCCTATCGGCTATTGGATTAGGAAATGAAACTAGCCTATTGTAAACTATGGGTACACTTCCATATCTGTTGGCACAAACAACCGAATGAGTAATAAGTTATTGATTATTTGATTGTTTAGATCGATATATTGTTTGGTTAGTTAGGTTAGGTTAACCTTACCACATTAACCAAACAAAATTTGAACAATCGATATACGGTAAGTTATCGATCGATATTTTCATTCGGTTGTTTGTGCCAACAGATATGGAAGTGTACCCCTAGGGTGATTTCTAGCCTAGCCTCCCTAGGTCCAAAACACCTCCAAAAAGATACCAATGATACATTAACACTTTAACTCATCTTAGGCCTATTTTATTAATATTCAAGCTAACTTAGGCTACAAAAGGCCTAGGTAGACTTAATAACAATGAATCATATGTAAATATTATTTTAAACGTTAAATTAGGTGTTCAGTTGTGATTATTTGTTGCCAAATAACTTAAGTTTATCACTTTAACTTAGTTAGGTATTACTTGTTACAAACATGGCTTTGTTTCATATTTATTTAGCCTGACCTATAAACCAATCAAATATATTAACAGATATAATATTAAAACCCAGCTACATTACATTAACTTGAATGTTAAGCTTGATTTGATTTGTATCTGCCAGCCTATAAACTGGACCTTAGCCTGAGTAAGTTAGTTCATGGAATTTAACTTCCTAAAACGATGTTTTAACTACTTTTAATTCTGTAATATTTCAATAACTGACTTACCTCATCAGTATCTTACAGACAATTTTCCACTTCCTATACACAAGAAACGACCCTCAGACCGACTCACTGACTGAGAGTGAGAGAGAACTGATTCTGAAATTGAAATTATAACTTCAGAACTTCACTTCTTACTTCTTACGTAAATTAGGTAAACAATACGAAAACCGAACACCGGCTTCAGTCAGATGTCAGATCAATCAGAAAGAAAATGACGAATGGCGGCATCTTCTCTCCTCTACCCCCACCCAGCAGTCCCAGAACTCACCGGTTCAAAGCGCGATGCATTATGGGATTGGGGTGTATATTAATAGACATCTTATAAATATTCTTAGTCAATATTTTATAAACATTTTAAACTAGATATCCATGGGATGTAAATACATCTCCAAAATTATCTTTAGACAAATATATACCTTTTTAGATGTTGATCAGACATATAATTTCAAATATCTTATAAATGTTTAGATTAATATGTCTTATAAATATTTAAAGAACTCTATAAATATCTTTGGACATAAATAAACCAAAATAGATATCTGTCAGACATTCTGTGCTATCTGGGAAGTTGGTATTGAACTGTACTAATTGTACTACTCACTGCTTCAGCCATGCTTAGTTCTTTCTTCTCCACAAAAGTTTATTTAACCTGACACCATGAAGTGAAAGGTAAAACTCACACCACAGTTAAACATAGATACTTTATTAGCCAAGATCCCAAAAGTAAGTCTTCAAGCTCAAAACAACAATACAATAAAAACAAACATCAAATATGCAACATATGATAGCAATTATAAAAATACCAAACAGCACACCGGGTTCGAATACCGCTGGCAGCACCAACTTTTTTATCAAAAGTAGTTTTCATATCAGCAAGTTTGGTTGGTTTGGTTAAGTTATGACGGTTTAATTTCATAATTAAAAAATTGTAAGATTAATTTTATAATTTTTCTTAATTTTATAATTAACTAATAGTAAAGTAAAAATTACGCGCTGTGTTCTCTACTACAACACTGTTCACGGAGGAATTTTGAACTAAACTATGACGCCATCGTTGCCTCACTTATACTTCCCGTAAGTCAGACCCCTACATTTAACACTTGACTTATGATCCTGCACAGATGTAGCATAGCATTGACTTTGGAATGGATTAAAATGCTTGCCCACTCAATATTGCAAGCAGATAATTGCATTTGCATTTACGATACCCAACCGGGGACAGTTCTCTTAATCATTTCTTTTAATAATTATCTACAGCCGAATCAAAAGCATAAATCTACTAAGGGACATGCAGGTGAAATGTGTGCCGGTGCGGCACCGTAGCGAACGCAATTGGCATTCAAATATTTCAATCTGATGAATAATAAAAGAGCAGCGGTGATTGTACTACGTTACCCCGAGATTGGACGTAGTTCCCTGAAACACCCAAAGGTAGCAGCACTGCCTGGATCAGTAGTAAGTGGCTTGAAGAGAGCCACTTACTACTATGCTACTTTGCCACTTAACCAGAGAGCACAGTGTGCTCTCTGCACTTAACTAATAAGTTGGTTCTATGACATGCAATAGCATTAAAAAGTTATAAGGTTTACCAACAGGGTGCAGCACTATAATCTTTTGGGAGTATCGATCGAGCATCCCCGGGCGGGGACATTACGCATTCCTGCGGATATCCTGGGATATCCCAGGTTGACCATAGGACTACTATGGGATATCTTGCATATCCTGTCACAATATCCGTGGGATGTCCTGAGGAGAAAGTGTGCTGTATGGGTGTGACATCAGTCTCTTTCTTGGGGGAACACCGTTACCGCAACGATATGGAGCTTGGCTATGAGCTTCGGTGGCGTAGTGGGTACCGTACCTGGCTGATAATATTATAGTTGCCGGTTCGAATCACACTATAGTCTATAAACTTTTTATCGAAGATTTAGCTTAGAATCTTAACTGTACATCTTTTGTTGGAATTTAAGGTATTTATAATTTTATTTTATGAACAGAATGATTTTTCTATTAGTAAACCTTCATTAGATTTTTCCTTTATCAGCAAGTTTGGTTAGGTTATAAGACAGTTTAATTTATAATAATTTATAATGATTTTATTTTAGAACAGAACTGTTTTTTTCGATTAGTAAACCTTCTACCGATTTTATGTTGTGGGATTTTTATTCGGAGATTAAACATGTTGTTATGTGTTAACATATTATTTTTGTGATGGTTCTACAGGGCAAACCCTTAGAACTAAAGATACAGACGTCAATAAAAAGATCAAGAAAACAAAATTCAGGAAACTTTCAGAAACATCCAGTTGTGTCACCTTTTTCTGTTTAGATTGTAATAATAAATCATAGGTCGTGTATTCAGCAAAATTAACATAAAATGCATTAGTATGCTACTAATTGTAAATATATTATAAACTTGCAGAGTACCCGTCCTTCGTACGGGGTCGGCATATAAATATAAAATGCTTATTGCATTTATACTCAAGCTTTTCGTTCACGGTTTTTTGTTGCTACTTGGTAAAAATTTGCTGTTTTCATAAAAAAATTAAAATTAATAATAGTGCTGCACCCTGTTGGTAAATCTTATACATTTTAATGCTTTTGCATATCATAGAACCAACTTTTTTAGTTGAAACAGCTGAATAAAATCTGTAATTCCCTTTAAATATGAATACTCATAAGGTTAACATGGGGAACTACAGAGCCAATATGGGGCGGAGCCCGAAAGGATTTTTGAGATAAGAATATGCCTATATGTTAATCGGGAATGTGAGCTATTATCATGCCATATTTCAGCCCAATCAATCCAGTGGTTAATGCTTGATTGAACTTCAAACAAACAAACAAACAAATAAACAAACAAACACACAAACTTTCACATTTTTATAATATTAGTAAGATTTTTTACAACAATATAAATTTAAGAGATATATAATCACTTACTATAGCAAATTTATGATTGGATATTTATGCATGGGCATTTCATGATATTTATTTGGCAACATATCTTAAGTTCTATAGAGGTTGCATAACAAATTTGCATTACTCTGCAAATTAATTTGCATTAGAATAATTCCTTCACTAAAAACATTTGCGATTGAAAATATATCCTGGGGAGTATCCCCGATGTCAACTGCCCCTGGTCCTGGTCCTGGTGGTAGCGTAGAATGATTGAGTGAAGTGAGAATGAGAAGTGACTAACCGACACTGTCGTCGCCGCGCCAAAAAGTAGGGGCATGTCAAGAGGTAGGGGGGGGACGGGAGGCTGCTCCCACTCCACACCTGTATAGCTACGCCCATTCGCTGCGAGGGGGAACCACGTTTCGAAGCAGTGCCTGACCACGCACATTCTTTCGGACCAGTGCCTGACCCTTGCATTCTTTTCTGACTAGTGACTTTCGGTGTTATAACTTTCGGAGCAGTGCCTGGATGCACATATTGTTTCGGACCAGTGCCTGGATGCACAAAATGTTTCTGACTAGTGACTTTCGGAGTTGTGACTTTCGAACCAGTGCCTTTCGAACTTATGCCGTTCGAAGCAGTGCCTGACCATGTAATTTCTTTCGGACCAGTGCCTTTCGGAGCACTGACTTTCGGACCACTGCCGCGCTCCCGTCCAATCTAGGCCTATTATTAAGTTTTAACCTATAACTTATAGACGCTGGACACATTCATTAAACTTACTATCAGACATGAAACTTGAAATTGTGTTTGCTGGTACTCGAAAAAATATTGCGAGTGATTGATAGGAATCACCATTGGCTAAAAATCGGACTATGGGAACGGGGGTTTTTATGGGGGGTGTTTTATGGGGTAAAAAATAGGGGTTTCTCATTTTTTACCCTAAAAACAAAAATTTCACAATTTCTTTCCAAACCATTTTGTATAGCTTAAAAAAACAAATAATTAAGCATATTGAAGCGTTATTGTGTGCCTATAATGGTTACGGAGAAAATTTAAAAAAAATGTAAATTTAAAATTCCCACGTTATTTTTATGGAGAATAATTCAACTGTTGTAGTTTGCTTGTTTATGAACATTTTTTGATTGAATTTGGAAAATACATTCATTTCTCACTAAACTATTAACATTTTACAACAAATCACTTTTTTACCCTCCCTGTTGCAGCAAACCTAAGTACTCGTTAAACTAATTCGCACTAATAAGGTTTAAATTACCTGGCTACTGTCTCCGATCCTCGGTATAGTTTTAAGAAACTACAGCTGTTTCATGCCTTACATTGGCACATCATCAGGTTTGGTGAACGCCAGCTTTTCTATAAAATATCCCTCGGAGATGAGATCGTTATGGATTTACGAAAAACATGTAGACATTTACACACACGAAAACACGCACGAAACATTTAAACACTAATAATTGAGAAACTACTGCGAAACAGTGGTAATAATTTAATGTAATAATTTTTAACGATCCAGTGGCCAACCATCATGAAATTAAACTAATTCTTTAAATAGGGAATAAATGTGATATTTTTAAGGAGGCATTTTAGTGTAAATCAAATCAGGATAATAAAAAATTTGCTTAGTCTGCAGTTTTGCAGTGGCGGGGGTATTTACTATATCTTCCAATTCTTCACTCAAAACATTAATTACTTCATCGACAACTTCTTCAACAACTTCATCCACTGCATTTTCGTATTCCAAGTCAAATTCATCCATTTTTATACTGAACAAAAACACTGTGGTGTCACACTGGCCGCCACTAAAACAGTTTCTGTGGCAGCCAGTACTGTCCCCGTGTGTAGGGCTACTGTCTTGACAGTACAGTGGCCGCCACTTGTGGACGCCAGTACTGGACGCCACTACTGTCCCCGTCTGCAGGGGGCTTTAGTAAGTTAAAATACACACGGGACACTGAAAATTGGCGATGCATAGAAATATTTAAAATAAAGGAATTTCACATCAATTGAAATACATGATACCAGATAGCCTACTTTTAAGTATTGTAATCGGCGTAGGTGATGTTTGAAATTCTCTGTGTAGCCCGATTGTATATTGTATATATGTATATTGTCAAGAAAATGAAGTATTTATTTATTGTTCTAAAAACTAATACTAATAAAATAACATGAGAATCAAACAGTGTAATCTTTAATCATACAATAAGTTACTCTACTATTTTTTTATAGGAGGTAACGAATTGTGGATATTTATATACACATGCAGTGTGGATACGATACTCCCTGGTGTGGATGTAATATCCTCACTAGTGAAACTACGACGATCCGCAGTACTATCCTGATAATTAGACCAAATCGTTAATTACAAGGGAAAATGTCCCATACAGCACACTTTCTCCTCAGGACATCCCACGGATATTGCGACAGGATATGCAAGATATTCCATAGTAGTCCTATGGTCACTACGCACTATGGTGCGTAATGTCCCCGCCTGGGGATGTCCCACGGATAAGCTCACAGCATATCCTGAGGTCATCCCAGGGTAGTCCTCAGGACATTCTCCAGGACATATGGGATTTTTATATTGGGAGATTTAGTATGAAAAGCTTAATTATCAGTTACGTAAATTGATTAAATAGTTAGTAAAACAAATATTGAAAAAAACGAGAAAAATTGTTTTGCCTCGGGCGGGTCTCAGACTTGGTACCTTCGCCTTATGAGCCTCATACCTTGCCTCTGAGCTATATCTGTGCTTGATGACTATGAGAGTTTTCAAGTGGTCAAAGAGTAGTCGACAGTTGCAATGGTCGCAATATTTAAAAAATTTTTGATACTACAGTATATAATATGATTCTGTTAATCTCTTTAGGCCTCAATTATTTGACTTTTTTTCTGGTAGTTGGAGAGGATACTGGTATTTGAATATAGATAATTTAATTGCCATTATATTAATACTGTTATAATTGATTGTTATATGATTAAAATTAGTTTTAGATTATTTTATTAATTTAAAGTTAGAATTAAATACACGTTTCACACAACTATGATAGAACCCTAGTTTTCCTGAGCTCAGTGGTAGTATTTTCCTCAGTTTGTTACCGGGACATTATACAGGATATCCAGTGGATTTTGTACAAGTCCCGGGATGTCATGAAACATTCTGGGATATCCTATGGCATTCGTACATATCCCGGGACTTTACAGGATATCCTGAGGTTAACTTACAAATCCCGGGACACGGTTTATTGTAGTATATCCTGTGGATTTCGTACTCGTCCCGGGATTTTACGGGATATCCTGAGGCTAGCGTACATATCCCGAGACATTCTCAGGACGTATGGGACTACTATGGGATGTCCCTAGGATAAAGTGTGCTGTCTGAGGTGGTTTGGATTCCACTATAAACTGTAGGTTCCTTAGTTGCCTTTGACTGTATGGTCTATTAATTAACAGCTTGGTCGAAGGACAAATTTTTGTATTAGTCACTAACAAGACTAAAAGATCGTGCCACCCATCCTATTCACTCTGCAGCAAAAACAGTCGTTTTTAATGCATGTGTTGAGGGTCTAAAGTAGCATTTTTACTCTCTAGGATGAAAAAATCATTTTTAGTCTCTAGGGAGTAAAAATCGGCTGTTTTAAACTGTTGTCAATTTCGATTGTGACAATCGTATCGATCGAAATTATTTATTGGTTGATTTATTAGGTAAGGTTTTAGCACGTAGTATAACACAATCATAATAGACGAAACGAACGAATCACTTATTATAAACAGTTGCTTGTTTCCATTAGCAAATTAAATTGAAAACAAGTTAGAAGTAGTTTTGAGAGGTTACTCTAAATTAAGCTTTGTAACATAGTTTGTTCAAATAAAGGTGCAATATGAAGAAAAATATAGTTCACCACACGGGCAAAAAGTGACTTTTTACCCTCGCTCATTTTCCGACCTCGGCTTCGCCTCGATCGTAAAATTTAACCTCGGGTCAAAAAGAGTCTCTTTAGGCCCTAATGATGAAATATACTGTTTCTCCTGTTAGAGATAGGTAATAAAGAGAGAATACTCTTTCCCCTGTGGTTGAGGGTAAACTTTACAGCGTACGCGTAAAATCCTTTAGAGAATAAGCACCTATGTACAGTTTGTTGAGTGTGTTTTGGTCAAATGTTCGTAGTAAGATATCAATAAATCCTAAATCGCACCTTTACTAAAAAAGAAACAAAGAAAAACATCACACCTACCTACTACTTCACTGCGTTTACCAACAAAATAGACCACTACCTACTGTAATGAGCGAAAACAAATAAGAGATTAGTGAAAATCTAGTTAGACAACAAACCAACGTTACTATGTGTCTCGGCAATATTCATAATAGGCATATCAAATAATTGTATAATTTATCAACAATTTGACCATGATTTGTATTGCAAAATTACAATCAAATACAAAATGTCCCTTGATTATGAGCAGTCTTCTGCGAAAATAATCTTCAAAGTAAAAGCGATAACCGCATCCTTCAACAATAAGCTGGGGTAATCGGTAGTGAAGCACAAGGTCTAGGGGTGATGTCAACCAGAATAATTGTGAGCAGTATTCGTGAAGCATCAAATTGGATTTAAATTCTGTATACGGCGTTTCAACTTGGTAATATACTAAGTAAGATCCTGGAGCCATCGGAAGGACGTACAGGAGTGAGTTTTTTGAACGAAGAATAATTTGAAAATCTACGCACACTTTTAAGCTGTTTAACTTGATGTTCCAGAAGTGAAATTTGCTGATTTTGGTATTTGCAGCGCCTCTCCCATGCCAAATGTTCTATTTTAGTTTCTTCTAATTTGGTTTGTAGAAGTAAATAGCTTTCTACATCCTGTGTTTTATACGACTTGTTGAGATTATTAAAATCCTTATTGATGCGCTCAGCTGCTCTCAATAAACTCTGATTTTGATTTTCTTGCTCTTTGATATATTTACTCTTAGTGCCTTTCTGGTTAATGTCGTACTTTAAATTCACTAATGAAAGAACTGTATCGTTCATCCTTGATTTAACAGACACCAATGTCTGACCCTTTCTTCCAGCAGTTCTTTTTAATTCTTCAAGCTTTTTGCTTTTTCCATCCAAAACATCGAGTTGTTCTTGATTCTCTATGAGTAACTTTTCTATATCAATCGGATGAAGCCATTCTCTCAATTCCATTCGTTGATGTTGCCGTGCCAACACACGTCTGTAATTTGTATACAACGATTTCGAATTGAGTTTAGTTTTCCTCAAATAACGATCACCATCTTGAAGCTCTTGTTCCAAAAACCTCAAGAACTTATCGTGATAAACTTGACCACTTTTTGTTTCAGTACTTTGGACAACAAAACCTTCCAGCGCTCTTTTGCCTTCATCCAAAAACTCTATGTCAACTCTCAGATTTTCTTCCTCTGTTTGCAAAAGAAACTTTGCAGATTCAAACTTCCTCTGGAGCTTCTCCATCGTCATTCTGTTGTCTTCCAGTTCCTTCTCTACGAGGTCTGCCTTGACCGCGGCGCTTATCTTGAAGCCTCCCAATGAGGACTTGGCATTGCTGCGAGAAGCCAATCCCCGCAAGGTACTAGAGGTTGTAGATGTCCTTACTAGCGTATTAACTGGAGACTGAAGACTCTTTGCTGAAGAAACCGAAACCGACCTATCCGTCCTCACCGAACCTCTGACACTCAACTGGGACTCTAGGAATCTTTCCATTCCACTCAACAAAGCTGGACTTCTTTTCCTCAAGTACCTCTCAAATACTTCAACTAACTGTGAAAGAATGAAATTGTCACGTGTCAAAATCTCTGCGTCGTAAGAGATTTCGTCAACATCTTTATATTCCTCGAGATTTTTCATACGCGAAGAAGATGTTGCGCTTGAGCCTACGTCCATCTTATCGTTGCAACAGACAATTAATAATTTTAAAGTACGTATTTGGCCCTTAGCATTAGAATGTTGGGAACTTATTCGAAATATTCAATTTGAGATACAAAAATAAACAAACAACACTTTTGAAAAATGCTGGATTTAACAGATGTTTTTATGTTTATAAGAAGAAATGTCTCTGTTACTTACAGAGAGAAATATTCGGAATGTTTGAAGACCTTGTATTTAGTTAAACCAAAGATTACAATATGTAATCTTTGGTTAAACTAATATATTGAACTAGTGCACCTGTTGCTCGAATTCAAGCAATTGCAAAATATTAAAGGCGTTTTTTTTACGAATAACAGTCCCAATTAAAAAAAAATACTTAATTTTGACACCTCATTTGTAAAATTCCGTCAATTATTAACGGAGGAGTAGTGTTTCGTAGAAATCACCTTCACGTACTATATATAAGGATACTCGTCGTTTAATGGTTACAGTACAATGCATGCATTATTGAGCCAAATGAACAACAATGTATCCTTCATCTTTACACCTTAACTTACTCCTATACTTTCTCAACTTTACTCCTTCTAGTTGATATACTCGTATAATCTTATCTAAACTTTGTCTAATAAAAATATCGACTGCTTCGTTATAGAAAATGGAAAGTGCATGACAGTACAGTATAACAGTGGCACATATCGCTATATGGTTATTAGGCTATCACCACTAGAAAATGCTTAAGAAATAAGTGTAATTTGCCTACGACGTACAAGTTTTCTGAGTAAAGTTGTGTACAGCTTGCTACTATGAAATACACTTACAGCTCAAACAGATTGAGTGGATGTAACGAGTGGTAGCAAATATCTCGATATTCGACGGTTAAGAATATCAAGTATTTTATCGATAATAGGTACTGTAATCGTTTGTTGGTATGACTGATTTAATTTTTTTTGCATTGTAGCAATCTCCAGCCCATATTGATATCTGTTCACGAATATAACAAAAATTTGAAGAAAAATAATATAAAATTAAAAAATAACTCACTGCTTCCGGGGGAGGTGGAGGTTCAGGCTCTTCAACCTCTTGGTAGAACCACAACAGTTTGTTGCGCATGTGAGGGAGGAACAGCTGATTAATCTCATCCAGCTGAAAAAAACAAACATACAGTATTTTAAAATGTCAATTCATTAAAAAAATCACTACAATACCGTAGTGCTTAAAGTGACTCTTTTCGAACCGAGCTCAAGTTTCACAATTATTAACACATTAGCTACCAAGTATACTCATCCCTCAGTTACAGAGAAGTGTGATGGTCGGTAGGGAACGTGTTAAACCATTAATCAACAAATTAAGTCAGAAAACGAAAATACTTTCATGTAAAGATAACCTCTCACAAGGACTTCCACTTCCAGCTTGTTTTGAATTCTGCTAATGTAAATAAACAGCTGTTTAGTAAGTGATTCAATAATTTAGTTTATTATGATTGTGTTACTTTACTGTACGTACATTATACCATCAATATGTTCAACTATTGACAATAATTCAAAAACAAGCTCAAACCTAACTTAATAAACCAATCGATAATTTATTTCGATCCATGCGATTGCTTACAATGGAAAATTGCATACTGTATATTTACAATAGCTGATTTTCACTCCCTATGTACTATAAAGGCTTTTTACTGTCCTGAAAATAAGTGTTTACCGGACGAGTATGGGTCGTTCCCGTGCGAGACGAAGTCGAGTACGGGATTACCATACGAGTCCGGTTCACACATTTTGGACGTGTTACGTACGATAGTTTACGCCATTCTACTAAATCTGTACAAATCCTTATTTATTTCCACCAAATAAAAGACTAAAAATCACTAGTCATATAGAGGTTATGTTTTTGTTTATAACCACTCATTGCCACCCAAATACAACATAATCAGCTGATTGGTGTCCGGTAAAATTCATTATAGTACAGTAACAGTAGTACGCAATGAAACCCGATTTGAATAAGCTGGCGGCAAACAGCTGTTTTCTGGACTAAATCCTTGCGTGGGAAGTTCGTCAAAATAATGTAGTGTGGCGTAAATATCTTAACGTATCTCATAAAAATTAACCCTGGAATTTAAATTACATAACAAAGTGGAAGGCCGCGAGGTGGTGGGGAGTAAACCTTTTCAATTTTGGTGGAGAAGAATCCAGTAGGCATATAGGTGGAGATGGATGCGAACTAATTTGGCAACGAGAAACTTTAACACCAGTGAGTTAGTGGAACAGTTTGACTGGGCCAATCACGTTCTTTCAATTTGATAACAGTCTAGTTTCAACTACCTTAAAATGGGTTTACAGATTTGTTTTTCAAATTTAAAGACTTATGCACTTGCTATGGTCGATTAACTTCAAAGAACTAGTGGACCTGGAGAATTCTTCTAACACTGATATAGCGTGGAAGTCGAGTGCAAGGACGCTGAGTGTAGTTTGACCTTGATGTAAAACTGTACCACTGAATAGTTGATGGAACAAGTCACGTCAAACTGTTCCACCCAAGAACTGCAAGAACACATGACGGACTTTCCTTGGAGGCTTTGCCGATGAAAATTAAGGCTATACTATACAAAATAGTATCTAACAGTACCTACCATGTTGCCGTCGAACACGTGGTCCATGATGTCGGACCTCGGCAGAGCTGTACCGTCGATGAGCAGCTGGAAGGTGAACTCCAGCCGGGGGTCCATCTCCCCGCGACGAGCCTTCCGCTCGCATTCTTCTCGCCTCCTCTGGAACAATTACACGACTATAAGTAGATCGAATAACATGTGATTGCATATGATTTGTTGAAGTATACATCAGCTGATTGTTTGCAACAAGTTGGCGATTTATTTATGCTTCTCTGAAACTATACAAGAGTATGCCTATTGCTGAGGGAAATGCACTCCTGTCTACGCTTATCTATCTATATATATATATATATATATAATAGGCTAAGCCGTTTTTTGTTAATCGAACTCCTCCGTTATTATTTGCCCAATTTTGACGTTAGAGGTCTCAAAATAAAGGTTAAAACGTGTAGTTGTGCCCAACGGTATTAGATTTTTGATAAAGTCGTTGGTAAGGGCGTCAGAGGCCCTTAAAGTCAGTTTTTTCTCCATAAGGATAACATGGGAGATATTTTTAATACTTAACTAAACTTGTGTAAACATACTCAGGATTGTATCTTTACCTCAGCATAACGGTAATGCCAATGATAAAATAACAATCAGTTGTACCTGATTGATCTTTTGGTCAGTCAATTGAATTCAATTATAAGCCTTTGACCGATGGCGATAGTGACCCATTTACACTTGGGGCAATTAAGGCGTACTAGCAAAATATGGAACACACTTTCTCCCATTGGCTTCTCAACAACCCTTATCAAGGGCTAAGCAGTGGGAGCAAATATATTTCACGGGTAAATCGTCAAGGCTGCTGATAAATTACTTGTGGACTGAATTTATTCAGCAATGGGGGTTGTACCTTTTTAAGAGTTAAACGGACTATAACATTTTAATCAAAATTGGTCGAGCCGTTTTTGTGGAAGTCCGATTTTCCGTTATTTTATAGGGAAATCACATAATCTGCAAAACGTTTTAAACAGTATTTTTATAGAAAATGGGATTACACCGTTTTGTTTAGAGTCATAAGTCATAAGTCATTTATTCAGCCAAATCAACCAAATACAAAATACAATTTGGTGTTAGCTATGTCAAAAGAGGTAAATGGGAGAACATTTTGAATGTTGATATACTCATTTGAGCAGTTTTGTTATATATGATCTTACCGCTATGTTCTGAGGTTATATAGAAAAATCACCATTAAAAATCTAAAGTTCAAAGAAATAAAAATACCTGGATATACCATGGATGAGTACCCACATACCGAACTTAATCAAAATCGGACCACAGGTGTGGTCTATAGCTCTGCACACTAAACTTGAATAATGAGTATACCAAATATCAGCCTTCTAGCTAGTCTGGAAGTTGGAGGATTAGCGATGAATCAATGAACCAGTGAGGGAGTGAGTTAAGGCTTTAACTTTTATATGTTTCGATTTATGAGGCAATTTCGGTAAACCAGGAAATGGTCATAGAAAGTTATTGATTCGAAATGACAACTCCAAAATATGTATGAATGGATATGAGTGTAGGAGTGGTGCGATCTTGTAGTCTTATTACTGACTTTTGCGCGTTCTTCCATCACAAGTATTTATTTTTGTCTCGTAATTTACAAATTGGACTATCAAGATAGTACTGCGGATAGGCGTACTCACTTTAGAACAGAACTTTTTAGGCAAAGGTTTAAGGGTTTCTTTAAAGACGGGTTGATAATTAGGCAGCTTATTATATTTGAGCACGGCAGGGTAGGCTGGTACCATATCATGGCTAATGCTGTTGTCAATATAAGCACACGGCAACGGCATGCAGTGCAGGTCGAGACAGGTCTCAACCTGCCTCGCGTGTCGTACGTCATACATCTGTCTCAACAATATTGACACTTGGCCAGAATATCCTGCCATTTTGAAATGTATTTTGTTGAACTTTTGACTTTGAATACACTACTGTCCTACTGTGCACTAGACAACCCATTTCCGGGTTTCAGCTGTACTGGTTTTAGATTATATCCGTAGTTTCCAATGTCATGATTGGTATCTGGGTCGTCGGATCGTTTAGAACTATCAAATTATAATTAAAGTACATGTTACATATTTTTCGTAGGTATCTAGTGACATAATGTGGAAGAATCACAACGGCTTACGAAGGAGTGCAGCCCAAACATCTCAAATTGTTGATGAACAGTCGAGAATTGAACTCGTTCCTTACGGGTTTTTTCTCATGTGGGGTAAATGGAGCACATATTTAGGTCAAAATGTCAGCTATTCAAAAGTTCTTCTAATGGATTCGTCAAAAGTTTCAACTTGAAAAATTCATATAGGATAACCGACATTGTCCTATTTAGATTGAGTCCCCAAAAGAATGGATTTTTACTGAGAGAAATATACAGCAAGATAAGCGCAAAGATGGTGCTGCGATGGATGAAACATATCATTACAGATTTATCATCTATCTAAATCGTCTGAGAAAAACTTTTATGTATCCTCCTGTCCGGTGTATGTAGGGTACATGTTGTTATTTTTCATCGTTCCAAATAAAACTATTTACATTGCATGTCCTCTCTTATTCTGACGACCGAAGAGCGTGCTCTGTAAAAATTTCCGTTAACAACAAACATACACTCTATGATACACATCACTGTAATACACGTAAAATAATGTTTTTCGATTTTATAATAGGATGAGTCAATATTGCAGCTGCCAAAACTATTTTCTGTCTTTTTATCATGTCCAGCTTAGATGAGAACTGATCGTACTGTATCACACTTTCTAGAACAATACCTAAATAATAATTTGACGCTAAAAACATAACGATCCTGTAAATCCCAGCACACTTTCTGTGACTTGTGCAAAGAGTTGAGTTAATGTTTTTATTTTATTTTATTTTTTTAGATTTTAAAAATACATCTACTTCAAATTCAACGCAAAGGTATAAAGAATGATCTTTTCCAACGGGTTGGTAATAAGCACACCTAATGGACTCCCATTGTTGACATACCCACAACAATACCCACTGTCAATCAATTGAACTTTGTCTATAGGGTAGGCTATATAAATCATGTTTGCAATCTACAAAGTACCCATATTTTACAATGTTTTACTTTACACGACATATCAGCAATGGAGATCACCTACCGTGTTAGCTCACTATGTAAAATTAGTATAAGAAAGATAGCAAACAAAAAATTTGTAATTCTTATTCACAATGAAAATTTTGTAAAATCGAAAATTAAAATTTATTTTGACATAAAATTAATGTTCATTCCACAATAAATTACAGTCCACTTCACGAAAACAATTTAATTGTACACATTGTAACGCATTTTAAAACTCCTGAGAAAAATAAAATTACAGTGCCATTAAATGCAATTGGACGATTTTTATTAAAATACGGATCTATATACATAGTTCAACGGGGTATTTAATGGCTGGTTTTAAATAAAACTCGTTATTATATTACTTCATTCGTGTTATCCATGTTATTCGTAATTATTATTTCCTTAAATTAATACGTAATTATTATATTCGTATAATTATTACGCTCAAGAATAAAGTTGATTTTTGTTTATACTTTATTACATCTACTTCTAGCAGTTTATACACTTCTTCAGCAGTCAATAGTGAGTCCAAAGGGTCTATTTGTTAGACAACTTCATAGTTAACAGTGAGGTGGGTCAGTAAAGGTGGCAAGGTATGCAATTTCGCTACTGTACTCATATTGCATTTCCCGAATGAAGGGGAAAGTGAATTGCTTACGGAAGATCTATGGCAACACTGCGTTCTACTTCGTGATGTACTTTCCCAAAAGCATCCAAGAAAAGGTTTTATCCAAAAAATATAGCGATTTTTTATATTTAATTTTGCATTCTATGAAAATTCAGTATCAAAGTACTCATTATGGGATTCTTCAACCATCCAGAATAAGTCATGTTCTATGGTAAAATTACGGTCGTGTCTTGCTTTCATACTTACATGTTTTTTCAACAACTTATGCATTTTGACAATATATTGAACTTATTAACAAGCGTATTTTGCTTATGTAATAAAAATACGAATTTGTTTGTGACTGAATGCTGTATTTTCTAAATATTTCAACAGATTAAAATTCTTTGTACATAATCACTAAATATAAATCAAATTGAAAGTCTTTACAGTATTTGCAACCAGATTGAAAAGGTAGAATCTGTTTATCCAGTTTTGCACTTTTTCCTAGAATTATTGTTTTTTGTTCATTTGAGTAGAGGCCAAAACGTGGATTAGCAGTTAAATATTGTGCCCTCTTTTCATAGTTACGGGATCTCGAATACTGGAAGTTGCTGCACGATAAAGTTACGCCACTTACAAAAAGTCATTATACTTCTTACATAATAGTAAGAGTGAGTAAATGATTGCGTAGAAACATTCATTATACGTAGTGTATACATAATGGTAAGAGTGAGTTAATGATTGCGTAGAAACATTCATTATACGTAGTGTATACATAATAGTAAGAGTGAGTTAATGATTGCTTAGAAACATTCATTATACGTAGTGTATACATAATGGTAAGAGTGAGTTAATGATTGCTTAGAAACATTCATTATACGTAGTGTATACATAATGGTAAGAGTGAGTTAATGATTTCGTAGAAACATTCATTATACCTAGTGTATACATAATGGTAAGAGTGAGTTAATGATTGCGTAGAAACATTCATTATACGTAGTATATACATAATGGTAAAAGTGAGTTAATGATTTGTGTTTGTTGCTTGTTTTATGACTAGCATTTCTTTGTTAGATGGCGGGTTCGATTCCTAGAACATAAACAAAAATCTGGAGACATTTTGTCTGATTCCACCTTAAAATGTGCATGATTATTCAGGCTAAATTCCATTGGACATAGAAAGTTTACCAGCAATCACATTTTATTGGTTTACTTATACTCGCAGCCAAGTGTAGTTCAAAGACTCTATACTTATGTTATTGTTGTTGTTGTTGTTGTTGTTGTTGTTGTTTTTGTTATTGTTGTATTTGTGTTTACCTGCAACAAATCTCCAACCTCTTCCTCCCCCTCATCGCTGGAGTCGTCGTTCTTCTTCACCCCGTGGAGAAACATGATTGAATTTGACTACTGAACCCACTCAATGTAAATATTTAACACTGTTCCGTCCAATACAGGTCATTAAAACTAAAAGTTCGTCTTTGTCACAGTCCTTTTGACGAAGTTAAGAGCAAATAAATAACAACCATTGGCCTAGATCTTTTTAAAAGGGCGTTCCACAGCCAATAATTGGCGTTTCTTACCACATTAAGTAGATAATCAACTTAAATATTACATGAAAAGCTTGAATTTCAATGTCTGGGAAACGCCCATCTAATTACACTTTACCATTGATTCGCCTTAAAAATATTAAAATTTCATTATTTTAATCCGTAAACCGTAAGCAAAAGCATTATGTCACAAAAACATAAAAACGTTCTTCTTGAGCCAAATGGTTTTTATGGAGATGGCGAACTGTGTTCTTACTACAAATATTTTTTTATATAAAAAATATGACCATATTATTGGCCATTTTACTATATTAAGGCAGGAAAGCCGTTAGTTTTAAATAAACTTCTTCAAAAACAAATTTCGTTCATCTAATAAATTAAAATATCTTTTTTGAACGGACAAGCAAAAAAAAAAAAAAGAATTAATAATTTTCCATAAAAAAAACTACAGCTCGTTCTTATTGTGTGAAGAAAAATATTCCCATGATAAATATTTTAAATGAAATCAATTGATTGTGACAAAATAAATTGAAAATAAAAAAGAATAACAGACACGTGTTGGTATATAGGGTGTCCGACAACGAGACGGTCGCGAAGGTGGTGAAACGTGTACTGATCTAACACCCCCAACCTGCTCATATATCCTCCCCCTCACCCCATCTCTCTCTCACTCCATCTCTCTTGGATAGTCACGATCTCAGATAAGATACTTCAATATTTTTTCTTTTTAAAGAGTCTTTAAAACTATTCACCGATTCGTGTCATGCGGTTCCTTCCTCCGTTCGCCGATGACAAAAATATATGTTTATAGGTGTGGATTGCCAAGTATATTGTGTGTATTTTTATAGCTTGATGGTTGAAAAGGTTTTAACGTAAATGAAAATATGATATTTGTGTTGATATGATCTGACGTATTATGTTGATATATTGTGAAGTATATTGATGACGTATACTTGTTTCATCAGAGAACAAGATTTTCTTTGAAAACCTGTATCAACATACCGCTATTTGAATACCCACTCTGATGATATTATTGGCCATCCATGATCTCTGGGTTTAATTTGTCAGGTTAACTGACTTTTGTAGAAGCGTAGGCTAATCCTTATGCGTACGAAAGGCCTAGTCTGCAAATAACGAAAATTATCATTCTTCGTTCACACTCTTGCCTGGTATTCCACTATGATAAACTGGGTTTAATCTATCTCTATCTCTAATGAATCAATTTTCCTTAAATTTCCGTACTAGGTGGTGTTCACAGAGTCGTTCACACAATTGATAGTAGTTATCACGGTATCATTTTACTTCGTCATCGACCCTCACCATCAAGCTTCATTATTCTTTTCACCAACAATTTTGAATTGAGAAAATATTAGTGTATAGATCATAATTCTTGGATCTATTAAAATATTTAGGTATATATTGTCCCCGGTGAATTGAAGTAAAAAACACAACGGTATCAAGTATTTTCAGAGACCGGCATTAATATTTCAAGATAACCTCCGGGGCAACTTGCAACAACTTTTTCTCCAACAAAGTGATCACTAATAAAAGGCTAAGTTTACTACAAAATAATCAAACAAGTTTTTCCCATGTCCTAAACTTTGGGAAGTGCAAACACACAATATCAACTATCATTTAAGGAAACATATATTGTTTACATACTAACACGTGGTTCCGTTCGATTGAAATGTTTCGTGATTAGTATTAAAAAATAATTTTTATTCATCAATTCATCACTAATATTAGCTGCTATAAAAAAAAACTCAATTAGCCTTTTCCCAAGTAAGTCTTGGGCAGGGTTGTTAAATCTCTTATATTAATACGTGAGGGCTGATTTTTGTGAACAAAACTCCTCCGTTATTTCTGGACTTATTTTAACGTTTGAGGTGTCAAATAATTCGTCTCAATTCGTAGCTTTGCATAAAGGTTTTAGAATTTAAAATCTCTTACTCTTAAGGGCACGAGACGCTCTCAAAGGTCACATTTTCTCCATAATAATTGCATTGAAAACAAATTTGAAAACAAAAACAGCTGTATATAAAAATAAACTCACCAGCTTTTTGGGGCGTAAATATTTATGTTTGTAATATTTAGGAGGTTATAAACAAAATCTAAACAATTAATCAGTTTTGTTGGAAGAACAGAAAATTTCTTGAACTTAAAGAAGAAATATTGAAAACAGGAGGAGGAGACAATTAATAGGAAACCTTATACTTATGAGAAGTGTAGAGGAGAGGCCTGGTCTCACAGTAAGGAATCCAGGTACACAATTACTTGGGGAGATGAATCATTTTTGCCAGTTATGTTAAGCGACTTATTTTGGGAGTAAAAAAAAAACCATTAAAATATACACATCATGTTGTCACAGTGGTAAAGTAAGCATACCTAAAGTCAGATCAAATAAATACATGCAAGAAATATTTACTGGTAACAGCTTTAAGTCGGGAAACATTTTGTATAAAACACTAAAAAGTAAGACCGGGTCCAAAAAAAGCTAAAATATTTTTACAAGAAGCGTTTATTATTTCAAAGCGCTATTAAATATCGTAAGTATTTCAATTAGTTACATAAGCATTTAGTCGGGTCTTTTATACTCATCGAAAATTATGACTGTTATTACTGTAATTTTAAAATAACTTCTGTATAATACCGGTACTTGATAATTGCTCGATTTCGAGCAACAAGTACACTAGTTGTATCTTATTCTTATAAATCATGAGGCAAACAACAACTTTTTTGAAAATGTTTGGTTTGCAAGGTCAAATTAATGGAACACCGCTGTGATAAATAAAGCACTTACAATAATTATATCAGCTGTGTCCTGATGTACTGCATTTAAGCATGATTTAAGTCAACAGCCGATCTAATGCTTCTGTTTGTGCGTAAAATACTGATTACATTTAAAATTTGAGACCCCGTGGGGCGGATTCCTGGGAGAATCTTCGACGCCATATGTTGGCACTCAACAATCTAAATATATAAAAGGCAAAGCCCTCACTGACACACTCACTCACTCACTCACTCATCACTAATTCTCCCACTTCCCATTTACCTAGGAGGCTGAAATTTGGTACACCGATTCTTTAGGCATTAAATAGGAAAACTAAGTTGTTTTTATTCTGATTGGACTCTCGGGCTCCGCCCCAGTGGCTCTGGAGTTTCCCATGTTAACCTTATGATTTTTCATATTTAAAAGGAATTAATGAATCTTATCAGCTGTTTCAATTAAACAAGTTTGCATTGTTCTATGATGTTCAATAGCATTAAAGTTACAAGGATTTCCAACAGGGTGCAGCACTATTATTATTTTTTAAATTTATGATAACAGCTAATTTGCAACCAAAAGGTGAGTAAGCGTAGCGAACGAACTTCAACCTGGAGGCGAGTTAGCGTAGCGAACGAGCTAACGTGAAGGCAAGTGAGCGCAGCGAACGAGCTCCAACCTAAAGGTGAGTGAGCGTAGCGAACGCACTTCAACCAGGACGTGATTGAGCCATGCGAACGAGCTCATCTTGAAAATTAAGAAGTTAAACGGGGCAAAGCCCGGGGGTACAGCTAGTACTGTCTATAAAACCATGCAAGATTTGAAATTATTTTCTTCAGCCGTCTAGGAGGAGTTTGCGTATGACAAAATGCATGAGTCGACGTATAAGCGCTTCGCTCGCTCCGCTCAATTATGTTGTGAATTGTTGACTATACCTTACTCATAGAGGTCGTATAGAATTATTTCCTGTTAAACAACTGAGAAACTTGTAACACATTGAGCAGAAAAAGCTATCCATTTCATGAATGTGTTGTACTGGACTGATATGACGTTTGTGCTGTGTCCAACCAACTGTTTCCTAGTTTATTTATTTATCATCTGACTTTGTTTATATTAATTTTGTTTTGTTTCACTGATGAAAAGCTAACTTACAAGGATTTGGTACAGAATAAAAATCTCTATTCAAAACACAAATCAACTTTCTTTTCTTTATTTTCGATCTTTAGATATTTTTTTCGAACCCTTTAACGACAATGAAGAAACTTGGAACAGTTGTCTAGAGAGACTCGAAATAGCATTTGTATTCAACAATATTTCTGAAGAAAACAAGACAATAACACTGCTAAATGTTATTGGAAAGAAAACTTATGGAACACTTAGAGATTTGCCTACGGAGTTTTCGTATGAAGAACTCATTAAAAAACTCACGAAACACTTTTCACCACCAGCAAACGAAGTAGCAGAAGCTTTCAAGTTCCACATTAGACGTCAACAGGAAGGTGAAGACATACATCACTTTGCAACGGAATTGAAAGGATTGTCAAGATACTGCAACTTTGGCAACTTTCTCAACATTATTACGAAATCAGTTCATACAAGGATTGAGAAATTAAGCAAATTAAGCCAAATTGATCAGCGAATCGGTCTCAACTATGGAAAAAGCACTACACACTATGGATCTGGCAACTACACTCGAGAAAGCCTACCAGGATGCAGCAACACTACACCGTGGTGATAACATATCGATTGGAGTTGACAAAGTAAGTAACAACATCCATCCTAATAAAGTTTCCTAGAGATGTGTACGTTAGCTTATATAACTTTATTACTTCACTACTCAGTGATGTACTTTGTATAGGCAGTTTAATTAGTATACACATACATTGTAAACGTAGAAATGAGCCAGCTTTGTAAAGCTTTGCTACTTACCAAGATCAGCTATTTCTTTAGCCAGGAGCATTCAGTCAAGGACCCAGTTTCAAACCTTAAGAAAATTACTAATTTTCTCACGATAAACCCCGCAACACTCTGATTGTTAGGCGAGCCCTTTAACCACTCACCTACTCTTTGATTGCAAAAAA